CCCCCAACCAATCATTGATATATATTTTCTGTTTGTCGTGGGAGTTCTGTGTGCCATATTTGGTTCAATTCCATCATTGGTGGAGTTCAGAATGCTCTTTGATTGTAGGTGAACTATACATCCCAGTAACTACACTTGCCACATTTACTCCCTTGCCTGGCCCGCTTTGGGTCCAGAGGCGTGCCTGAAGACCCCGGCGTGTGCACCAAAAGTCACCTCTTCTCCTGACTTTCTCCTCAGCCATTGGGACCAAGAGAGAGAGAGAGAGAGAGAGAGGTGGAGATGCCCACCTTTCCTGAAGGTAGGCGCAAAAACAAAGGAGGGAGCGGAGGTGGGAGATACCTCCAGCCGGAGGGGCTCTCTCTCTCTCTCTCTTGGTCCCAATGGCTGAAGAGAAAGTCAGGAGAAGAGGCGACTTTTGGTGCGCACGCTGGGGTCTTCAGACATGCCTCCGGACCCGAAGCGGGCCAGGCGCAGTGGCTCCACCCCTTGGCTGTCCAGACCTTGAATCGGTGTCTAGCTGCTGTATCGGACTGGATGAGCGCTAACAAATTGAAACTGAATCCAGACAAGACAGAGGTCCTCCTGGTCAGTCGTAAGGCCGAACAGGGTATAGGGTTACAGCCTGTGTTAGACGGGGTTCACTCCCCCTGAAGATGCAGGTTCGCAGCTTGGGAGTGATCCTGGACTCATCGCTGAGCCTGGAACCCCAGGTCTTGGTTGGTGGCCGGGAGAGCTTTTGCGCAACTAAAACTTGTGCACCAGTTGCGCCCGTACCTTGGGAAGTCTGATCTGGCCACGGTGGTCCATGCTCTTGTTACATCCCGAATAGACTACTGCAACGCACTCTACGTGGGGTTGCCCTTGAAGACTGTTCGGAAACTTCAACTAGTCCAGCGAGCGGCAGCCAGATTGCTCACCGGAGTGACATACAGGGAGCATACCACCCCCCTGCTGTGCCAGCTCCACTGGCTGCCGATTCAGTTCCGAGCACAATTCAAGGTGCTGGTTTTGACCTACAAAACCCTATACGGTTCTGGTCCAGTGTATCTGTCCGAACGTATCTCCCTCTACGTCCCACCCCGGAGTTGAGATCATCTGGGGAGGCCCTGCTCTCGACCCCACCACTATCACAAGTGAGGCTGGTGGGGACAAGGAGCAGGGCCTTCTCAGTGGTGGCCCCTCACCTGTGGAACTCATTCCCGGGGGAAATCAGGGCATCATCATCCCTCCTCTCCTTCAGGAGGAAGGTAAAGACGTGGTTTGGGACCAGGCCTTTGGGCACTCTGGCAATTAAATAAGACAATCAGGCGAGTAAGACCAACAGGATTGACGAAGTGGAACGGAAAATTAGAACTATGAGTTAGCGAACGCTGACCATGTAGGAGGAGGAATTGGGTTTGTATTGGTTTTATTGATTTTATTGATTTTATGGGTATAATGCTTGAATCGTTGTTACCTGTGAATTGATGTAATTTTGTAATTTTGTGTTTGATTGTTCTGTGATGCAGGCATCCAATTGTGCCTTTGTTTTTGTAAGCCGCCCTGAGTCCCCTTTGGGGTGAGAAGGGCGGGGTAAAAGAACCCCGAAATAAATAAATAAAATAAATTGGCCCACCCGTGGATTGGGGAGAGGAGAGGAGGCGGGTGGAGCGCCGGGGATGATCGGGAAAGGGAGCCGGTCATGGGGAAGGGATTGAACGCGGAGAACGATTGAGCGCCGGCTCTGCTCGCGCACCTGGTGGCCAGGTGGAACAGGAACAAGAGGTGCTAGGTGAGGCTCAAGGGCCCAGCCCCTTTGGGAAGAGGATTGCCCGGCAGCGAGACAGGAAAGCTGAGGCTTCCCCCGGACTGCTAGGGCTGTGGTGAGCTGAGGGGGCGCTCCTCACGTGGCGGTCGAGGGGCATTTACAGAGGGGCATTTACAGAGGCGCCTCTGCACCCCTGGCAAAAAAAAAGTGTTTTGCGACCGCTTACTTCGCGTAATGGACGAGCCGCCCCTGGGCGAACAGCAATCAATGGGGAGCTTTCTAAGGTTTCATCTGAACGAATCCCTGAATTCAGTGCAAGAAGATGCCATAAATACGGAACACGGCTCTGCATTTAGAGCAGAACAGACTGATCTACAAATATAGGGCGGGTGGCACATGGCTCCGTGGCAGAACACGGCAAAAGGATGCCTTCGTCAACCAAGAAGGAAAAAAGCCATCGACAGATATTGTAAGGCTGCAAAAGGAACATAAAGCACATTGAAATGGTCCAAGCTCCTCTGGTACCTCACCAAACTACAAATCCCATGGTTCCATTGCTTACAAATCCCATGGTTCCATTGTTTGACACCTGATTCCACCTTAAATGGGTCCCTTTGGGAGCCATGGCTGTCCAAGTCTTGGATAGGAATGTGACCAAAAGTTAGAGAAGTAGCTACATTGGGGAGTGGATTCATGAAATTATAGAGTGGAAGTGTTAGCAATAAATTATCAATAACTTTAAAGCAGTGTTTCTCAACCTTCCTAATGCCGGGACCCCTTAATACGGTTCCTCATGTTGTGGTGACCCCCAACCATAGCATTATTTTCGTTGCCATGTCACAACTGTACTTTTGCTACTGTTATGAATTGTAATGTAAATATCTGATCTGCGGGATGTATTTTCATTCACTGGAACAAATTTGGCACATATACCCAATACACCCAAATTTGAATGCTGGTGGGGTTGGGGGAAACTGATTTTGTTGTTTGGGAGTTGTAGTTGCTGGGATTTATAGTTCACCTACAATAAAAAAGCATTCTGAACTCCACCAATGATGGAATTGAACCAGCCTTGGCACACAGAACTCCTACGACCAAGAGAAAAGACTGGAAGGTTTTGCTTGGCATGGACCTTGAGTTTTGGAGTTGTAGTTCACCTACATCCAGAGAGCACTGTGGACTCAAACAATGATGGATCTGGACCAAATTTGGCACAAATATTCAATATGAACACTGGTCGAGTTTGGGGGAAATAGACCTTGACATTTAGAAGTTGTAGTTGCTGGGATTTATAGTTCACCTACAATCTAAGAGCATTCTGAACTCCACCAATGATGGAATTGAACCAGCCTTGGCACACAGAACTCCTACGACCAAGAGAAAAGACTGGAAGGGTTTGGTGGGCATTGACCTTGAGTTTTGGAGTTGTAGTTCACCTACATCCAGAGAGCTGTGGACTCAAACAATGATGGATCTGGACCAAACTTGGCACGAATACTGAATATGCCCAAATGTGAACACTGGTGGAGTTTGGGGGAAATAGACCTTGACATTTGGGTAGTTGTAGTTGCTGGGATTTATAGTTCACCTACAATCAAAGAGCATTCTGAACCTGACCAACAATAGAATTGGGTCAAACTTCCCACACAGAATCCCAATGACCACCAGAAAATACTCTGTTTTCTGATGGTCTTTGACGACCCCTTTGACACCCCCTCACGACCCCCTCAGGTGTCCCGACCCCCAGGTTAAGAAACACTTAAGGCATAAATCATAACTTTTTTTGCAACCGATTTAGTTTCGAGTCCAAAGAAAACATAGCAAACTAAGTTGAATGATTGATGATATACATCTCGTTCAGTCATAGAATCCTAGAGTTGGAAGAGACTTCATGGGCCATCCAGTCCAACCCCATTTTGCCAAGAAGCAGGAAAATTGCATTCAAAGCACCCCCGACAGATGGCCATCCAGCCTCTGTATGAAAGCCTCCAAAGAAGGAGCCTCCACCACACTCTAGGGCAGAGAGTTCCACTGCTGAACAGCTCTCACAGTCAGGAAGTCCTTCCTAATGTCTTTCAATCCAAATTTGATGGGGATGATGGGAATTGGAGTCCTACCCTATGGACTTTGGGAAATGTTTGGGTTGAGGGATCAATGGTTTAACAATCCAAGATTTATACTATTATTGTATTGTCGAAGGCTTTCATGGCAGGAATCATGGGTTGTTGTAGGTTTTTTCGGGCTATATGGCCATGTTCTAGAGGCATTCTCTCCTGACGTTTCACCTGCATCTATGGCAAGCATCCTCAGAGGTAGTGAGGTCTGTTGGAACTAAAAAGGGTTTATATATCTGTGGAATGACCAGGGTGGGACAAAGGACTCTTGTCTGCTGGAGCTAGGTGTGAATGTTTCAACTGACCACCTTGATGCACCAACAAGCCACACCAAACAACAGCCAGGCCATCAAATGCTAATCAAGGTGGTCAGTTGAAAAATTCACACCTAGCTCCAACAGACAAGAGTCCTTTGTCCCACCCTGGTCATTCCACAGATATATAAACCCATTTTCCTAGTTCCAACAGACCTCACTACCTCTGAGGATGCTTGCCATAGATGCAGGCGAAACGTCAGGAGAGAATGCCTCTCTAGAGCATGGCCATATAGCCCGGAAAAAACATACAACAACCCAACAAGGACATCTAATCACCTCTCAGCAAAAGTTTGCTCCAGGCACTGTCAGGCCATCAAATGCTAATCAAGGTGATCAGTTGAAACATTCACACCTAGCTACAGCAGACAAGATTCCTTTGTCCCACCCTGGTCTTTCCATTTTCCTAGTTCAAACAGCCCTTCACTACCTCTGAGGATGCTTGCCATAGATGCAGGCGAAACGTCAGGAGAGAATGCCTCTAGAACATGGCCATATAGCCCGAAAAAAACTACAACCACCCTATTATTATTCTGCTGTATGGATAGCATGATCAATCCATTTCCCAATCAAATGCACACAAGGGAGCAAGGAATTGATAGCTCAAGTAATTGATCCACATTGTTTGCTATTGATTGGGTACTCCCCTGGGATGGTTTCTCCCTGTCCGTATTGGTACCACATCACAGCATGCCATAATGTCCCTAAGGGAAAATTGCACCCCAAACCCCAAATATATTCTGAATATATCCCCCCCTCATTTGCCAAAGAGGGGGACAAATAATAATAATCCACAAAAGGCGAACCCGGCCTCGGCCTTACCTTGTCTGTTCACGGGCATCTCGCAGGCGGTTTGTACATGTACAACCTTAATCTCCTAATCTCCCTTCCCAAACATCTGCCAGCTTAAGAGATTTGCCCAGCAGATTGCAACCTCTGACCCGTCTTCCTCCGCTCCGAGGCATCTTGGGATGTGTAGTTCTTCTCTCTTGACCCCTCCGAAGTTACTCTCACATGGCTGTTTTCTGGTTCAGAAAGTTGGACGTGAAGTTTCTGAAAATCAGTTCCTGCAAAAGCCTGTCCTGTTTTGCAACGGCATTTGTGGCATGTTCATAAGGCAGGCTTATATTATTATTATTATTATTATTATTATTATTATTATTATTATTATTAGATACACAAGATGGATGGATGGCATCCTTGAAGTGAATGGACTGACCTTGAAGGAGCTGGGGGTGGTGACGGCCGACAGGGAGCTCTGGCGTGGGCTGGTCCATGAGGTCACGAAGAGTCGGAGACGACTGAACGAATGAACAACAACAACACACAAGATGAGTGCACAGCAAACAAGATCACTCTGCTGGCTGTATCGGCGAATAATGCATGTAGATCCCAGTAAGGTGGCCTTTTGCAGCTGGCAGATGGTAATCTTGTCAGTGCCGATTGTGTTTAAGTGCAGGCCAAGGTCTTTAGGCACTGCACCCAGTGTGCCAACCACCACTGGGACCACCTTGACTGGCTTGTGCCAGTCTTTGCAGTTCCATCTTTAATTCCTCATCTCATGTCAGCTTTTCCAGTTGTTTCTCTTCAATCCTGCTCTCACCTGGGATTGCGACATCGACAATCCATACTTTGGTTTTTAACACAATTGTGAAGTCAGGAGTCTTGTGGTCCACAACTCTGTCAGTCTGAATTCGGAAGTCCCAGAGGAGTTTGGCGTGTTCATTCTCTGTAACTCTTTCCGGCTTGTGATGCCACCAGTTCTTTGTCGCATGCGGATGGTATTTGTGGCACAAGTTCCAATGAATCATCTGAGCAATGGTGTTGTGCCTCTGCTTGTAGTCGGTCTGCGTGATCTTCTTGCAGCAGCTGAGGATGGGATCTATTGTTTCACCTGCTTCCTTGCAGAGTCTACATTTGGGATCTGTTGTTGACTTTTCAATTCTGGCTTTGATGGCCTTGGTTCGAATGGCTTGTTCTTAGGCTACCAGAATCAGGCCCTCCTTTGTCTCCTTCCATTTGAGCCACAGCCATGTTTTTTCTGTTGGCTCTCAATTTGGCTCTCAGTTTTTGCCAGGAACTGTCCATGGAGAGCCTTCTTTTGCCAGTTTTCTCTTCTGCTCTGCATTGTGTTTTTACAGTATTCACTCTTTGTCTTTTGCGCTTTGAGCAGTTTTCTACTATTGACTTCCCTCAATGTTGGTTCTTGATTGCCTTTCACATAATCTGCCAGTGCATGTTTCTCTTCTTCTACCGTTTGTTTCACTTGCATTATTATTATGATTATTATTATTATTATTATTATTATTATTATTTGAAACACAAGATTATTACACAGCAGCCGGAGCCCCCGGTGGCACAGTGGGTTAAACCCCTGTGCCGGCAGGACTGAAGACCGACAGGTCGCAGGTTCGAATCCAGGGAGAGGCGGATGAGCTCCCTCTATCAGCTCCAGCTCCTCATGCGGGGACATGAGAGAAGCCTCCCACAAGGATGATAAAAAAACATCAAATCATCCAGGTGTCCCCTGGGCAACGTCCTTGCAGACGGCCAATTCCCTCACACCAGAAGTGACTTGCTCATGACACGACAAAAAAAATTACACAGCAAAGGTTACTCTGCTGGCTGTTGTATTGGATCACACATCGGACCCTTCCCAAGTGTCTAGGACGGTGTGTATTGGCAAATAATGTGTGCAGATCCGAGTCGGGTGGCCTTTTGCAGCCAACAGAGGGTAAATTTGTCAGCGCCAATTGGTTTTAAGTGCAGGCCAAGGTCTTTAGGCAATGTACCTAGTGTGCCAATCACCACTGGGACTCCCTTGATTGGCTTGTGCCAGAGTCTTTGCAATTCTGTCTTTAAATCCTCATATCGTGTAAGCTTTTCCAGTTGCTTTTCATCAATTTTGCAGTCACCTGGCATTGCAATGTTGTTGTTGTTGTTATTAGACATTTTAGGTATCTTCAAAAAGCAAGCTTAGATGATGATGATGATGATGATAATGATGATGATGATTATTATTATCATACAATTTAGTCATCTTCAAAAGGAAGGCTTATATTATTATTATTTGAAACACAACAAGATCCCTATGCTAGTTTTTGTATTGGATCACACGTCTGGCACTTCCCAAGTGTTTAGGACTGTGAGATGCATCGGCAAATAATGTGTGCAGATCTGAGAAAAGTGGCCTTTTGCAGCTGACAGGTGGTGATTTTGTGAACGCTGATTGTTTTTAAGTGCAAGCCAAGGTCTTTAGGCACTGCACCCAGTGTGCCGATCACCACTGGGACCACCTTGGCTGGCTTCTGCCAGAGTCTTTGCACAAGTTGCCATTCTTCTTCCTCTTCCTCTTCTTCTCCAAAACACAAGATTAGTACACCGCAATCAAGATCCCTATGCTGGCTGTTGTATTGGATCAGATATTATTATTATTTGAAACACAACAAGATGAGTCCACAGCAGACACTCTGCTGGCTGTTGTATTGGATCACACGTCGGACCCTTCCCAAGCGTCTAGGGCTGTGTGATGTATCGGCAAATAATGCGTGCAGATCCCAATAAGGTGGCCTTTTGCAGCTGGCAAATGGTAATTTTGTTAGCGCCAATTGTGTTTAAGTGCAGGCCAAGGTCTTGAGGTACTGCACCCAGTGTGCCAATCACCACTGGGACCACCTTGAGTGGCTTGTGGCAGTTCAATCTTTAAATCATATGTGTGCCAATCAAACTACACCCAGTGTGCTTATTATTATTATTATTATTATTATTATTATTATTATTATTATTAGGTATTTTAGGCATCTTCAAGAGACAGGCTTATATTATTGTTGTAATAATAATAATAATAATAATAATAATAATAATAATAATAATAATTGTATTTGTTTCCTCTCTTAAATGAAACTTCAAACAAACTTCAAGGTTTGTTTAATGACATCTCAAACATTGCAATTTGCAATATGGCAGACAGTTCAGATATGATTATGATGATTACTGGGTTGCTGTGAATTTTCCATGCTCTCTCTTACCATCTTCCAGAAGCATTCTCTCTAACGTTTCACCCACATATATGGTGATCAATTGTAACATTCACACTTCCCTCAAACAGACAAGAGTTCTTTCTCCAACTAGGAGGAAACAATCTGGGCCAGCTAACACCTCCCAACAAATGATCCCCCAGGCAGCAACCAGCCAGGCTTTGAAGCTACAATGCCATTAAATGCTAATCAAGGTGGCCAATTGCACCATTCACACCTGCCTCAAGAAGACGAGAGTTCTTTCTCCAACTTTGGACATTATTCCACTGATACATAAACCCCATTTTCCTAGTTTCCAACAGACCTCACAACCTATGAGGATGCCTGCCACAGATGCAGGCAAAACGCCAGGAGAGAATGCTTCTGGAACATGGCCAGACAGCCCGAAAAACACACAACAACCCAGTGATTCCAGTCATGAAAGCCTTCGATAATGATGATCACTGGCTAACATGACAAATAATGCAATGTATCCTTTAATTCATAATAATTTTGAGGAAATGTGGATTTTACGCATAAATAATTCCCAGATGTCCTCAGAAGCACTTTAACTATTCATTGGATTGCGCTCCATTCACTTCTTTTAAATCCCTCCTACCAGATACATCCCACCTTTGTTCATGCCCAGCATTTATTTTTTAAATTTTAAACTATTACATTTGGCCTGGCTATAGGTTTTAAAAACCTTTGTGTGTTATTGTTTATATTTATATTAATTTGTATTGTTCTTTTGTTTACTGCTTTTTTGTTTTATTGATGTGTTGTCGGGCTTGGCCTCATGTAAGCCGCTCCGAGTAACTTGGGGAGATGGCTGTTGTTCATTCGTTCAGTCGTCTCCGACTCTTCGTGATCTCATGGACCAGCCCACGCCAGAGCTCCCTGTCGGCCGTCACCACCCCCAGCTCCTTCAAGGTCAGTCCAGTCACTTCATGGGGAGATGGTGGCGGGGTATAAATAAAGTATTATTATTATTATTATTATTCAGCCGTGAGTCGCCTTCGGGCTGAAATGGGCGGGATAGAAATAATGTAAATAATGTAAATAAAATTATTATTAGTACATTAACCTTCTGCTGCTCAAATTCCACGTTTGGAGAATTTCATAAAACCTGCAAACAGACAACATCCCTAAAAGAAAGCACCTTTTTTAACTGGTGAAAGGATCTCAATGAAACCTGGTTGCAAGATATTTTTGTTGTCTTTGCCAGCTCCAAATCCCTGGATTTCCAAATCACGGGGTCAGTGTAGTTAAAGTGGTATCAAACTGGATTAATTCTGCAGTGTAGATGCATTCTGATGTGCAGCAACCTGTCTTGCAATGCACCCTCTTTTCTGTACTCCCTATAGAATCATAGAATCAAAGAGTTGGAAGAGACCTCATGGGTCATCCAGTCCAACCCCATTCTTCCAAGAAGCAGGAATATTGCATTCAAAGCACCCCTGGCAGATGGCCATCCAGCCTCTGTTTAAAAGCTTCCAAAGAAGGAGCCTCCACCACACTCTGGGGCAGAGAGTTCCACTGCTGAACGGCTCTCACGGTCAGGAAGTTTTTCCTCATGTTCAGATGGAATTTCCTCTCTTGTAGTTTGAAGCCATTGTTCCATTGCGTCCTAGTCTCCAGGGAAGCAGAAAACAAGCTTGCTCCCTCCTCCTCCCTGTGGCTTCCTCTCACATATTTATACATGGCTATCATATCTCCTCTCAGCCTTCTCTTCTTCAGGCTAAACATGCCCAGTTCCTTAAGCCGCTCCTCATAGGACTTGTTCTCCAGACCCTTGATCATTTTACCCAGCTTGTAACTCTATTAAAAACTCTATCCATCCTCAGCCTCTTGCAATTGCCACGTTTGCAAACAATCACAGCACCCCGCTTCACTTCCAAACCATTTGTGAAAGGTATTTAATAATCGTAAGGAGATGACAACAACTTGGACTGGAAAAAAACCTGAAAACGAGACACTGTTTGGATTTTTATAGCCGAATTCAACATGGATTATTGGGACATGAAAACAAAACGATCAGGTGGGTTCTGGGATCCAATTCCCCCAAATTTATTATTATGATTATTGCAATTGTGGGAGAAGAGGATGAGAGACGACAAACCGAGAGCTCAACGTCTACAAAAAAGGAGCCAAACCCAAAAGGAAAAATGTGCGTAAGGCTTCCGTTCCATTGCGCTCAGGGCAACTATGGCTTCTAATGTGTCTGCATAGGTTCCCCATTCTTAAGGGGCGCATTAAGGCATTTCTATCTCAAAGAGGTATATGTCGTCTCCCTTTTTGGAGGCGGTGAGCGACTCCTTCCCATTGGATGGATATTGATATCTGACGGAGGGCGATGTGCACATGCGGACGGCCTGAGAAGCGCATGGGGTTCGATGGGGGGCCCTCAAATGCCCAGAGGGTTGGGGGTGACGATCCCCTCGCTCTCCACCACCGCCTTGGAGATGCCCCGGAGGTTCTTGAAGAGCTGCCGCGTGGAGCTCGAGCGCAAGGAGGACAGGTTGCGGGTGACCCGGTCAGAGGCCTGTGGGAAGGAGGGAGGAAGAGATGGAGGTCAAGGAACAATCGGCCCTTGGGGTCCAGAGAGGTCATCTAGCCCACCCCTTGCTCAACTCAAGTGCTCTGGGGAGAGAGAGAGACATCTATCTAACCCAGGCATGGGTCAACTTTGGCCCTCCCTCCAGGTGTTTTGGACTCCAACTCTCACAATTCCTAACAGCGGCTGTTAGGAATTGTGGGAGTTGGAGTCCAAAACACCTGGAGGGAGGGCCAAAGTTGGCCCATGCTTGCTCTTAAGACTTCTTTTCCAGACCTTTGAGCCCTTTGGCTGCCTTCCTCCTTCTAGAACTTGGGGCCCATAACTGGACACGGAAGAGGTATTCAAAATGGCCAGCTTGCCTAGGAAGGAAGGAAGGAAGGAAGGAAGGAAGGAAGGAAGGAAGGAAGGAAGGAAGGAAGGAAGGAAGAAGAAGGAAGGAAGGAAGGAAGGAAGGAAGGAGAAGGAAGGAAGGAAGGAAGAGAAGGAAGGAAAGAAGGAAGGAAAAGAAGGAAAGGAAGAAGGAAAGAAGGAGGAGGAAAGAAGGAAGGAAGGAAGGAAGGAAGGAAGGAAGGAGGAAGGAAGGAAGGAAAGAAGGAAGGAAGGAGAAAGGAAAGAAGGAAGGAGAAGGAAGGAGGAAGGAAGAAGGAAGAAAGGAAGGAAGGAAAGAAGGAAGGAAAGAAGGAAGGAAGGAAAGGAAGGAAGGAAGGAAGGAAGGAAGGAAGGAAGAGAAGGAAGGAAGGAAAGAAGGAAGGAAAGAAGGAAGGAAAGAAGGAAGGAAGGAAGGAAGGAAAGAAAAGGAGAAGGAAGGACCTTCAAAATGGTTGACTTGACCTGGATGGATAGATGGATGGAAGGAGGAAGGGAGTGAAGGAAGGACATTCAAAATGGTTGACCTGACTTGACTTTTCCTGAATGGAAGGATGGATGGATGGTTGGAAGGAAGGAGTATACAATATGGCCATCTTGTCAAGAAGGAAGGAAGGAAGGAAGGAAGGAAGGAAGGAAGGAAGGAAGGAAGGAAGGAAGGAAGGAAAAACCTTTAAAATGGTTGACTTGACTTGGATGGAAGGATGGATGGATTATACAATATGGCCATCCTGTCAGGAAGGAAGGAAGGAAGGAAGGATGAAAAATCATTCCAAATGACCTGGATGGATGGATGGATGGATAGAAGGAAGAAGGAAGGAGTATTCAAAATGGCCAGCTTGCCTAGGAAGGAAGGAAGGAAGCAATGAAGGAAAGAAAGAAAGAAAGAAGGAGAATCAAAATGACTTGACTTGACTTGACTTGACTTGACCTGGATGGATGGAAGGAAGGAAGGAAGGAAGGGAGGAAGGGAGGAGTGAAGGAAGGAGAAACCTTTAAAATGGTTGACTTGACTTGGATGGAAGGATGGATGGATGGATGGATGGAAGGAAGGAAGGAGTATACAATATGGCCATCCTGTCAGGAAGGAAGGAAGGAAAGAAGGAAGAATGAAAAATCATTCCAAATGACCTGGATGGATGGATTGAAGGAAGGAAGGAAGGAGTATTCAAAATGGCCAGCTTGCCTAGGAAGGAAGGAAGGAAGGAAGGAAGGAAGGAAGGAAGGAAGGAAGGGAAGGAAGGAAGGAAGGAAGGAAGGAAGGAAGGAAGGAAGGAGAAGGAAGGACATTCAAAATGGTTGACTTGACTTGACCTGGATGGATGGATAGAAGGAAGGAAGGAAAGAAGGAAAGAAAAACATTCACAATGGTTGACTTGACCTGGATGGAAAGATGGATGGATGGAAGGAAGCAGTATACAATATGGCCTTCTTGTCAGGAAGGAAGGAAGGAAAGAAAGAAGGAAGGAAAAATATTCAAAATGGTTGATATGACTTGACTTGGATTGAAGGATGGATGGATGGAAGAAAATGTCTGACTTGACTTTCCTGGATGGATGGATGGATGGATGGAAGGAAGGAGTATACAATATGGCCATCTTGTCAGGAGCCCCCAGTGGCACAGTGGGTTAAACCCCTATGCCAGCAGGGCTGAAGACCGACAGGTCAAAGGTTCGAATCCGAGGAGAGGCGGATGAGCTCCCTCTATCAGCTCCAGCTCCTCATGCGGGCACATGAGAGAAGCCTCCCACAAGGATGATAAAAACATCAAATCATCCGGGCGTCCCCTGGGCAACGTCCTTGCAGACAGCCAATTCCCTCACACCAGAAGTGACTTGAAGTTTCTCAGGTCGCTCCTGACACGACAAAAAAAAATTGTCAGGAAGGAAGGAAGGAGGGACAACTAGATGGTCGGTTCAAAATGGCCAACAACTGGGACAGATGGATGGGTGGATGGAGAGGTATTTAAAAATGTCCAACTTTAAAAGACGGAAATGAGAAGTGAAGGAAGGAAGGAGAGGTATTCACAATGCCAGAATTGACAAGGAAAGAAGGAAAGAATTCCAAATGGCAGAGCTCACTGTAGTGTTGCCAAGGCACTTCTCCTTGAACCTGAGCCTGAAGACCCCATGTCCCCAAAAGCCAGGCAGACGCACAAAGGGCTCACCTCAATGCACCAGGTGTCACACAGCGCTTTCTCATGCTGGGCGGTAGGCTGCCCTCGCTCCAGAGACCGGGAGGCTCTGATGGGAAAAAAAGAAATAGAATAAAAACATTGCATTCCCAAACTGAACAATTGGCAGGCATGGGCCAACTAGGGCCCTCCCTCCGGGGGTTTTGGACTCCAGCTTCCACAGTTGAAGTCCAAAACACCTGGAGGAAGAGCCGAAGTTGGCCCATGCCTGCTTTGCCGATATTATTGTTGTTGTTTAGAATATAGGGCTAAGAAGGAAGGGCTGCCGTACCTGGAGAGGACCACCACCATGGCATACAAATCGATGGCGCTGTCGGCGACGCGTTTCAACACAAACTGTTCATCTGGGGACGGAGGACAAAAAGGAGATGTAGGAAAACATTAGTAGTTATGCCATGAAGGTAAAGCGTGGCATAGATATTACTCTTGCACATGTTTCTATCCATAATCCATCATTTTCTTTATTCCCAGTCCCACGCACTTGGACTCAAGGCAGGTTTCCAAAAGGCAGAAAATTGCAATAGAGTGCAAACAGTTAAGAGAATAAAAAAGTTGAGATTTAAAAGCAACATTAAACTAAGAACAGAAATAAAGTCGTGTCTATTATTATTATGTTTATGTTTATTATTATTATGTTATTATTATTATTATAATATTATTATTATGTTTATTATGACTCGCCTGAGGGCTGAGAAAAGCGGTATATAAATGAAGTAAATAATAAATAAATAAATAAATATTTTATTGACATAAAAGCACAGTATGTCACCGCAAATGAAATTTATATGCTGGATTATTATTATTATTATTATCATTATTATTATGTTTTTATTATTATTATGTTTATTTATATCCTGTCTTTTCTCTCCAGAAAGGAGATTCAAAGTGGCTAACATTCAAAGCATTTCAACACAATTTTAAATCTAAAAAAATACAATATTATAATAGAATTGAATATCAAAACAAATATGTTTTCGCTAATTGCTGTCAAGTCAGTTTGAACTTATGGCAATTGTAAGAATGAGTTTCAAGGGTGCATCTACACGGTAGAATTAGCACAGTTTTGACACCGCTTTAGGTGCTCTCACTGCCTATTACAGGGACAACCAACTGATCCCTAATCCATCTAAAACACAGACATGCGCCTTTCACCTTAAGAACAGACAAGCATCCCAAGCTCTGAAGATCACCTGGGAAGGAATCCCACTGGAGCATTGCAGCGCACCCAAATACCTGGGAGTCACTCTGGACCATTCTCTGACCTATAAGAAGCACTGCCTGAACATCAAGCAAAAAGTGGGCGCTAGAAACAATTTCACACGAAAGCTGACTGGCACAACCTGGGGATCACAACCAGATACAGTGAAGACATCTGCCCTTGCGCTATGATACTCTGCTGCTGAGTATGCATACCCAGTGTGGAACACATCTCACCACATTAAAACAGTAGATGTGGCTCTTAATGAGACATGCCGCATTATCAAAGGGTGTCTGCGCCCCACACCACTGGAGAAATTACACTGTCTAGCCGGTATTGCACCACCTGACATCTGCCGGGAAGTAGCAGCCAATAGTGAAAGGACCAAGGCAGAGACATCTCCAGCTCATCCCTTGTTTGGGTATCAGCCAGCACGTCAACGACTTAAATCAAGACATAGTTTTCTTAGATCTACAGAGACACTCGCTGGAACACCCCAGCAAGCGAGAGTCCAAAAGTGGCAGGCCGAAACCCAGCACCTCAATCCATGGGTGATACCAGATGAGAGACTCCCCCCTGGGCACACAGAAGACTGGGCGACTTGGAAGGCACTGAACAGACTGCGCTCTGGCACCACGAGATGCAGAGCCAATCTTAAGAAATGGGGATACAAAGTGGAATCCATGACATGCGAGTGCGGAGAAGAGCACACCACTGACCACCTGCTGCAATGCAACCTGAGCCCTGCCACATGCACCAGGGAGGACCTTCTTGCGGCAACACCAGAGTCACTCCAAGTGGCCAGATACTGGTCAAAGGACATTTAACCAACTACCAAGTTTGCAAAATCTGTGTGTGTGTGTTTTTTTCTTTTTTCTTTTTAATCTGTGTGTTTGTTTTGTTCTGTTAGAATTGTAACACAATGGTATGGTTGCTGACGACACGATAAATAAAAAGACACCACTTTAATTGCCATGGTTCAATGCTATAGAATGCTAGAAGATGTAGTTGGGTGAGGCCTCAGACCACTTTGTCAGAGAAGGGTAAAAAGACCTTGGAAAACTACGACTCCCAGGACTCCGCAGCATTGAGCCAAAGGTAAAAGACCTTTGAAAACTACAGCTCCCAGGATTCCACTGCAATATGGTTTAAGGAGGACTTACCAATGATCTTCTTGCCGTATTTAATGAGCTGCTCCTCCACGACTCCGGCAAAGAGATCGATGGCACGGACTGTCTTTAAAATAAAAGGCCATTAATAGAAACAGGCAAGCGAAAAATCTTCTTGAAGGATAAGCCACCGGACACACTCTTGGAAGAGTGGAAACCCTTTCAATCAATACATCTATCTATCTTCCTTTTGCAAGGCTTTCACTGACTCAAAGAGTAAAGCAGTATATTCCTGACTTTGGGCTGAGTTGGCTGAGGCTGCTGGGAGTTGTAGTCCAAAGTGCAGCGAGGAACAAAAGTGAAAGAATCAGTGAATTGGAAGCTCTGTTCTTGCAAAGCAACTCCCAATTCCTTTGGGGAATTTAACCATTCTGACACGCAGCAAGGAAGCTTCCATAGAGTTTGGAAATGGGGTCAAGACAAGGGAGGGATACTCTGCAATTCAAATGACTTTTACTATTGTTATTATTATTATTATTTGCAATATCACCTGCGCATGCTTACCTGTTCGGCACTCGAATTCAGGCTCGGGTGGACAAAGGCCTTGAGGGAAATCCCGGTTCCCAAGCCGGCTTTCCTGGTCAGGAAGGAAACAAGGTTGAGAGACGGAGACAGGAGAGGAACCCTGTCTGAACATTTGAAAGGATTCAAAAAGGAAGAGGGATGCCCTGATTTCCCCCGGGAGTGAGTTCCACAGGTGAGGGGCCACCACTGAGAAGGCCCTGCTCCTCGTCCCCACCAGCCTCACTTGTGATAGCGGTGGGGTCGAGAGCAGGGCCTCCCCAGATGATCTCAAATTCCAGGGTGGGACGTAGAGGGAGATACGTTCGGACAGATACACTGGACCGGAACCGTAAAGGGTTTTGTAGGTCAAACCAGCACCTTGAATTGTGCTCGGAACTGAACCGGCAGCCAGTGGAGCTGACACAACGGGGGTGGTGTGCTCCCTGTATGTCGCTCCGGTGAGCAATCTGGCTGCCGCTCGCTGGACCAGTTGAAGTTTCTGAACAGTCTTCAAGGGCAACCCCACGTAGAGTGCGTTGCAGTAGTCTATACGGGATGTAACAAGAGCGTGGACCACTGTGGCCAGATCAGACTTTCCAAGGTACGGGCGCAACTGGTGCACAAGTTTTAATTGTGCAAAAGCTCTCCCGGCCACCGCCGAGACCTGGGGTTCCAAGGCTCAGCGATGAGTCCAGGATCACTCCCAGACTGCGAACCTGCGTCTTCAGGGGGAGTGTAACCCCGTCTAACACAGGCTGTAACCCTATGCCCTGTTCGGCCTTACGACTGACCAGTAGGACCTCTGTCTTGTCTGGATTCAGTTTCAATTTGTTAGCTCTCATCCAGTCCGACACAGCAGCCAAGCACCGGTTCAAGGTCTGGACAGCCTCCTTGGTGACAGGTGAGAAGGAGTGACAGATTTGGACATCATCTGCGTAGAGATAACATCTCATTCCGAAACTCCGAATGATCTCCCCCAGCGGCTTCATGTAGATGTTAAACAACATCGGGGACAGAATTGAACCCTGAAGGACTCCACATGACAGCGGCTGTGGGGCCGAACAGGTGTCACCCAGTAACACCTTCTGGGACCGTCCCTCAAGAAAGGACTGGAGCCACTGCAAAACAGTACCCCCAAGTCCCATATCTATGAGGCGTCCCAGAAGGATACCGTGATTGACGGTATCAAAGGCTGCGGAGAGGTCCAGCAGAACTAACAGGGACACACTCCCCCTGTCCAGCTCCCGGCGAAGATCATCTACCAAGGTGACCAAGGCTGTTTCCGTCCCATGTCCCGGTCTAAAGCCAGACTGTGCCGGATTAGATAATCAGTGTCTACCAGAAATCCCTGGAGTTGTGTTGCCACAATGACCTGAACATTAGGAAGAATATGTGAACATAAGAACCGTTCAACTGTGGAACTCTCTGCCTCAGAGACTGGTGGAAGCTCCTTCTTTGGAGACTTTAAAGCAGAGTCTGGATGGTCATCTCTCAGGAAGGATCTGCTTGTGCTTTTCTTGCCTGGCAGGAGGGGGTTGGACTAGATGGCCTTTGGATGCCCCTTCCCACTTTACGGTTCTGTGACTTGGAAGAGACCACCAGGGGCCATCCAGTCCACCCCCTTTATGCCAGGCAGGAGGACACAACCAAAGCCCTCCCAACAGATGGCCATCCTGACTTTATCGCTGTTCATTCATTCCATTTTGAATGCTTCCAATTTCGAAAGTAAATGAGTTGGAAGGGACTCCCTTCCGACATGCAAGAGGACACAATCTGAGCCCTCCTGACAAACGTCCATCCGGCCATACGACAGATATACGACATTCTATATCTATCATAGAAACCTAGAGATGGACGAGATCCCCAAGTGCCATCCAGCTCAACTTCCTTCTGCCAGAAATAAGACACCATCCAAACCTTCCTGACAGATGGCCATCCCATCGTGTAAAATAATAATAATGTCAAGATCGTTTTGAATCTTTGGAAGCTTTTAAACAGAGGCTGGATGGCCATCTGTCAGGGGTGATTTGAATGCAATATTCCTGCTTCTTGGCAGATGGCCCATGAGGTTTCTTCCAACTCTTTGATTCTATGATTCTATTATTATTATTATTATTATTATTATTATTATTATTATTATTATTATTATTTGAAAATACATCACACAGTCCTAGATGCTTGGGAAGTGTTCAACTTGTGATTTTTTGGTACGAAATCCAGCATATAGATCTCGTTTGCTGTGACATACTGTGTTTTTGTGTAAAAATAATAATAATAATAATAATAATAATAATAATAATAATAATAATAGAGTTAGAAGAGACTCCAAGGGCCATCCAATCCAACCCCATTCTGCCAGAAGGAAGACACAATCAAACTCTCCCGACAGATGGCCATCTAGCCTCTGCTTAATAACAACAACAGCAACAATAATAATAGAACTATAGAAATCTTGAGTTGGAAGAGACCCCATGTGCCATTCAGTGCAACTTCCTTCTGCAGACAGATGGCCATCTAGCCTCTGCTTAATAATAATAATAATAATAATAATAATAATAATAATAATAATAATAATAGAACTATAGAAATCTTGAGTTGGAAGAGACCCTATGTGCCATTCAGTGCAACTTCCTTCTGCTAGAAAGAAGACACCAACTGATCCCTCCTGACAGATGGCCATCTAGCATCTGCTTAATAATAATAATAATAATAATAATAATAATAATAATAATAATACTATAGAAGAGACCCCAAGTGCCACCCAATTCAACCTCCTTCGGCCAGGCAGGAAGGCACAATCAAAGCTCTCCCAAAAGATGACCATCCAGCCTCTGTTTAATAATAATAATACAAAGTAAAGGTAAAGGTTGCCCCCTGTTGTTAAGTCTAGTTGTGTCCGACTCTGGGGGTTTGTGCTCATCTCCATTTCCTAGCCGGAGAGCTGGTGTTGTCCGTAGACACCTCCAAGGTCATGTGGCCGGCATGACTGCATGGAGTGCCCTTACCTTCCTGCAGAAGTGGAACCTATTGATCTACTCATATTTGCATGTTTTCAAACTGCTAGGTTGACAGAAGCTGGGGGAACAGCGGGAGTTCACTCTGGCTCTTTGGCTTAGAAATGGAGATGAGCACCACCCCACAGAGTCAGACACAGAGTCAAACCACTAATGTTTTGGTCAGCAAGTTCAGCAGCTCAGCAGTTTAACCCACCACGCCACCAAGGGTAATAATAATAGGACAATAATAATAATAATAATAATAATAATAATAATGACTGCAGAATTGAAGAGAAACAACTAGAAAAGCTGACACGATATGAGGATTTAAAGATCAAACTGCAAAGACTCTGGCACAAGCCAGTCAAGGGGATCCCAGTGGTGAGCAGCACACTGGGTGCAGTGCCTACAGACCTTGGCCTGCACTTAAACACAATCGGCACGGACAAAATTACCATCTGCTAGCTGCAAAAGGCCACCTAAGTGGGATCTGCAAGCATTATTTGCCAATACATCACACAGTCCTAGACACTTGGGAAGTGTCCGATGTGTGATCCAATACAAAAGCCAGCAGAGTGTCTGCTGTGGACTCATCTTGTGGTGTTTCAAATAATAATAATAATAATAATAATAATAATAATAATAATAAAGGCCAGGATTGAAAAAAATCAGCTGATGACCCCAAATGCAGACTGTGCAAGGAAGCTGATGAAACCATAGATCCTCTCCTCAGCTGTTGGAAGAAAATTATTGCACAGACGGACTACAAACAGAGGCACAACTCTGTGGCACAGATGATTCACTGGAACTTATGTCACAAGTACCATAATAATAATAATAATAATAATAATAATAATAATAATAATAATAATAATAACAATAATAATAATAATACTATAGAATACTAGACTTGGAATGGACCCCAAGGGCCATCCAATCCAACCCCCTTCTTCCAGGCAGGTAGACACAAAGTCCGCCCCACGGATGGCCATCCCCATCTGTTTAAAACTCTTCAGAGAAGACCCCAGTGAAGGATACCATGCTGCCAAACAGCTCTTACTATCTTAATGTTTACAGTAGGGGTCCTCAAACTTTTTAAACAGAGGGCCAGGTCACAGTCCCTCAAACTGTTGGAGGGCCAGATTATAATTTGAAAAAAAATGAATGAATTCCTATGCACACTGCACATATCTTATTTGTAGTGCAAAAAAAATAATACAATAATTAAAAAGAACAATTTTAACAAATATAAACTTAGTATTTCAATGGGAAGTGTGGGCCTGCTTTTGGCTGATGAGAAAGGATTGTTGTTGTTGTTGTTGTTGTGTGCTTTCAAGTCGTTTCAGGCTTAGTTTGACCCTAAGTGAGGGCTGGGTACATGACCTTTGAGGGCCGTATTTGATCTCCGGGCCTTTTTGAGGACCCCCGGATTAGGTGGAATCTCTTTTCCTGCAATTTGAATCTGTAACTCCATGGTGTCCCAGTCTCTGGTGCACCAGAAAACAAGCTTGCCTGCTTCCTATTCAATGCAACACACTTCCTAACATGGATGCAGGACTCTAATTGTGGTCCAGTTCTAGGCACCACAATTCAAGAGAGATATTGACAAGCTGGAATGTGTCCAGAGGAGGGTGACTAAAATGATCAAGGGTCTGGAGAACAAGCCCTATGAGGAGCTGGCTTAAGGAGCTGGGCATGTTTAGCCTGAAGAAGAGAAGGCTGAGAGGAGATATGATAGCCATGTATAAATATGTGAGAGGAAGCCACAGGGAGGAGGGAGCAAGCTTGTTTATTGCTTCCATGGAGATTAGGACAAGGAACAATGGCTTCAAACTACAAGAAAGGAGATTCCATCTGAACATGAGGAAGAACTTCCTGACTGTGAGAGCTGTTCAGCAGTGGAACTCTCTGCCCCAGAGTGTGGTGGAGGTCCTTCTTTGGAAGCTTTTAAACAGAGGCTGGATGGCCATCTGTCAGGGGTGATTTGAATGCAATATTCCTACTTCTTGGCAGAATGGGGTTGGACTGGATGGCCCAGGAGGTCTCTTCCAACTTTTTGATTCTATGATTCTAAAGCCCATCTGTACCTGCGCACTCGCTTCCCAACTTCGCTGACCAGCATCCCGGCGTTCCCAATGGGGTTCTTCATGGCCCGCTGCAACCCACGGAGCTGGTTCCCGGCATTCTGGAGCAAAAAGAGGGAGAAAAGAAGGCCAAATGTTGCAATTTCTTCTAGCATGGGCATGGGCCAACTTGGGCCCTCCCTCCAGGTGTCTTGGACTCCAATTCCCAGCATTCCGAACAGCCTCAGGCCCCTTCCTGAGGCTGTTAGGAATGTTGGGAGTTGGAGTCCAAGACACCTGGAGGGAGGGCCCAAGTTGGCCCATGCGTGCTAGATAGAAACATAGTTCTTTTAGCAAAGTCTTTTGTGACTTTGTTAGTCTCTGCTCTTGTAACTGCTAACAACATACCTGGAATCCATTCAGGGCCACGAAGAGTCTCAGGATGTCATTGGTTCCTTCAAAGATGCGGAAGATGCGCAGGTCGCGCATGACACGCTCCACGCCGGTGTCCTATAGAAGGAACGAGTGGGAAAAAATCCAAGGAAAGAATTATAGGTTGGGAGGTTTCAAACTGCATTCCTGGGGGATGTTATGATGTTCACAGCAAGAGGAAAGAATTATAGGTTGGGAGGTTTCAAACTGCATTCCTGGGGGATGTTATGATGTTCACAGCAAGAGAAACAATGGGTGGAAATAACAACAACAACAACAACAACAACAACAATGGAATCCATGAATTGGTGGGTATTTTGATGAGTATGCAGCTTTGAATTGAGTCTTGGTTTTTGGGTGGATGTTGTGATGTTGGGTCTCTGTCAAAAGAGAAACACTGGGTGGCAACAATAGCAACAACAACAACAATAACAACAAAACAACAATGGAATCTATGGATGCAGAATTGGTGGGTATTTTAATGAGTATGCAGCTTTGCATTGAGTCTTGGTTTTTGGGTGGATGTTGTGATGTTGGGTCTCTGTCAAAAGAGAAACACTGGGTGGCAACAACAACAACAACAACAACAACAACAACGGACCCCAAATTGGTGGGTATTTCAATGAGTATGGAGCTTTGCGTTGAGTCTTGGTTTTTGGGTGGATGTTGTGATGTTGGGTCTCTGTCAACAGAGAGACACTGGGTGTCAACAACAACAACAACAACAACAACAACAAAAGAATCCATGAATTGGTGGGTATTTTTATGAGTATGGAGCTTTGCATTGATTCTTGATTATTGGGTGGATGTTGTGATGTTGGGTCTCTGTCAACAGAGAAACACTGGGTGGCAACAACAACAACAACAATAACAACAACAATGGAATCTATGGATGCAGAATTAATGAGTATGGAGCTTTGCGTTGAGTCTTGGCTTTTGGGTGGATGTTGTGATGTTGGGTCTCTGTCAACAGAGAGACACTGGGTGTCAACAACAACAACAACAACAAAAGAATCCATGAATTGGTGGGTATTTTGATGAGTATTTATTTATTTATTTACTTTACTTTACTTGTATACCGCAGTTTCTCAGCCTAACAGGCGACTCAACGCAGTTTACAACAAGGATAAAAATCCAACAGTGATATACAATTTAAGTATGGAGCTTTGCATTGATTCTTGATTATTGGGTGGATGTTGTGATGTTGGGTCTCTGTCATAGAGAAACACTGGGTGGCAACAACAACAACAACAATAACAACAACAACAACAACAACAACAACAATGGAATCTATGGATGCAGAATTAATGAGTATGGAGCTTTGCATTGAGTCTTGGTTTTTGGGTGGAGATTGTGATGTTGGGTCTCTGTCAACAGAGAGACACTGGGTGGCAACAACAACAACAACAGAATCCATGAATTGGAGGGTGTTTTAATGAGTATGCAGCTTTGCATTGAGTCTTGGATAATACTCATAATCATAAGAATCAAAATCTCTTCTCAGTATAAGTACTCTAAAAATAAGTTATGAGTAATGAATCAGGTCTTTAAAATACTGACTAAATCCATCAATTTGAGGGAAATGGAAAAAAAGTCCAAGTTTTCCTATCAATATCTGTGGGAATGGATATGAGTTTCCTTCCTCCTCCTCCTCCTCCTCCACCACCGCTTTCTTACCTTCATGAAGCCCATTCCGCCCATGAGCTGGATGCATTCGTCAGTGACCGTCCAGGCCGCCTCCTGAGCAAGGCACAAAAAGAGAGAAAGAAGAGGTCAGAGAAGGGGAGAGTGAGGAAGAGGAGGAAAGGAAGAAATAGTGGAGGAGGAAAGAGGAAGGAGAGACTGATAAGAGTAGAAGTAAGGAAAGGAGGTGGAGGAGGGAAGAGGAAGGAAGGAACAGATCATGGAAGGAGGGAGGGAAGGAAGAAAAGAAAGAAGGGATGAAAGGGAAGAAGGAAAGAATGGAAGGCAAGAAGGAGAGACTGAGGAAGAGGAGAAAAGGAAGAGATAGTGGGGGAGGAAAGAGGAATGAGAGACTGAGGAAGATGGAAGGAAGGAAAGAAGGTGGAGGAAAGAAAAGGAAGAAATGAACTGATTAATAGATGGAGAGGGAAAAGAAAGGAAGAAAAGAAGGAAGGGATGAAAGGGAGGAAGGAGAAACTAAGGAAGAAGAAAGAAGGAAGGGATAGTGGGGAAGGAAGAAGGAAGGAAGGAAGGAAGGGGGAAGGGAAGGAGGGTGGAAGAGAAGGAAGGAAGAGAGAAAGATGAGGAAGGAAGAAAGGAAGAGAAGGGAGAATGAAAAGAGGAAGGAAGAAGACTGAGGAGGATGGAAGGAAAGGAGGTGGAGGAGGAAGAAGAAGGAAGGAATAGATAGAAGGGGAGGAAAGGAAGAAAGAAAAGAAAGAAGGGGTGAAAGGAAAGATGGAAAGAATGAAAAGGAGAAGGAGAGACTGAGGAAGAGAAGAAAAGGAGAGGCTGGGGGAAGGAGAGAAGGAAGAAAAGAAGGGGAGGGAGGAAGGAGGGTGGAGAGACTGAGGAAGAAAGGAAAAGAAGAGGGAGGGAGGAGGAAAGAGGAATGAGGGAAGGAGAGACCGAGGAGGATGGAAGGAAGGAAGGAAAGGAGGTGGAGGAGGAAAGAGGAAGGAAGAAACTGATAATGGAAGGAGGGAGAGAGGGAAGAAAAGGAAGAAGGGATGCAAGGGAAGAAGGAGAGTGAGGAAGAGGAGAGAAGGAGGAGATAGTGGGGGAAGGAAGAGTAAGGAAGGAAAGAAGGGGTGGGAGGGAGGGAAGGAAGGTGGAGAGACCGAGGAAGGAAGGAAAGGAAGTTGGGGGGGGGGGGAGAAAAAGAAAGGGAATAACAAATTAATGGAAGGAGAGTGGGAAAGAAGGAAGGAAATAAGGGATGAGGGGGTGAAGGAAGGAAGAAGGGAAGAATGGAAGGAAAGAAAGAAAGAAGTAGGGACTGAGGAGGTTTGACCGAAGGAAAGGAGGTGGAGGAGAGAAAAGGAAGGGAATAACTGATTAATGGAAGGAGCTGGGGGAGGAAGGAAAGAAAGAAGGAAGGTATGGAAGGCAGGCAGGCAATACTGAGGGAGGAAGGGAAGGAAGGAAGGAGAAGAAGGAAGAAGGAAGGGAGGGAAGGAAGGAAGAAAGGAAGGAAGGAAGGAAGGAAGGAAGGAAGGAAGGAAGGAAGGAAGGAAGGAGGGAAGGAGGGTGGAGAGACTGAGAAGGATGGAAGGAAAGAAAGGAGGTGGAGGAGGAAAGAGGAAGGAAGAAACTGATAATGGAAGGAGGGAGAGAGGGAAGAAAAGGAAGAAGGGATGCAAGGGAAGAAGGAGAGTGAGGAAGAGGAGAGAAGGAGGAGATAGTGGGGGAAGGAAGAGTAAGGAAGGAAAGAAGGGGTGGGAGGGAGGGAAGGAAGGTGGAGAGACCGAGGAAGGAAGGAAAGGAAGTTGGGGGGGGGGGGAGAAAAAGAAAGGGAATAACAAATTAATGGAAGGAGAGTGGGAAAGAAGGAAGGAAATAAGGGATGAGGGGGTGAAGGAAGGAAGAAGGGAAGAATGGAAGGAAAGAAAGAAAGAAGTAGGGACTGAGGAGGTTTGACCGAAGGAAAGGAGGTGGAGGAGAGAAAAGGAAGGGAATAACTGATTAATGGAAGGAGCTGGGGGAGGAAGGAAAGAAAGAAGGAAGGTATGGAAGGCAGGCAGGCAATACTGAGGGAGGAAGGGAAGGAAGGAAGGAGAAGAAGGAAGAAGGAAGGGAGGGAAGGAAGGAAGAAAGGAAGGAAGGAAGGAAGGAAGGAAGGAAGGAAGGAAGGAAGGAAGGAAGGAAGGAGGGAAGGAGGGTGGAGAGACTGAGAAGGATGGAAGGAAAGAAAGGAGGTGGAGGAGGAAAGAGGAAGGAAGAAACTGATAATGGAAGGAGGGAGAGAGGGAAGAAAAGGAAGAAGGGATGCAAGGGAAGAAGGAGAGTGAGGAAGAGGAGAGAAGGAGGAGATAGTGGGGGAAGGAAGAGTAAGGAAGGAAAGAAGGGGTGGGAGGGAGGGAAGGAAGGTGGAGAGACCGAGGAAGGAAGGAAAGGAAGTTGGGGGGGGGGGGAGAAAAAGAAAGGGAATAACAAATTAATGGAAGGAGAGTGGGAAAGAAGGAAGGAAATAAGGGATGAGGGGGTGAAGGAAGGAAGAAGGGAAGAATGGAAGGAAAGAAAGAAAGAAGTAGGGACTGAGGAGGTTTGACCGAAGGAAAGGAGGTGGAGGAGAGAAAAGGAAGGGAATAACTGATTAATGGAAGGAGCTGGGGGAGGAAGGAAAGAAAGAAGGAAGGTATGGAAGGCAGGCAGGCAATACTGAGGGAGGAAGGGAAGGAAGGAAGGAGAAGAAGGAAGAAGGAAGGGAGGGAAGGAAGGAAGAAAGGAAGGAAGGAAGGAAGGAAGGAAGGAAGGGAAGGAAGGAAGGAAGGAAGGAAGGAGGGAAGGAGGGTGGAGAGACTGAGAAGGATGGAAGGAAAGAAAGGAGGTGGAGGAGGAAAGAGGAAGGAAGAAACTGATAATGGAAGGAGGGAGAGAGGGAAGAAAAGGAAGAAGGGATGCAAGGGAAGAAGGAGAGTGAGGAAGAGGAGAGAAGGAGGAGATAGTGGGGGAAGGAAGAGTAAGGAAGGAAAGAAGGGGTGGGAGGGAGGGAAGGAAGGTGGAGAGACCGAGGAAGGAAGGAAAGGAAGTTGGGGGGGGGGGGAGAAAAAGAAAGGGAATAACAAATTAATGGAAGGAGAGTGGGAAAGAAGGAAGGAAATAAGGGATGAGGGGGTGAAGGAAGGAAGAAGGGAAGAATGGAAGGAAAGAAAGAAAGAAGTAGGGACTGAGGAGGTTTGACCGAAGGAAAGGAGGTGGAGGAGAGAAAAGGAAGGGAATAACTGATTAATGGAAGGAGCTGGGGGAGGAAGGAAAGAAAGAAGGAAGGTATGGAAGGCAGGCAGGCAATACTGAGGGAGGAAGGGAAGGAAGGAAGGAGAAGAAGGAAGAAGGAAGGGAGGGAAGGAAGGAAGAAAGGAAGGAAGGAAGGAAGGAAGGAAGGAAGGAAGGAAGGAAGGAAGGAAGGAAGGAAGGAGGGAAGGAGGGTGGAGAGACTGAGAAGGATGGAAGGAAAGAAAGGAGGTGGAGGAGGAAAGAGGAAGGAAGAAACTGATAATGGAAGGAGGGAGAGAGGGAAGAAAAGGAAGAAGGGATGCAAGGGAAGAAGGAGAGTGAGGAAGAGGAGAGAAGGAGGAGATAGTGGGGGAAGGAAGAGTAAGGAAGGAAAGAAGGGGTGGGAGGGAGGGAAGGAAGGTGGAGAGACCGAGGAAGGAAGGAAAGGAAGTTGGGGGGGGGGGGAGAAAAAGAAAGGGAATAACAAATTAATGGAAGGAGAGTGGGAAAGAAGGAAGGAAATAAGGGATGAGGGGGTGAAGGAAGGAAGAAGGGAAGAATGGAAGGAAAGAAAGAAAGAAGTAGGGACTGAGGAGGTTTGACCGAAGGAAAGGAGGTGGAGGAGAGAAAAGGAAGGGAATAACTGATTAATGGAAGGAGCTGGGGGAGGAAGGAAAGAAAGAAGGAAGGTATGGAAGGCAGGCAGGCAATACTGAGGGAGGAAGGGAAGGAAGGAAGGAGAAGAAGGAAGAAGGAAGGGAGGGAAGGAAGGAAGGAAGGAAGGAAGGAAGGAAGGAAGGAAGGAAGGAAGGAAGGAAGGAGGGAAGGAGGGTGGAGAGACTGAGAAGGATGGAAGGAAAGAAAGGAGGTGGAGGAGAGAAGAGGAAGAAGAAAGTCATTAATAGAAGGAGGAGGGAAAGAAGGAAGGAAGGAAGGAAGGAAGGAAGGAAGGAAGGAAGGAAGGAAGGAAGGAAGGAAGGAAGGAAGGAAGGAAGGAAGGAAGGAAAGAAAGGAGGAGGGTGGGTGGAGAGACAAAAGGATGGAAGGAAAGAAAGGAGGTGGAGGAGAGAAGAGGATGAAGAAAGTCATTAATAGAAGGAAGGAGGGAAGAAAGGAAGGAAGGAAGGAAGGAAGGAAGGAAGGAAGGAAGGAAGGAAGGAAGGAAGGAAAGAAAGAGGAGGGTGGGTGGAGAGACAAAAGGATGGAAGGAAAGAAAGGAGGTGGAGGAGAGAAGAGGATGAAGAAAGTCATTAATAGAAGGGGAGGGAAAGAGAAAAAGGAAGGAAGGAAGGCAGGAAGGAAGGAAGGCAGGGAAGGAAGGCAGGGAAGGAAGGAAGGAAGGAAGGAAGGGAGGAAGAAGGAAGGAAGGAAGGAAGGAAGGAAGGAAGGAAGGAAAGAAGGAAAGAAAGAAGGAAAGAAAGAAAGAAAGAAGGAAAGAAAGAAGGTATGGAAGGCAGGTCGGCAATATTGAAGAGGAAAGAAGGGGGAGAAGGAAAGGAAAGGAAAGGAAAGGGTGTTCCTACATTGAAACGGGCTTTGCCTTCACCCTCCTCCAAAGGCAAACCCCTTCTGAAAAAATCTTGCCAAGCAAACCCCATGACAGGTTTGTGTTAAGATCACTGTAAATGGGCAATGGAGGCACACAAGGGCAATGAAGAAAAGCCAAAGTGTTCCGTGACCCTGGTCTTCTTTTGCGTAACTTACCGAACCAAAGATTTTGCTGATGGCTGCCTCGGTTTGGAAGTCCGTCGCTCCCTGGTCCATGTTGGCGCTAATCATGTACGCCATAGACTGCGGAGGGAAAAGAAGGCAGAGCTGATCCATTATTGAACATTTATTCCTGTTGCAATGTTCTCCTAACACAGATCTTAATATGGCCACACAATTTTATACAGTACTAGCCATCCCCTGCCACGTCTTGCTGTGGCTCACATGGGGGTTGTGTGTGGGAGGTTTGGGCCAATTCTATCGTTGGTGGGGTTCAGAATGCTCTGTGATTGTAGCTGAACTATAAATCCCAGCAACTACAACTCCCAAATGTCAAGATTCTATTTTCCCCAAACTCCACCAGTGTTCACATTTGGGCATATTGAGTATTTGTGTAGATTTTGGTCCAGATCCATCATTGTTTGAGTCCACAGTGCTCTCTGGATGTAGGTGAACTACAACTCCAAAACCAAAGGACACTGCCCACCAAACCCTTCCAGTATTTTCTGTTGGTCATGGGAGAACTGTGTGCCAAGTTTGGTTCACTTCCATCGTTGGTGGGGTTCAGAATGCTCTTTGATTGTAGGTGAACTATAAATCCCAGCAACTACAACTCCCAAATGTCAAGATTCTATTTTCCCCAAACTCCACCAGTGTTCACATTTGGGCATATTGAGTATTCGTGTAGAGTTTGGTCCAGATCCATCATTGTTTGAGTCCACAGTGCTCTCTGGATGTAGGTGAACTACAACTCCAAAACCAAAGGACACTGCCCACCAAACCCTTCCAGTATTTTCTGTTGGTCATGGGAGGACTGTGTGCCAAGTTTGGTTCAATTCCATCGTTGGTGGGGTTCAGAATGCTCTTTGATTGTAGGTGAACTATAAATCCCAGCAACTACAACTCCCAAATGACAAAATCATTTTTTTAGTGAAGGACATACATTGGGTTGTTAGGTGTATCGTGTCCACATTTGGTGTCGATTCCCCCAGTGGTTTTTGAGTTCTGTTAATCCCACAAATGAACATTATATCCATCCTTCATGTGGGATGCCGGTCCCGGAAACCCAAATAGCGCATGGTGCGCTCCAAGATCTGGCACAGTTTTCTGCTTAAGGTGAACATGACCCCGCATGGATGCCAGCATTCACTTAATGGGGATGTTCTGCAAATCTGGTGAAGTTGTGGTTTTCTCCCACTATTAATTAGTATGAATTCCTCGCTGCTGTTTAGGCCAACGGATCCCCATCGGAACCATGTATTGCTAGGAGACAGCAGTAATTTCGTTACTACGCATCTTGCTAATTTTGCTCTGGTTGCTAGAAACCTAGGAGCTCGGCGCCCTGCAGGTTGGTTTTAAGGCTGTAATCGCCCATAATATTGTTATTTAATTTTTGTAAATTAATATTGTAGCTTAATTGGTTTTTTTAATGTACTAGTGTGTATACACACACATACACACACACACACACACATATGAGGGTTGAATGAAAAGTAATGCCGCCATCTTCGTAACTCCTCAACAGATGGCAGCACTGCTATGCAGCAGGTACTGACTTGTTCAGTAGACTCTTCTCTTCAGTTTCTGCTGTCAAGAATTCAATAACTGCATTCACATTGACCGACCGTCTGTGCAGGGTTCCATACTTCACACTTTAACAACACAACCGTTCAATGCTAAGGCTTCCCGCCAAAATGGAACTGTAGAGGAGAGTCTACTGAACAAGCCAGTACCTGCCGCATACCAGTACTATCATCTGTTGAGGAGTTACGAAGGTGGAGGCATTACTTTTCATTCAACCTTCGTATATCCAGTGTTGCCCGAGTATGCATTTTCTTTTTGACTCTTTCTTTCCTTCTTCTATTTCCCTGACACACCTTCACCTCTCCTTTTCTTTTCTTTCTTTCTTTCCTCCCTTCCTTTGTCTCTTCTTTCTTCCCTTCTTTCTCTTCTTCTTTCTTCTTCCCTTCCTTTTCTTTTCCTCTTCCTTCTTTCCTTCTCTCCTTTTTCTATCTTCCCCAGCTCCCTTCTTCCTTCCTTTCTTTCCCTCTCTTTCTTTCCCTCTCTTTCTCTCCTTCCTTCCTTCCTTCCCCTCATACACGTCTCCTAGCAGAAATCATTTCGCTATAATATAAATTATATTATAATATAATATAAATATTATAATATCATAATATAATATAATAATTATCCCAAAGGGGATAATAACATCCCATAATAAAATTTTATTCTAATGCAATTTATTAATATAAATTATATTATAATATAAATCACAAATATTATAATATCATAATATAATATAATAATTATCCCAAAGGGGATAATAACATCCCATAATAAAATTTTATTCTAATGCAATTTATTAATATAAATTATATTATAATATAAATATTATAATATCATAATATAATATAATAATTATCCCAAAGGGGATAATAACATCCCATAATAAAATTTTATTCCAATATAATTTATTAATATAAATTATATTATAATATAAATTATATTATAGTATAATTTTTATAATAATTATCCCAAAGGGGATGATAACATCCCATATTACACAATGTAATAACATTTGGGAGAAAAAAATCTGTTCCTGGTTTGAAAACATTTCCTGTTTAAGTGTGCAGTCCTTACTCTGAAAGTAGTTCAAAGTAGTTCTACTCCAGAAACTTCATTTTTTGTGGCTCCCACAAAACAGGTTGAATTGGTTGAGACTCGATGATGAGAGATTCACTGAAAAACTAGAGCAAAATATAGCAGGATGTCTCTCTTGCAAAGTTTTGGTAGTTTAATAAACTTTTCCCACATTTTTATGATAGAACCAATTAGGAAATGTGTCAGGTTTTACAATGTATTGCAATGTAATGTAGCTAAGTCATGCACTGCTAATAGGCTTCTATTGAAAATGCTGAGTCATGCATTAACTGTATATAGAACTTCATTTGGGGAATGTGTTCTGGCCTAGTCCAGGTGATTGTGAATGATGCAATCCTGGGTCTGAGTTGAGTCAATGAGTTGGGAACCAATCGGTGATTGCTATGTGTAAATGAATTGTAGGTGTAAATGAATAGTGTCTAGATTGCTATATGTAAATGAATAGTGTCTAGATCTAGGGAAGTCATGCTACCCATGCTCTATTCTGCTTTGGTTAGACCACACCTGGAATATTGTGTCCAATTCTGGGCACCACAATTCAAGAGAGATATTGACAAGCTGGAATGTGTCCAGAGGAGAGCGACTAAAATGATAAAAGGTCTGGAGAACAAGCCCCATGAGGAGCGGCTTAAGGAGCTGGGCATGTTTAGCCTGAAGAAGAGAAGGCTGAGAGGAGGTATGATAGCCATGTATAAATATGTGAGAGGAGCCACAGGGAGGAGGGAGCAAGGTTGTTTTCTGCCTTCCTGGAGACTAGGACGCGGAACAATGGCTTCAAACTACAAGAAAGGAGATTCCATCTGAACATGAGGAAGAACTTCCTGACTGTGAGAGCCGTTCAGCAGTGGAACTCTCTGCCCCGGAGTGTGGTGGAGGCTCCTTCTTTGGAAGCTTTTAAACAGAGGCTGGATGGCCATCTGTCAGGGGTGAGTTGAATGCAATATTCCTGCTTCTTGGCAGAATGGGGTTGGACTGGATGGCCCATGAGGTCTCTTCCAACTCTTTGATTCTATGATTCTATGTATATAAGGAAGTCGTGTACAGTGTATATTTCTCCTTGTCCTGTGATGTTGTTCGTCGAAGGCTATATGTAATTAAAGAACCTGTCTGCTAAGACAAGATATAACTGTATGCTGGGGTAAGTCTGTAATATCATCTAGACTAAGGGGAAAGACAATGGTAAAACTGACAATGGCCGGGCATGTGCTCAAGTGTCTGTAAAAGGTTCCAGAGTGACTGCAGGCTGTGGGAGCAGTTGACTGAAAATACTGTGCAGGAAGAAGCTACTGGAAAGCGCTGAAGTTGTGCAACTGATCTGCTGCTGAATTGTGAAGTAAATCTCAACAAAATGACATTTATAATCCTGGAACAAAAACCATAGTGTTACATAGTATTATCAAACGGCTTTGGAAAGGCCATGCGCCTTTGCTCACCTCCGTCACGTACTGGAGCATGGCCATCCGCGCCAACTTCTCCTGGATCGTTCCGAAGTTATGGATTTTATCCCCAAACTGGGTCCGGTTTGCAGCAAAATCCGCCTTTTGTGATGATGGGCAAAGAAGGGGAAATAAAGGGGAGACAATGAGACCTGGTGGTGATGGATCACGACAAGGAGAGGAAGAATTGAGGTGAAGAGAAAGAAGAACAATTAAGTTGCACCCACAGTGTGGAATTAATGCAGTTTGAGCCCCCCTTTGCCAAAGCGTTGGTGCCTCTCCAAATCACAGTTTCCAGAATTCCACAGACTTGAGCCATAACAAGTAAAGTGGTACCAAACTGCATTAACTCCACAGTGTAGATGTGTCAACAGAAATGCAAACTGCCCATAGGGTGCAGGAGGTCGCTCACCGCTTTGCTGATGACCCCGCGCATGGTGCCAGCCAAGGCGGCGGCCATCCCGAAGCGCCCATTGTTGAGGATGTTCATGGCCACCTTGAACCCGGCACCGGGGCCCCCCAAGACGTTCTCGGCCGGGACGCGGACCCCGTCAAAGTGGACCTCCGCCGTGTTGGAGGCCTTGATGCCCATCTTCTTCTCTGGGGGTCCGCTAGAAAAGGGAGAAAGTGCATTCATTATACACATTATACATCCCAGGCATTGGAAACGCGTTGTGGACTAAGACCCTTACTATCTTCACACTAATTTTCCAGCATGCAGGAAGATACTAAAGGTGCATCTTCACTGCAAACTTAATGCATTCCGACCCCATTTTGACTGTCTTAGCTAAATACTATGGATTCTTGAAAGTTATAGTTTTACGAGGGTTGACTGAAAAGTAATGCCTCCACCATCGTAATTCCTCAACAGGTGGCAGTACTGGTATGCAGCAGGTACTGGCTTGTTCAGTAGACTCTCCTCTATAGTTCGGTTTGGCAGGAAGCCTTAGCATTTAACGGTTGTGTTGTTAAAGTGCGAAGTATGGATCCTTGTGCAGACGGTCGGTCAATGTGACTTAAGCAACGTGCAGTCATTGAATTCTTGGCCTCAGAAAGTGTCACCTCAACATCTTTAAACTTACTTGCTCAACAACGCACGCTACTCACATCAAGACAATCACCATAAAGAGCTTGCATTCCCTGATGAATCTCCTTTGGGGTGACACCTTCTGCTGCCAAGAATTCAATGACTGTATATTGCTTAAGTCGCATTGACTGACCGTCTGCACAGGGTTCACATAGTATATAGTATAGTATGTACTATGTATAATATAATATACATAGCACACACAATACTATGTATATTATATTATACATAGTATAGTATAGTATAGTATAGTATAGAATAGAATAGAATAATATAATATTATTATTTCTTCTTCAGTGGTGTGGAAGACTCCGGTAGCTTTGGGAGCTTCAAGGGCTTCTAAATACTATGTACTATCTATCTATATAAATAAAAATGTAATGTTCGTTTGTGATATTCACAGAACTCAAAAACCACTGGGGGAATTGACACCAAATTTGGACATGATACACCTAACAACCCAATGTATGTCCTTCACTCAAAAAAATTGATTTTGTCATTTGGGAGTTGTAGTTGCTGGGATTTATAGTTCACCTACAATCAAAGAGCATTCTAAACCCCACCAACGATGGAATTGAACCAAACTTGGCACACAGTTCTCCATGACCAACAGAAAATACTGGAAGGGTTTGGTGGGCAGTGTCCTTTGGTTTTGGAGTTGTAGTTCACCTACATCCAGAGATCACTGTGGACTCAAACAATGATGGATCTGGACCAAACTCTACACAAAGACTCAATATGCCCAAATGTGAACACTGGTGGAGTTTGGGGAAAATAGAATCTTGACACTTGGGAGTTGTAGTTGCTGGGATTTACAGTTCACCTACAATCACAGAACATTCTGAACATCACCAATGATAGAATTGGGCCAAACTTCCCACACTGAACCCCCATGTGGGCCACAGCAATGCGTGGCAGGGGACGGCTAGTGTATAATATAAAATACTTATATTAAATTATGCATAGTATAGTATAGTAAAGTATAATATAATATTATTATTTCTTCTTCAGTGGTGTGGAAGACTCTGTTAGTTTTGGGAGCTTCAAGGGCTTCTAAATGCTATGTACTATGTATAATATAAAATACTTAGTACATACTATACTACGTATATTATAGTATACATAGTACATAGTATAGTATGTACTATGTATAATATAATATACATAGCACATACTATACTATGTATATTATTTTATACATAGTATAGTATAGTATAGTATAGTATAGTATAGTATAGAATAATGATATGATTATTATTTCTTCTTCAGTAGTGTGGAAGACTGATAGTTTGGGAGCTTCAAGGGCTTCTAAATACTATGTACTATGTATAATATAAAATACTTAGTACATACTATACTACGCATATTATAGTATACGTAGTACATAGTATAGTATGTACTATGCATAATATAATATACATAGTACATACTATACTATGTATATTATATTATACATAGTATAATATAATATAATATAATATAATATAATATAATATAATATAATATAATATAATATAATTATTTGTTCTTCAGTGGTGTGGATGACTTTGGTAGCTGTGGGAGCTTCAAGGGCTGTGCTTTGGGGTCCCAAGTACCACCTCTTGACCATCTGTGACAGATATTGTTGATCCACATTCTTTGGCAAAGGACAGATATCACCCAAAGAGTTGTGCGTCCCCAAAACAGACCGCCATATTGGGCTAAACGGAGAACAACCTCCCACGCTACTCACGTTGTGACTCCTCCGAAGGACCGCTCCACAATGAAGGCGGTGATCTTGTCCTTCACTTCGCCCGTTGTCTCGTCCTTCACCGGCGTCCGCGCAAAAACGGTGAAGATGTCGGCAATGCCGCCGTTGCTGCAAGAGATGGCGTGAGTCAAGACTGAGATGCAGCAGCTAAAAAGGCCAATGCAATTGTAGCCAGCATCAATAGTATTTAGAGCAGGCATGGGCAAACTTGGCCCCTCCAGGTGTTTTGGACTTCAACTCCCACAATTCCTAACAGCCGGTAGGCTGTTAGGAATTGTGGGAGTTGCAGTCCAAAACACCTGGAGGACTCAAGTTTGCCGGTAGGCTCTTAGGAATGGTGGGAGTTGTAGTTCAAAACACATGAAGGGCCCAATTTGCCGGTAGGCTGTTAGGAATTGTGGGAGTTGCAGTCCAAAACACCTGGAGGACCCAAGTTTGCTGGTAAGCTTTTAGGAATTGTGGGGTTTGCAGTCCAAAATACCTGGAGGGTCCAAGTTTGCCAGTAGGCTGTTAGGAATTGTAGGATTTGCAGTCCAAAACACCTGGAGGGCCCAAGTTTGCCGGTAGGCTATTAGGAATGGTGGGATTTGCAGTCCAAAACACCTGGAGGGCCCAAGTTTGCCGGTAGGCTGTTAGGAATGGTGGGATTTGCAGTCCAAAACACCTGGAGGGCCCAAGTTTGCCTTAGGCTATTAGGAATGGTGGGATTTGCACTCCAAAACACCTGGAGGGCCCAAGTTTGCCTTAGGCTATTAGGAATGGTGGGATTTGCAGTCCAAAACACCTGGAGGGCCCAAGTTTGCCTTAGGCTGTTAGGAATGGTGGGATTGCAGTCCAAAACACCTGGAGGGCCCAAGTTTGCCTTAGGCTGTTAGGAATGGTGGGATTTGCAGTCCAAAACACCTGGAGGGCCCAAGTTTGCCAGTAGGCTGTTAGGAATTGTGGGATTTGCAGTCCAAAACACCTGGAGGGCCCAAGTTTGCCTTAGGCTATTAGGAATGGTGGGATTTGCAGTCCAAAACACCTGGAGGGCCCAAGTTTGCCTTAGGCTATTAGGAATGGTGGGATTTGCAGTCCAAAACACCTGGAGGGCCCAAGTTTGCCTTAGGCTATTAGGAATGGTGGGATTGGCAGTCCAAAACACCTGGAGGGCCCAAGTTTGCCTTAGGCTATTAGGAATGGTGGGATTGGCAGTCCAAAACACCTGGAGGGCCCAAGTTTGCCTTAGGCTATTAGGAATGGTGGGATTTGCAGTCCAAAACACCTGGAGGGCCCAAGTTTGCCGGTAGGCTGTTAGGAATGGTGGGATTTGCAGTCCAAAACATCTGGAGGGCCCAAGTTTGCTGGTAAGCTTTTAGGAATTGTGGGGTTTGCAGTCCAAAATACCTGGAGGGTCCAAGTTTGCCAGTAGGCTGTTAGGAATTGTAGGATTTGCAGTCCAAAACACCTGGAGGGCCCAAGTTTGCCGGTAGGCTATTAGGAATGGTGGGATTTGCAGTCCAAAACACCTGGAGGGCCCAAGTTTGCCGGTAGGCTGTTAGGAATGGTGGGATTTGCACTCCAAAACACCTGGAGGGCCCAAGTTTGCCGGTAGGCTGTTAGGAATGGTGGGATTTGCACTCCAAAACACCTGGAGGGCCCAAGTTTGCCGGTAGGCTGTTAGGCATGGTGGGATTTGCAGTCCAAAACACCTGGAGGGCCCAAGTTTGCCTTAGGCTGTTAGGAATGGTGGGATTTGCAGTCCAAAACACCTGGAGGGCCCAAGTTTGCCAGTAGGCTGTTAGGAATTGTGGGATTTGCAGTCCAAAACACCTGGAGGGCCCAAGTTTGCCTTAGGCTATTAGGAATGGTGGGATTTGCACTCCAAAACACCTGGAGGGCCCAAGTTTGCCTTAGGCTATTAGGAATGGTGGGATTGGCAGTCCAAAACACCTGGAGGGCCCAAGTTTGCCTTAGGCTATTAGGAATGGTGGGATTTGCAGTCCAAAACACCTGGAGGGCCCAAGTTTGCCTTAGGCTATTAGGAATGGTGGGATTTGCAGTCCAAAACACCTGGAGGGCCCAAGTTTGCCTTAGGCTATTAGGAATGGTGGGATTGGCAGTCCAAAACACCTGGAGGGCCCAAGTTTGCCTTAGGCTATTAGGAATGGTGGGATTGGCAGTCCAAAACACCTGGAGGGCCCAAGTTTGCCTTAGGCTATTAGGAATGGTGGGATTTGCAGTCCAAAACACCTGGAGGGCCCAAGTTTGCCGGTAGGCTGTTAGGAATGGTGGGATTTGCAGTCCAAAACATCTGGAGGGCCCAAGTTTGCTGGTAAGCTTTTAGGAATTGTGGGGTTTGCAGTCCAAAATACCTGGAGGGTCCAAGTTTGCCAGTAGGCTGTTAGGAATTGTAGGATTTGCAGTCCAAAACACCTGGAGGGCCCAAGTTTGCCGGTAGGCTATTAGGAATGGTGGGATTTGCAGTCCAAAACACCTGGAGGGCCCAAGTTTGCCGGTAGGCTGTTAGGAATGGTGGGATTTGCAGTCCAAAACACCTGGAGGGCCCAAGTTTGCCGGTAGGCTGTTAGGAATGGTGGGATTTGCACTCCAAAACACCTGGAGGGCCCAAGTTTGCCGGTAGGCTGTTAGGCATGGTGGGATTTGCAGTCCAAAACACCTGGAGGGCCCAAGTTTGCCTTAGGCTGTTAGGAATGGTGGGATTTGCAGTCCAAAACACCTGGAGGGCCCAAGTTTGCCTTAGGCTGTTAGGAATGGTGGGATTTGCAGTCCAAAACACCTGGAGGGCCCAAGTTTGCCAGTAGGCTGTTAGGAATTGTGGGATTTGCAGTCCAAAACACCTGGAGGGCCCAAGTTTGCCTTAGGCTATTAGGAATGGTGGGATTTGCAGTCCAAAACACCTGGAGGGCCCAAGTTTGCCTTAGGCTATTAGGAATGGTGGGATTTGCAGTCCAAAACACCTGGAGGGCCCAAGTTTGCCTTAGGCTATTAGGAATGGTGGGATTGGCAGTCCAAAACACCTGGAGGGCCCAAGTTTGCCTTAGGCTATTAGGAATGGTGGGATTTGCAGTCCAAAACACCTGGAGGGCCCAAGTTTGCCTTAGGCTATTAGGAATGGTGGGATTGGCAGTCCAAAACACCTGGAGGGCCCAAGTTTGCCTTAGGCTATTAGGAATGGTGGGATTTGCAGTCCAAAACACCTGGAGGGCCCAAGTTTGCCTTAGGCTATTAGGAATGGTGGGATTTGCAGTCCAAAACACCTGGAGGGCCCAAGTTTGCCGGTAGGCTGTTAGGAATGGTGGGATTTGCAGTCCAAAACATCTGGAGGGCCCAAGTTTGCTGGTAAGCTTTTAGGAATTGTGGGGTTTGCAGTCCAAAATACCTGGAGGGTCCAAGTTTGCCAGTAGGCTGTTAGGAATTGTAGGATTTGCAGTCCAAAACACCTGGAGGGCCCAAGTTTGCCGGTAGGCTATTAGGAATGGTGGGATTTGCAGTCCAAAACACCTGGAGGGCCCAAGTTTGCCTTAGGCTATTAGGAATGGTGGGATTTGCAGTCCAAAACACCTGGAGGGCCCAAGTTTGCCTTAGGCTGTTAGGAATGGTGGGATTGGCAGTCCAAAACACCTGGAGGGCCCAAGTTTGCCTTAGGCTATTAGGAATGGTGGGATTGGCAGTCCAAAACACCTGGAGGGCCCAAGTTTGCCTTAGGCTATTAGGAATGGTGGGATTTGCAGTCCAAAACACCTGGAGGGCCCAAGTTTGCCTTAGGCTATTAGGAATGGTGGGATTGGCAGTCCAAAACACCTGGAGGGCCCAAGTTTGCCTTAGGCTATTAGGAATGGTGGGATTTGCAGTCCAAAACACCTGGAGGGCCCAAGTTTGCCTTAGGCTATTAGGAATGGTGGGATTTGCAGTCCAAAACACCTGGAGGGCCCAAGTTTGCCGGTAGGCTGTTAGGAATGGTGGGATTTGCAGTCCAAAACATCTGGAGGGCCCAAGTTTGCTGGTAAGCTTTTAGGAATTGTGGGGTTTGCAGTCCAAAATACCTGGAGGGTCCAAGTTTGCCAGTAGGCTGTTAGGAATTGTAGGATTTGCAGTCCAAAACACCTGGAGGGCCCAAGTTTGCCGGTAGGCTATTAGGAATGGTGGGATTTGCAGTCCAAAACACCTGGAGGGCCCAAGTTTGCCGGTAGGCTGTTAGGAATGGTGGGATTTGCAGTCCAAAACACCTGGAGGGCCCAAGTTTGCCGGTAGGCTGTTAGGAATGGTGGGATTTGCACTCCAAAACACCTGGAGGGCCCAAGTTTGCCGGTAGGCTGTTAGGCATGGTGGGATTTGCAGTCCAAAACACCTGGAGGGCCCAAGTTTGCCTTAGGCTGTTAGGAATGGTGGGATTTGCAGTCCAAAACACCTGGAGGGCCCAAGTTTGCCTTAGGCTGTTAGGAATGGTGGGATTTGCAGTCCAAAACACCTGGAGGGCCCAAGTTTGCCAGTAGGCTGTTAGGAATTGTGGGATTTGCAGTCCAAAACACCTGGAGGGCCCAAGTTTGCCTTAGGCTATTAGGAATGGTGGGATTTGCACTCCAAAACACCTGGAGGGCCCAAGTTTGCCTTAGGCTATTAGGAATGGTGGGATTTGCAGTCCAAAACACCTGGAGGGCCCAAGTTTGCCTTAGGCTATTAGGAATGGTGGGATTGGCAGTCCAAAACACCTGGAGGGCCCAAGTTTGCCTTAGGCTATTAGGAATGGTGGGATTGGCAGTCCAAAACACCTGGAGGGCCCAAGTTTGCCTTAGGCTATTAGGAATGGTGGGATTTGCAGTCCAAAACACCTGGAGGGCCCAAGTTTGCCTTAGGCTATTAGGAATGGTGGGATTTGCAGTCCAAAACACCTGGAGGGCCCAAGTTTGCCTTAGGCTATTAGGAATGGTGGGATTTGCAGTCCAAAACACCTGGAGGGCCCAAGTTTGCCGGTAGGCTGTTAGGAATGGTGGGATTTGCAGTCCAAAACATCTGGAGGGCCCAAGTTTGCTGGTAAGCTTTTAGGAATTGTGGGGTTTGCAGTCCAAAATACCTGGAGGGTCCAAGTTTGCCAGTAGGCTGTTAGGAATTGTAGGATTTGCAGTCCAAAACACCTGGAGGGCCCAAGTTTGCCGGTAGGCTATTAGGAATGGTGGGATTTGCAGTCCAAAACACCTGGAGGGCCCAAGTTTGCCGGTAGGCTGTTAGGAATGGTGGGATTTGCACTCCAAAACACCTGGAGGGCCCAAGTTTGCCGGTAGGCTGTTAGGAATGGTGGGATTTGCACTCCAAAACACCTGGAGGGCCCAAGTTTGCCGGTAGGCTGTTAGGCATGGTGGGATTTGCAGTCCAAAACACCTGGAGGGCCCAAGTTTGCCGGTAGGCTGTTAGGAATGGTGGGATTTGCAGTCCAAAACACCTGGAGGGCCCAAGTTTGCCGGTAGGCTGTTAGGAATGGTGGGATTTGCAGTCCAAAACACCTGGAGGGCCCAAGTTTGCCGGTAGGCTGTTAGGAATGGTGGGATTTGCACTCCAAAACACCTGGAGGGCCCAAGTTTGCCGGTAGGCTGTTAGGAATGGTGGGATTTGCACTCCAAAACACCTGGAGGGCCCAAGTTTGCCGGTAGGCTGTTAGGCATGGTGGGATTTGCAGTCCAAAACACCTGGAGGGCCCAAGTTTGCCTTAGGCTGTTAGGAATGGTGGGATTTGCAGTCCAAAACACCTGGAGGGCCCAAGTTTGCCGGTAGGCTGTTAGGAATGGTGGGATTTGCAGTCCAAAACACCTGGAGGGCCCAAGTTTGCCGGTAGGCTGTTAGGAATGGTGGGATTTGCAGTCCAAAACACCTGGAGGGCCCAAGTTTGCCTTAGGCTATTAGGAATGGTGGGATTTGCAGTCCAAAACACCTGGAGGGCCCAAGTTTGCCTTAGGCTATTAGGAATGGTGGGATTGGCAGTCCAAAACACCTGGAGGGCCCAAGTTTGCCTTAGGCTATTAGGAATGGTGGGATTTGCAGTCCAAAACACCTGGAGGGCCCAAGTTTGCCTTAGGCTATTAGGAATGGTGGGATTTGCAGTCCAAAACACCTGGAGGGCCCAAGTTTGCCGGTAGGCTGTTAGGAATGGTGGGATTTGCAGTCCAAAACATCTGGAGGGCCCAAGTTTGCTGGTAAGCTTTTAGGAATTGTGGGGTTTGCAGTCCAAAATACCTGGAGGGTCCAAGTTTGCCAGTAGGCTGTTAGGAATTGTAGGATTTGCAGTCCAAAACACCTGGAGGGCCCAAGTTTGCCGGTAGGCTATTAGGAATGGTGGGATTTGCAGTCCAAAACACCTGGAGGGCCCAAGTTTGCCGGTAGGCTGTTAGGAATGGTGGGATTTGCACTCCAAAACACCTGGAGGGCCCAAGTTTGCCGGTAGGCTGTTAGGAATGGTGGGATTTGCACTCCAAAACACCTGGAGGGCCCAAGTTTGCCGGTAGGCTGTTAGGCATGGTGGGATTTGCAGTCCAAAACACCTGGAGGGCCCAAGTTTGCCTTAGGCTGTTAGGAATGGTGGGATTTGCAGTCCAAAACACCTGGAGGGCCCAAGTTTGCCAGTAGGCTGTTAGGAATTGTGGGATTTGCAGTCCAAAACACCTGGAGGGCCCAAGTTTGCCTTAGGCTATTAGGAATGGTGGGATTTGCAGTCCAAAACACCTGGAGGGCCCAAGTTTGCCTTAGGCTATTAGGAATGGTGGGATTGGCAGTCCAAAACACCTGGAGGGCCCAAGTTTGCCTTAGGCTGTTAGGAATGGTGGGATTGTAGGAATGTTAGGAATGGCTGGGAGTTGTAGTCCATGGGATTTGCACCTGTGTGTACTTCCTAATGCAAGCAAACATAGCGTGCAACCTGCTAAGCTAACATTCCAGCAGAAGTTTCAACAGGATTTCAATTATGGAAATCTTATTTTAAAAATATATTTGGAAGTAAACGATAGTATGTTCCCATCTGGGGCGTTTTCCCCTCGCTTTCTCGCGCTTGGCATTTCAAGAGTGCCAGCGCTTCTCCGGCACCTGAGTCATTACAACCAGACATCAGATGCGCCGTGCTGACAAATTTAGTACAGTTATACAACAAGGCGGGAGATAGAGAGAGAGGGAAAAGGAAGGGGAGGACGTAGGCACATGGTAGATTCTTTTTAGGGGGTGGGGAAGACACCCGCTTGCTTCTGAACATGTGCAGAGTGCGACTGCCCACCTGGATCACTTGCGCTGAGGCTATGCGCAGGAAGGCAGCCAACTGATAAGGGAGGAAAAAGGGTTTGCAAGTATGTTTGGGAAGCTTTCCTCTGGACAGATTTGCTCCTTAGCCATACAAAAATACTTTTTGCAATGTTTATGGGAGCAAGATCCCTCCAAAAGTGCAAAAACCCTAAATATAACCCTGCTATGTTTATTTATCTATCCATTTATTTATCTGGAAACAACCCAATGCATTTCTAGGTCCTCCTTGTTGGACTGTGTGTATTATATGTGTATTTGTGTGTATCTATATAAATAAAAATGTAATGTTCGTTTGTGGGATTGACAGAACTGGATGAATTGACACCAAATTTGGACACAAGACACTTATGAGGCCAACAAGTGACCATCACTCATAAAAACACTGAAAAACACAGCAGAAGGGACTTAAAAAGCCCCCAAAAAGCTAAATGACAATACAGAAAAAAGGGAAGAAAGAGGGAGGAAAGAGGAGAAAAAGAAAGAAAGAAAGAAAGAAAAGAAAAGAAAAGAAAGAGAGGAAGGAAAGAGAAGGAAGCATGGAAGCAAGAGAGAAGGAAGGAAAGAGTAGAGAAAGAAGAAAGGAGAGAAAGAGGGAGGGAAAGAAAGAAGGAAAGGAGAAGGAAGCATGGAAGCAAAGAGAGAAGGAAGGAAAGAGGTAGAGAAAGAAGAAAGGAAGGAAAGAAAGAAGGAAAGGGAGGAGGAAGCATGGAAACAAAGAGAGAAGGAAGGAAAGAGGTAGAGAAAGGAGAAAGGAGAGAAAGAGGGAGGGAAAGAAAAAGCAGGAAGGAAGGAAAGTTAGAGAGGAAGGAAGGAGAGAAGGAAAGGAAAAAGGGGAAAGAAGGAAGAGGGAGCAAAGGAAGGGGGGAGATGTAAAGAAAGGGAAGTAAAGAGAGAAGGAAGAAAAGAAAGAGAGAGCAGAAGAGAAAGAAAAAGGGGAAAGGAAGGAAAGAAATAGAGATGGAAGGAAGAAGAGAAGGAAAGATGGAAGGAAGGAAGGAAGGAAGGAAGGAAGGAAGGAAGGAAGGAAGGAAGAAAAGAGGGAGTGATGGAAGGAGGGAAAGAAGGAGAGAAAGAGGGAAGGTTGGCCACAGCAGCGCATGGCGGATACAGCTAGTCTAAATTTTAAAAAGTGCTTGTTTGGGGGATTAACATAACTCAAAAACAACTGGGCGAATTGACACCAAATTTGGTCACAAGACACCTACTAACCGAAGGAGTAACCATCACTCAAAAATTTTGATTTTATCATTTGAGAGTTGTAGTTGCTGGGATTTATAGTTCACCTACAATCAAAGACCATTCTGAACTCCACCAATTATGGAATTGAACTAAACATGTCACACAGGACTCCCATGACCAACAGAAAACACTAGGAGGGATTGGTGGGCATTGACCTTGACTTTGGGAGTTGTAGTTCACCTACATCCAGAGAGCACGGTGGACTCAAACAATGATGGATCTGTACCAAACTTGGCAGGAATACTCAATATGCCCAAATATGAACATAGATGGAGTTTGGGGGAAATAAACCTTGACATTTGGGAGTTGTAGTCACTAGGATTTACGGTTCACCTACAATCAAAGAATCCCACAAACTGTTTACACACAAGCATAGAGAAATTACATATATTAGAAACCAACACTTTCTCATTATGTAGTTTATCCACATCCAGAGAATACTGTGAACCCTGGCACCAATGATGGATCTGGGCCAAACTTTGCACGCATACCCATCATGACCAACTTTCAGTGCTGGGAGGGCTTGAGGGGAGTAATAATAGGTGTTGTAGTTCACCCACATCCTTATACATTTGGTAATGGGACCATTAATAAAATTCAAAACCAAACAATGAGTCCTTCTAATGTTTATCTCTAGAAAATACTTATCCCAGACATCAACTAAATTAGTAATACGGTATCTATCTGTACACACACACACACACACAAACACTCTGGAATTTACTCATACATGGGTTAGACGGAGATATTCCTAAAGGTGAAACTGCAATTCAATTCATATTATATAATGCCGTGCAATTTGGGAAGGGGGTGCTACGTGTTCAAACCTCTCCCTTTATGTGTTTCCCAAACCCACCTGATCCAGATCTTGCTTCCGTTCAAGGTGTAGTACTTGCCGCAGGGGCTGAGCTCTGCTGTCGAACGGATGGAGGCCGCATCTGAACCGCTGGAAGGCTCCGTCAGGCAATAGGCGGCAATGGTCTCCCCTGGAGGAAGGGGGGAAACGAGGGGGAAAGTATAGCTTAGCAGTCTGAGTGTTAGGCTGTGGGTCACAGCCCCAAAGGGGGTCCCCTTTGCTCAATGTTGGGGTCCTGAAAAAAGTGGCCATTGTAAAAGTTTCCCAAATGCCACCTAGTGGCTGTTTGCGGCATTTACACGAATGCATTGTGCAACGATTACAGAAGATGCTTCAGCTATACTTCATAAAAAGGAGAAAAAAAAACGCTTTGCAAATTCTGGCTTGTTATCAGCAAATGTTTGATTTCGATATCTATATCTATCTATATAATGTTGTTGTTCATTCGGTCAGTTGTTTCCGACTCTTCGTGACTTCATGGACCAGTTCACACCAGAGCTCCCTGTCGGCCGTGGCTACCCCCAGCTCCTTCAAGGTCAAGTCGGTCACTTCAAGGATGCCATCCATCCATCTTGCCCTAGGTTGGCCCCTCTTCCTTTTTCCTTCCATTTTCCCCAGCATAATTGTCTTCTCTAAGCTTTCCTTTCTTCTCATGATGTGGCCAAAGGACTTCATCTTGGCCTCTACTATTCTTCCCTCCAATGAGCAGTCATATTATATAATATCTATCTATCTATCTATATAATATCTCTATCTATCTATCTATCTATCTATCTATCTATCTATCTATCTATCTAATATCTATATTTATTATATTTACTAGCCGTCTCATTCCACACATTGCTGTGGCCCAGTCTGTGTAAATGTGCTTTGTGTTTATCTATTTGTTTATATCGTGATTTTATATTGTTTTGTTTGCCTATTCTGTACTTTTTAAATTATTTTCATTATATTTTATCGATGCATTATTTTATGTTGTATATTTACTTGGTTGTGATTGTTAGGCTTGGCCTCATGTAAGCCGCCCCGAGTCCCCTTGGGGAAATGGTGGCAGGGTATAAATAAAGCTTTATTTATTAATTATATGTGTATATATGTTTGTGTGTATATATTTGTGTATATGTGCATATATGTGTGCTTGTGTGTGTGTGTGTGTGTGTGTGTGTGTGTGTGTGTATATATATATATATATAGTTTTGCACATGCATTGTAATGTGTGTTTTATTTTTGGCTTTTTAAGTCCCTTCTGTTGTATTTTTCAGTATTAATTATGAGTGATGGTCACTCGTTGGCCTGAGAGGTGTCTTGTGTCCAAATTTGGTGTCAATTCGTCCAGTGGTTTTTGAGTTACGTTAATCCCACAAACGAACATTACATTTTTATTTATATAGATGTATTATATCTATATATATCTATATTTATATATAGATATATAGATATTAAATATGTATATATTATATATTATACATATTTTATATTTTATATAGCTGCAAAAAAAAAACCCTCAAGTCAGTGGAAAATATTAAGAAACTCTGCTCTACACTGCAGAATTGATGCTATCTTGACTGTCTAATCTGCATGTTATGGGATACTGAGAGTTGTAGTTTTGCAAGGCCTTTGGCCCTATTTTTCCCCCAAATGCTGGTGGCTCGTCAACTACAACTCCCGTCTTTCTGTAGCTTTGAGCCATGGCAATGAAAGCGGTGTCAAACGACATTTAATTCAATAGCATAGATGTGTTCCATGACTCTGGAGATCAGGCTCGTTCCCTTCTGTGCCAGAGACTCAGTGGAAGCATGGATTCAAACCACAGGGGAAGAAAGATTCCATCTGAAGATCTAGAAGAGCTATTTGTATAATGCAGGGGTAGGGAACCTTTGGCCCTCCAGCTGTGGTGGACTTCAACTCCCACAATTCCTTGAGGCTCGGCATTCGCCCCAAAGGCTTACCTTGGCCCAATGCCGAGCCTCAAGGAATTGTGGGAGTTGAAGTCCACCACAGCTGGAGGGCCAAAGGTTCCCTACCCCTGGTATAATGGAAGTTTTCAGCAAAGATCGTCAAGAGGGAGGGCTTGCATTGTATCTTCATGCCTAGCAGAACGGGGTTGGACTGGATGGCTTTGGGGGGGTCCCTTCCAACTCTAGGAGTCTTTGATCCTATAGCCCTATTTCTCCATGAATCTACCAATGCCTGTGAAGCTGGATGGCTATCTGCCAGGAGGGATTAGATGTTGTCTTCCTGCCTGGCAGAAGAGGGTTGGACTGGATGCCCCTTGGGTGCCCCTTCTCTGGAAGTTTTCAAAGCAGAGCCTGGTTGGTCATCTGTCATGAGGGCTTTGATTGTATCTTCCTGTCTGGCAGAAGGGGGTTGCACTGGATGGCCTCTGGGTGACCCTTCCAATTCTATAATTCTATATTTATCATGTCAGAAGCGAGTTGAGGGTGCAGTTAACATGTATTTAAAAACACAAACAAAGTCTAAAACTTGGCATTATACTAGATTTCCTTTGACCATAAGCTGGCCAAACAAAGGGGTTGGACTGGATGACCTTTGGGTGCCCCTTCCAACCTTACGATTCTGTGACTGCAATTTCTGTTGGCCCTTGGACAGCCCATGCCAGGAGATGATGGGAGTTGTAGGCAAAAATGCATCCCTACCTGTGGCCAGTTTGGGGAGATACTTCTCCTTCTGCGCTGGGTTGCCGTAGAGGAGGATGCCCTTGAAGCCGATAGACTGGTGGGCCCCGAGGGTGATGCCCACCCCGAGGTCGTGCATCCCCACGATCTCCACCAGCCGGGCATACTAGAGAGGAGAGGGAGACATGTGACACATGGGACATACAATTCCATACAACATCAACTGCCTGGGAGTTGTAGTTTTACAAGATCTTGTGCCAACAAGTGTGGAATACAGCTACCAGGATCCCCTAGCATTGAGCAAGACCTTTCCCAACAAAATATCAATTCGTTTTTAGACTTGTGTCGTTCTGTGACACTGATTCCGCTTTCCTAGCAAACCAAATTCTAATGAAGAGATATGGACACATATATAAATTGTAATAACAAAACATATACATATACATATACACAAAAATACATGATTTGTTGTTCCTTTTGGAGGAAGAGGGGAGGAAGTGTTGGTTGGAAATAATAATAATAATAATAATAATAATAACAATAATAATAATAATAATAATAACTAGCTGTCCCCTGCCATGCGTTGCTGTGGCCCAGTATGTGTATATGTGTTATGTGTGTGTGTATATGTGTTATGTGTGTGTGTATATGTGTATATCTGTATATATGTGGTTTTGTGCATGCATTGTAATGTATTTTTTATTTTATTTTTGCTTTTTAAGTCTCTGTGTTTTTCGGTGCTTTTACGAGTGATGGTCACTCGTTGGCCTGAGAGGTATATTGTGTCCAAATTTGGTGTCAATTTGCCCAGTGGTTTTTGAGTTATGCCAATCCCACAAATGAACATTACATTTTTATTTATATAGATAATAATAATAATAATAATAATAATAATAATAATAATAATAACAACTTTTTTTTTCATGTCAGGAGCGACCTGAGAAACTGCAAGTCGCTTCTGATGTGAGAGAATTGGCCGTCTGCAAGGACGTTGCCCAGGGGACGCCCGGATGATTTGATGCTTTATCATCCTTGTGGGAGGCTTCTCTCATGTCCCCGCATGAGGAGCTGGAGCTGATAGAGGGAGCTCATCAGCCTCTCCCCGGATTTGAACCTGCGACCTGTCACTCTTCAGTCCTGCCGGCACAGGGGTTTAACCCACTGCGCCACCGGGGGCTCAATAATAATAATAATAATAATAATAATAATAATAATAATAATAATAATAGACTCTGGCACAAGCCAGTCAAGGTGGTCCCAGTGGTGATTGGCACACTACGTGCAGTGCCTAAAGACCTTGGCCTGCACTAAAACACAATCGGCGCTGACAAAATTACCATCTGCAGAAGGCCACCTTACTGAGACCTGCACGCATTATTCGCCGATACATCACACAGTTCTAGGCACTTGGGAAGTGTCTGACGTGTGATCCAATACAACAGCCAGCAGAGTGATCTTGTTTGCTGTGGACTCATCTTGTTGTGTTTCTAATAATAACAATAACAACAACAACTAGGGAAGTGTCCGACGTATGATCCAATACAACAGCCAGCAGAGTGATCTTGTTTGCTGTGGACTCAATATTGTTGTGTTTCTAATAATAATAATAATAATAATAATAATAATAATAATAATAATAATAATAATAGTGTGTCCAACGTGTGATCCAAAACAACAGCCAGCAGAGTGGTCTTGTTTGCTGTGGACTCATCTTGTTGTCTTTCTAATAATAATAATAATAATAATAATAATAATAATAATAATAATAATAGTGTGTCCGATGTGTGATCCAATACAGCAGCCAGCAGAGTGGTCTTGTCTGCTGTGGACTCATCTTGTTGTGTTTCAAATAATAATAATAAGTTCTATAACAGACAAAAATAGTCATCAAGGAAGACCATCTTACTCGTCCAACGAGGGATCATCTAAGTAAGTAAGTAAGTAAGTAATAATAATAATAATAATAATAATAATAATAATAATAATAGAACTATAGAATCCTAGACTTGGAATAGACCCCAAGGGTCATCCAACTCCCTTCTGTCAGGCAGGTAGACACAATCAAAGCCCTCCCCACAGATGGCCGTCCCCATCTGTTTAAAACTCTTCAGAGAAGAAGACCCCAGTGACGGATACTGTACTGCCAAACAGCTCTTATCATCTTCATGTTTAGGCCAGGGGTCCTCAATAACAACAACAACAATCTGCCTCTCCTCGGAGTATCAACCCTTGTATAATAATAATAATAATTATTATTATTATTACTACTACTACTACTACTACTAGCAATTGGGAATAAAGGGAACCCTATGGTCATGCATTCTGTCCTGTTTTCACCTCTGTTTCTTACGTCTCTGCAACTTCAAAGTGTTTTGATTCCTGTCTGCAAAGAGAGGCCACTTCCCCCTTCTTCCCAAAAGTCTTTAGTGCTTTATTACCCTTTTATAAGTCTTTATTTCCCTTTGTTTGAGAAGGAAGCACCATGAAGCTTCTCTCTGTCTCAAGAGACACGAGAGTCAGCATTAGGGACCTTTCCTCTGAAGTTCGGTCACTTTCTTCTCTCTATGTACCTTTTTATATGAGATGCATTACCTGTAACAATAATCTTGTGCATTTTCTCTCCCGTTTCCAACCCTAAGCTCCTATACAGCACTGGCTACATTGCTCTCTGCTCTGCTATAGGTATCACATCCTACCTGGGATGCTCACCTGTGTGTTGCTGAGCCCCAAGCCGCCTAATTGAACCGGGATCTGCAAACCGAACGCTCCGAGTTCCTTCAGGCCTTCCATGGTCTTCTCCTCCACTTTTTCCAAGGCATCGTTCTTGGCTGGATCGTTTACCTCCTGCAAAAATGGAACAGAGGGTCACTTGTGTTGTCAAAGGCTTTCATGGCCGGAGTCACTGGGCTGTTGTGAGTTTTCCAGGCTGTCTGGCCATGTTCCAGAAGCATTCTCTCATGACGTTTCACCCACATCTATGGCAGGCATCCTCAGAGGTTGTGAGGTCTGTGGGAGACTAATCACGTGGGGTTTATATATCTGTCCAGGGCGGGAGAAAGAACTCTTGTCTGCTTGAGGCAAGTGGGAATGTTGCATTTGGCAACCTTGATATATATAGACAAGCTGGAAGGATATATGGGCAGTGGGTTCAAAGAGCAGGAAAAGGGATTCAAACTAAACACTAAGAAGAACTTCCTGGCGGTTCAATGTTGGAATATGCTGCCTTGGGAGTCTTCTTCGGAGCATGTGGACAATTTCAACAGAAAGGAGGAAACCATGAAAATGAACAAAATCTGGCTACCAGTATTTCAAAAACTCTAAAATCAGGACAGCAAATAATGAGCAACACTCAAAACCCAAGGAATTCCAGACAAGAAACAATCAGGGTCAGCTAAATAACTCCCAAGAAAGCATTCCTCCAGGCAAGAAGCAGCCAGTCTTTGAAGCTGCAAGGCCATTAAATGCTAATCAAGGCGGCCAATTGCAACATTCACATTCGAATTCCAACCTCCCCTTCACTTCCAGAATACAGTTCGTCTTCTAATTATAATAATACGATATTGTAATTATATATTTTATATTACATGTGACATTACTAATACTATTATAGTACTAGCTGTCCTCTGCCATGCAATGCTGTGGACCAGTTTGTGTATGTGTGTTTTGTGTGTGTATATATGCGTATATGTGTGTGTATGTGTTTGTGTATATGCGTATATATGTGTGTTTGTGTATATATGTGGGTTTTTGCATTCATTGTAATGTATTTTTTATTTCTTGGCTTTTAAAGTTTCTTCTGCTGTGTTTTTCAGTGTTTTATGAGTGATGGTCACTCATTGGCCTGAGAGGTGTCTTGTGTCCAAATTACGTGTCAATTCATCCAGTGGTTTTTGAGTTATGTTAATCCCACAAAGGAACATTACATTTTTATTTATATAGACTAGATGTACCCACCACGCGTTGCTGTGGCCAACCTTCCCTCTTTCTCTCCTTCTTTTCCTCCTTCCTTCAATCCTCTTTCCTTCCTTCCTTCCCGTCTTTCCTTCTCTTCTTCCTTCCTTCTCTATCTCTTTCCTTCTTTCCCCCCTTTTCTTTCTCTTCTGCTGTCTCTTTTCTTCCTTCTCTCTTTCCTTCTTTCCTTCCCTCCCTCTTTCTCTTCCCTCCTTCCTTCGCTCCCTCTTTCCTTCCTTTCCTTTTTCTTCCTTCCTCCTTCCTTCCTTCCTTCCTTTTCCTTCCCCCTTTTTCTTTCCCTCCCTCTTTCTCTCCTTTCTTCCTTCTCTACCTCTTTCCTTCCTTCTCCCTTTCTTCCTTTCTTTCTCTCCCTCCCTCCCTCCCTCCCTCTTTCTTTCTTTCTTTCTTTCTTTCTTTCCTTCTCCTTCCTCCCTCCCTCTTTCCCTTTTTTCTGTATTGTCGTTTAGCTTTTCCAGCAACTACAACTCCCAAATGACAAAATCAATGTTTTTGAGTGAAGGACGTACATTAGGGTGTTAGGTGTCTTGTGTCCAAATTTGGTGTCAATTCGTCCAGTGGTTTTTGAGTTACTGTTAATCCCACAAACGAACATTCACATTTTTATATAATGGTATAGTACAATATAGTAATATATAATACTAATATTGTGCTATGGTAATTAATAATATAATATATTGTATTTACATATTACTCGTAAGCCGCTCTGAGTCCCCTTTAGGGTGAGAAGGGCGGCATATATATGTCGTAAATAAATAATAATAAATAATTGTATCCGTACCTCGAAGAACCGAGTAACCGGACCCACCAGTTCTCTCAATGTCTGGGCTTGTTCTTCAGTAAGAGCTAGAAGGGGAAAAATTGGGTGATGGTTAGGATCCAGGCCAGTGCCTTGCAAAACCTGGCCTTCCACTTTGGAAACGACGACAGTAAAGGTGGATAAGAGCAATCCTATTAACAAAGGCAGGCATGGGCCAACTTTGGCCCTCCAGGTGTTTTGGACTTCAACTCCCACCATTCCTAACAGCCGGTAGGCTGTTAGGAATGGTGGGAGTTGAAGTCCAAAACACCTGGAGGGCCAAAGTTGGCCCATGTCTGAACTAAGGTGTGAGTAGCTTGTTTTCTGCCTCCAGGAACCATTATTATTATTATTATTATTATTATTATTATTATTAGTCACCAATCACCATCCTAAGACTTTTTTACCTGAAGGATAAGGGAAAACTTGCTCTGTGTTGATCTGGCCTTTGAACACGCCCACCGCGAATGACTTGGACTCCTGCAAATTGGGAAAAAAGAGAGAAAAAAAGAACGGTCTTAAAGTATTCAAAGGTACTGGGTTCGAATGTTTTGTGCATTCATTGTAACGTATTTTTTTTTGTTTTTTGGCTTTTTAAGTCTCTTTTGTTGTTTTCCCGTGTTTTTATGAGTAATGGTCACTCGTTGGCTTGACAAGTGTATTGTATCCAAATTTAGTGTCAGTTCGTCCAGTGGTTTTTGAGTTATATTAACCCCACAAACAAACATTACATTTTTATTTATATAGACTAGCTGTCCCCTGCCACGCCTTGCTGTGGCCCAATCTCGTGGTCATGGGGGTTCTGTGTGGGAGGTTTGGCCCAATTCTGTTGTTGGTGGGGTTCAGAATGCTCTGTGATTGTAGCTGAACTATAAATCCCAGCAACTACAACTCCAAATGTCAATATTCTATTTTTCCCAAACTCCACCAGTGTTCACATTTGGGCATATTGAGTATTCGTGTAGAGTTTGGTCCAGATCCATCATTGTTTGAGTCCACAGTGCTCTCTGGATGTAGGTGAACTACAACTCCAAAACCAAAGGACACTGCCCACCAAACCCTTCCAGTATTTTCTGTTGGCCATGGGAGATCTGTGTTCCAAGTTTGGTTCAATTCCATCGTTGGTGGCATTCAGAATGCTCTTTGATTGTAGGTGAACTATAAATCCCAGCAACTACAACTCCCAAATGACAAAATCAATTTTTTGAGTGAAGGACATACATTGGGCTGTTAGGTGTCTTGTGTCCAAATTTGGTGTCAATTCGTCCAGTGGTTTTTGAGTTATGTTAATCCCACAGACGAACATTACATTTTTATTTATATAGATGATAATGATTATTATTATTAGTAGTAGTAGTAGCAGCATTACTATATTATTATTACCATTACTAGCTCTCACATGCGTTTCTGTGTCCCAGTCTGTGTATATGTGTTTTGTGTGTGTATATATTTGTGTATATGTGTATATATGTGGTTATGCACATGCTTTGCAATGTATTTTTTTTATTTTTTTGGCTTTTTAAGTCTTTTTTGCTGTGTTTTCCCATGTTTTTATGAGTGATGGTCACTCGTTGGCCTGATAGGTGTCTTGTGTCCAAATTCGGTGCCAATTCGTTCAGTGGTTTTTGAGTTACATTAATCCCACAAACAAACATTACATTTTTATTTATATAGATGATGATGATTATTATTATTTGTGGCAGCATTACTATATTATTATTATTATTACCATTACTAGCCCTCCCCTACCAAGTGTTGCTGTGCCCCAGTCTGTGTATATGTGTTTTGTGTGTATATATTTGTGTATATGTGTATATATGTGGTTATGCACATGCATTGCAATATATATTTTTATTTTTTGGCTTTTTAAGTCCCTTCCACCATGCTTTTCAGCATTTTTATGAGTGATGGTCACTCATTGGCCTGACAGGTGTCTTGTGTCCAAATTTGGTGTCAATTCATCCAGTGTATTTGAGTTATGTTAACCCCACAAACGAACATTACATTTTTATTTATATAGATTAGTAGTATTAGTATTATTATTATGTGTTACCTGCTCTGAACCACAAAAGGGTGGCCAGTTAACAAATAATTATATCATTATAATTATATTAACAACAACAACAACAATAATAATAATAATAATACTTTGAATGGCAGCACATACCGTGGAGAGCGAGGCTTTTTGAGACGCAGCTTGGGAAGCCGAATCCGTCTTGGCGCCCGATTTTTCCAGCACCGCCTGCAAAGCGTGATGAGATATTGCTTTATTTCATGTTTTTGTTCATCAGTATCACATTTTGCATTTTTCTGTAAACAAACTGCATAGAAATTATGGTAAAATTAAAATCTGGCCGAGATAAAATTATGAAGAACCTGGACCAAGGTCCTAGGACATTACCTGCAGCAGGTATGGGCAAACCTGTGCCTTCCAGGTGTTTTGGACTCCAACTCCCACCATTCCTAACAGCCTCAGGCCCCTTCCTTTCCCCCCTCCGCCGCTTAAGCGGCGGAGGGGGGAAAGGAAAGGGCCTGAGGCTGTTAGGAATGGTGGGAGTTGGAGTCCAAAACACCTGGAAGGCACAGGTTTGCTTATACTGTGATGTGTACCCTGGGCAGCGTCCTTTTGAGATGCAAATGCCATTCCTTTCCCTTCGAGATAATGATGCCTTGGCAACCTGTCATTTCCGACCGCTGGGCTTGTTCCTTGCCGAGTGTTTTGCCGGCGCTCTCTGGGGAAAAGGTCATGTGAATCACAGAGGATATTAATCCCGGGATGCGGAGTATTTAGGTGAAAGGTGGCTGGCCCGCCTGGCAGGTCCACGGTCTGCAAGTGGCTCAAGGTGAGGCCAGGAGAAATGAGAATGAAACCTGCAATGTTTGGACCAAAGCTTCAAATGTCTACTCGTTGGGATTCCGCCAAGGACATTTAATACCTTCCCAGCGCAAGGATAATAATAATAACAACAACAACAACAGTGTCTTAGCTTTGGGACAACAACAACAACAACAGTGTCTTGGCTTTGGGACGACGACAACAACAACAACAACAACAGTGTCTTAGCTTTGGGACAACAACAACAGTGTCTTAGTTTTGGGACGACAACAACCACAACAACAGTGTCTTAGCTTTGGGACAACAACAACAGTGTCTTAGCTTTGGGATCCCACCAAGAACACTTAATACCTTCCCACAACAAATATAAGAATAAGAACAACAACAACAACACTAATTTAAAAACAATGTTTGGGATCTCATCAAGGGCATTTCACACCTTCCCAGCACAAATGTTGTTGCTAATAATAGTAATAATAATAATAGTAATGAACTTGGGAAGTGTCCGACAAGTGATCAAATACAAAAGCTGTGTACTAATCTTGTTATGTATCAAATAATATACTAATCTTGTTATGTGTCAAATAAAATAAACAAGACAATGTCTTAGTTTTGGACACAATATCTTTCCAGCAAAAACAACAACAACAACAACAACAACAACAAATTAGCCTTGGGAACCTACCAAGAACTCTTAATACCTTTCCAGTACAAATGTAAGAAAAAGAACAACAAAAACAACAACAACACTAATTTGAAAACAATGTCTTCACTTTGGGATCTCATCAAGGGCACTTAACACCTTCCCAGCACAAATATTGGTGCTAATAATAATAATAATAATAATAATAATAATAATAATAACGAACTTGGGAAGTGTCCAACAAGTGATAAAATACAAAAGCTGTGTACTAATCTTGTTATGTACCAAATAATAATATACAAGACAATGTCTTAGCTTTGGACACAATATCTTTCCAGCAAAAATAACAACAACAACAACAAATTAGCCTTGGGAACCTACGAAGAACTCATCAAGGGCACTTAATACCTTCCAGCACAAATAATAATAATAATAATAATAATAATAATAATCTAAAGATAATGTCTTAGCTTTGGGATCCCACCAAGAACACTTAATACCTTCCAGCACAAATAATAATAATAATAATAATAATAATAATAATAATAATCTAAAGATAATGTCTTAGCTTTGGGATCCCACCAAGAACACTTAATACCTTCCAGCACAAATAATAATAATAATAATAATAATAATAATAATAATAATAATTTAAAGATAATGTCTTAGCTTTGGGATCCCACCATGGACACTTAATACCTTCCAGCACAAATAATAATAATAATAATAATAATAATAATAATAATAATAATCTAAAGATAATGTCTTAGCTTTGGGATCCCACCAAGGACACTTAATACCTTCCAGCACAAATAATAATAATAATAATAACAATCTGAAGATAATGTCTTAGCTTTGGGATCCCACCATGGACACTTAATACCTTCCAGCACAAATAATAATAATAATAATAATAATAATAATAATAATAATAATCTAAAGATAATGTCTTAGCTTTGGGATCCCACCAAGAACACTTAATACCTTCCAGCACAAATAATAATAATAATAATAATAATAATAATAATAATAATAATAACAATCTGAAGATAATGTCTTAGCTTTGGGATCCCACCATGGACACTTAATACCTTCCAGCACAAATAATAATAATAATAATAATAATAATAATAATAATAATAATCTAAAGATAATGTCTTAGCTTTGGGATCCCACCAAGGACACTTAATACCTTCCAGCACAAATAATAATAATAATAATAATAACAATCTGAAGATAATGTCTTAGCTTTGGGATCCCACCAAGGACACTTAATACCTTCCAGCACAAATAATAATAATAATAATAATAATAATAATAATAATAATAATAACAATCTGAAGATAATGTCTTAGCTTTGGGATCCCACCATGGACACTTAATACCTTCCAGCACAAATAATAATAATAATAATAATAATAATAATAATAATAATAATCTAAAGATAATGTCTTAGCTTTGGGATCCCACCAAGAACACTTAATACCTTCCAGCACAAATAATAATAATAATAATAATAATAATAATAATAATAATAATTTAAAGATAATGTCTTAGCTTTGGGATCCCACCAAGAACACTTAATACCTTCCAGCACAAATAATAATAATAATAATAATAATAATAATAATAATAATAATCTAAAGATAATGTCTTAGCTTTGAGATCCCACCAAGAACACTTAATACCTTCCAGCACAAATAATAATAATAATAATAATAATAATAATAATAATAATAATAATCTAAAGATAATGTCTTAGCTTTGGGATCCCACCAAGGACACTTAATACCTTCCAGCACAAATAATAATAATAATAATAACAATCTGAAGATAATGTCTTAGCTTTGGGATCCCACCAAGGACACTTAATACCTTCCAGCACAAATAATAATAATAATAATAATAATAATAATAATAACAATCTGAAGATAATGTCTTAGCTTTGGGATCCCACCATGGACACTTAATACCTTCCAGCACAAATAATAATAATAATAATAATAATAATAATAATAATAATAATCTAAAGATAATGTCTTAGCTTTGGGATCCCACCAAGGACACTTAATACCTTCCAGCACAAATAATAATAATAATAATAATAATAATAATAATAATAATAATCTGAAGATAATGTCTTAGCTTTGGGATCCCACCAAGGACACTTAATACCTTCCAGCACAAATAATAATAATAATAATAATAATAATAATAATAACAATCTGAAGATAATGTCTTAGCTTTGGGATCCCACCATGGACACTTAATACCTTCCAGCACAAATAATAATAATAATAATAATAATAATAATAATAATCTAAAGATAATGTCTTAGCTTTGGGATCCCACCAAGAACACTTAATACCTTCCAGCACAAATAATAATAATAATAATAATAATAATAATAATAATAATAATTTAAAGATAATGTCTTAGCTTTGGGATCCCACCAAGAACACTTAATACCTTCCAGCACAAATAATAATAATAATAATAATAATAATAATAATAATAATAATCTAAAGATAATGTCTTAGCTTTGGGATCCCACCAAGAACACTTAATACCTTCCAGCACAAATAATAATAATAATAATAATAATAATAATAATAATAATCTAAAGATAACGTCTTAGCTTTGGGATCCCACCAAGAACACTTAATACCTGCCCTGCAAAATTATTGTTAATAATAATAATAATAATAATAATAATAATAATAAACAAAAGACAATGTCTTAGCTTTGGGATCCTGCCAAGGGCATTCAACACCTTCCCAGAACAAACATTATAATAATAAAATAATAAAACTTTATTTATATGCTACTCTATCTCCCCAGGGGGACTCAGGGCGGTTTCCAAGCAACAACATCATAGAGTCACAACATGAACATAAAATAACAGCAATATAACATAAGTATGGAATTACACAACAACACATAAATATTAAAAGAAAAAAATCCTGCCTGCTCTTCATATCTATTTGTTAGAGCCAGGACAATCAAAAATGGGTCAGGACAATCAAAAAGGCCGGGTCAAGACTGATACAAATTGAAATAAGATGGGACTGGCATTTGGGTACAGTACTGTAATAGGTAAGCGACAAAAGCAGGGACAGCTATTTCCAGGGGCCTGTTAGGAGAATGACCAGGGTTATATATAGGGCAACGCTCTCTACGTGGGGCTGCCCTTGAAGACGGCCCGGAAGCTTCAGCTAGTCCAGCGCGCGGCAGCCATGTTACTAACAGGAGCGGGACGCAGGGAGCATACAACGCCCTTGTGTTCCAGCTCCACTGGCTGCCGATCTGCTACCGGGCCCAATTTAAGGTGCTGGTGTTATCCTACAAAGCCCTAAACGGTTCCGGCCCAAAATACCTTTCGGACCGCATCTTGGCCTATGAGCCCACGAGGACCTTGAGATCGTCTGGGGAGGCCCTTCTCTCGATCCCGCCTGCTTCACAGGCACGTCTGGCGGGGACGAGAGAAAGGGCCTTCTCGGTGGTGGCCCCCCGGCTGTGGAACGACCTCCCTGCTGACATCAGACAGGCGCCTTCCCTTCTGTCCTTCCGAAAGAGCCTGAAGACCTGGCTATTTGAGAAGGCATTCAACTGAGCGCTACGGCAACTGGTAATTGACAACTGGAACGGAATACGGATTACGATATTGGTTATGATTCTATGATGTGACGGAGCGGATTATTTAGTGTAACTAGATTATAGTGTATTATTGTTGTATTGATTTCCTGTTTTGCCCTTTTTGTAAACTGTTTTTATATGTTGTGCACCGCCGCGAGTCGCCCTAGGGCTGAGAGCGGCGGTCAATAAATGCAGTAAATAAATAAATAAATAAATAAGGTCATGTCTGGACAGTGTCTGGGCTGAGCTAGCACTGGTCACTCTCAAAGATTTGTTGAAACCACCAAGTCTTAAGAAAAGAGGGGAGGGATGGGGCCTGTCTTATTTCCCTTGGAAGGGTATTCCAGAGGTGGGGGGCCACCACCAAAGGCCCTCTCTCTCATCCCCACCAACCATGCTTGTGACGGAGGTGGGAGTGAGAGGAGCGCCTCCCCGGAGGATCGTAGAGTTCACACCGGTTCAGAGATGTGAACGCAAGGATAGGCGGGGCCCAAACCATTTACGGCTTTATAGGTCATTACCTGCACCTTGAATCTGGCTCGGCAACTTATCAGCAGCCAATGAAGCTGCCATTATTATTATTATTATTATTATTATTATTATTATTATTCCCAGAGAAACATGCACTGACAGATTGTGTGAAAGGCAGTCAAGAACCAACATTGATGGAAGTCAATAGTAGAAAACTGCTTCAAGTGAAAAAGACTAAGAGGGAATATTGTAAAAACACAATCCAAAGCAGAAGAGAAAACTGGCAAAAGAAGTTTCCTGGGAAACACTGGGAGCAAAATTGATGATGTGGCTCACAAATTAGAACTTGGAAAAAGGAGACAAAGGAGGGCCTGATTCTGGCAGCCCAAGAACAAGCCATTCGAACCAATGCCATCAAAGCCAGAATTGAAAAGTCGGCAACAGATCCCAAGTGTTGACTCCTGAAGGAAGCAGATGCAACAATAGATCACATCCTCTGCTGCTGCAAGAATATTGCGCAGACAGACTCCAAGCAAAGGCATAACACCGTTGCTCAGATGATCCATTGGAACTTGTGCCACAAACACCATCTGCCTGCGACAAAGAACGGGTGGGATCACAAGCCGGAAAAAAGTTACAGAGAATGAACATGTCAAGCTATTCTGGGACTTCTGAATTCAGACTGACAGAGATTTGGAGCACAACACTCCTGACCTCACAATCGTGGAGGGGTGGGTGGGGGGAGTATGGATTGTCGATGTTGCAATCCCAGGTGACAGCAGGATTGAAGAGAAACAACTGGAAAAGATGACATGATATGAGGATTTAAAGATCGAACTGCAAAGACTCTGGCACAAGCCAGTCAAGGTGGTCCCAGTGGTGATCGGCACACTGGGTGCAGTGCCTAAAGACCTTGGCCTGACTTAAAGACAATCGGCGCTGACAAAATTACCATCTGCCAGCTGCAAAAGGCCACCTTACTGGGATCTGCAGGCATTATTCGCCAATACATGACACTGTCCTAGATGCTTGGGAAGGGTCCAACGTGTGATCCAATACAACAGCCAGCAGAGTGTCTGCTGTGGACTCATCTTGTTGTGTTTCAAATAATAATAATAATCATAGAATTATAGTTAGCAGAAGAAAAGCACAAACAAAGCATCCCTGATAGATGGGCACCCAACCTCTGCTTAAAGCTTCCAAAGCTTCTAAACACCACCATTGACATAATCGACAATGGTCTTTGTGTAGACTACAACTCCTAGAATTACCCAGCAAGTAAAATAATACACACACAGCGTATTTCTTTAATTCTAAAATTTATTTCCTCCCCATATAAACATCACTTAAAAATGTGATGCAACTTAGAATCTCGGATACTTTTAAAAACATATTAAGAAAGTATTTGTTTGTTTCTGTTGATGGGACTGATAGTAATGTGTGTCTTACGTCGATGGAATCTTAGAATAGAATAAATACTACACATACGTATCTTTCATTTTTATTACTATTATTATTATTATTATTATTATTATTATTATTATTATTATTAGGTTGCTGTAAGTTTTTTCGGGCTATATGGCCATGTTCTAGAGGCATTCTCTCCTGACGTTTCGCCTGCATCTATGGAAAGCATCCTCAGAGGTGAGGACAAACTATCTACAGACCCACCAAGAAAATCCAACCAATGCTCCGTTCAGCAAAGGACAAGAGCGATCCTCTCACTTCTGCGGGAGTCTACCGTGTACCATGCAGCTGTGGACAAGTCTACAGAGGGACCACCAAACGTAGCAAGGCCCAAACATGAATCAAGGGACATGAAAGGCACTGCAGACTACTTCAGCCAGAGAAATCAGCCATAGCAGAGCACACGATGAACCAACCTGGACACAGCAGATTATTTGAGAACACAGAAATGCTGGACCACTCCCACAACCACCATGTCAGGCTACACAGAGAAGCCATTGAAATCCACAAGAAGCATAGAATGATATCATAGAATGATAAGAGTTGGAAGAGACCTTGCAGACCATCCAGTCCAACCACCTGTCAAGAAGCAAGAAAATTGCATTCAAAGCACCCCCAACAGATGGCCATCCAGCCTCTGTTTAAAAGCCTCCAAAGAAGGAGCCTCCACCACAGTACGGGGCAGAGAGTTCCACTGATGAACAGCTCTCATAATCAGGAAGTTTTTCCTAATGTTCAGCTGGAATCTCCTTTGTTACACGTCCTAGTGTCCAGGACAGCAGAAAACAAGCCTGCGCCCTTCTCCCTATGACTTCCCCTCACATACTTATACATGGCTATCACCATGTCTCCTCTCAACCTTCTCTTCATAGAATCATAGAATCAAAGAGTTGGAAGAGAACTCATGGGCCATCCAGTCCAACCCCCTGCCATGTGGACAATGTCAACAGAAAGGAGGAAACCATGAAAATGAACAAAATCTGGCTACCAGTATTAAAAAAACTCTAAAATTACAACAGCAAAACAACAGAGAGGAAACAAACAAGGACATCGAATCATCTCTCAACAAAAGATTGCCCCAGGCGCAGTCAGGCCATTGTATGCTAATCAAGGTGGTCAGTTGAAACATTCACACCTAGCTCCAGCAGACAAGAGTCCTTTGTCCCACCCTGGTCATTCCACAGATATATAAACCCTTTTCCTAGTTCCAACAGACCTCACTACGTCTGAGGATGCTTGCCATAGATGCAGGCAAAACGTCAGGAGAGAATGCCTCTAGAACATGGCCATATAGCCCGAAAAAACTTATAGCAACTTAGTGGTTCCGGCCATGAAAGCCTTCGACAATACATTATTTTTTTATTATTATTATTATTATTATTATTATTATTGTTATTATTATTACTATTATTATTGACTTGCCCAAAGTCACTTAGTGGCTTTCAATGGCCAAGCAAGGATTTGAACCCGGCACTCCAGCATCGGCATTCAATGCCAAAATCTACATTCTAGAAATGCTTCCCTTTACTCTGAAGAACAATCTACTGCACTATGAGCATTATTAATAGTAATATTCCTTATTTAATTAGGCATGTGGAGTCGTTGTGCCAAACTTTTGACTCTAATTCTTCCTTCAGTGACTATCTGGAACCATCCAGGATGCCAAAATCCATGGATGCTCAAATTCTAATACATACAGTGAGTTTTGTGTGTGTGTGTGTATACACACAAACACTATATAGGGGTCCTTATATAACAAGACAAAAATCATGGTTTGCTTTTTGGAGTTTTGTTTACATATGTATCTATTCAATTGGTGGATGCAGAACTGGTGAAAACGACTATAGTTGAAATAATTGCCATAGCTATTATTGTTAGCTGTCATAAGGTGTATATTAATTTTGGGCGAACACCACGTCCTAGCATAAATATTCAAAACAGAGATACAGATCTAACCTAAGCAGAGGTTTCGCAAGCGTAAATGGGATTAATTACAGCACCGAAATAAACAAGAAGCCACTTTTGTAGAAAGGATAATCCTTTCTTCTGCCGCTGCAACCCGTTTCCCCAAAGGTTTCAGCTGAAATAAATTGATTAATGGGGACCCCAAAAGCTAAGTCAGACCCCAAAATGTGTATTGTATATGTCCCCATCCTATACCTCAGCGGTTTGGGCCGCATAAAGTCTCACTCCAAGAGGCTGCGGCAACGTCAACACTGGAACCCCTCTGGACCTGCGGAAGACAAAAAGAATGGGATATCATGGGGTGCAAGATGTGGGATTGCAAGTCCCATCTATTACAATTCAAGGCCTTCAATATGTGGGATTGCAAATTCCATCTATTACGATTCAAGGCATTCAATATGTGGGATTGCAAGTCCCATCTATTAGGATTCAAAGCCTTCAACATGTAGGATTGCAAGTCCCATCAATTGGGATTCAAAGCCTTCAGCATGTAGGATTGCAAGTCCCATTTATTCAGATTCAAAGCCTTCAACATGTGGGATTGCAAGTCCCATCTATTAGGACTGAAAGCCTTCAGCATATGGAATTGCAAGTCCCATCTATTAGGATTCAAACTCATCAACATGTGGGATTGCAAGTCCCATCTATTTGGATTCAAAGCTTTCCATATATGGGATTGCAAGTCCCATTGATTAGGATTCAAAGCTTTCAACATGTGGGATTGCAAGTCCCATCAATTACGATTCAAAGTCTACAATCTGTGAAGTTGCAAATCCCATCTATTAAGATTCAAAGCCTTCAACATGTGGGGTTGCAAGTCCCATCGATTGGGATTTAAAGCCTTCAACAGGTAGGATTGCAAGTTCCATCAATTGGTATTCAAAGCCTTCAACATGTGAGATTGCAAGCCCCATTTATTAGGATTCAAAGCCTTCAACATGTGGGATTGCAAGTCTCATTTATTAGGATTCAAAGGCTTTAATATGTGGGAATGCAAGTTCTATTTAATAGGATTCATGGTCTTCAATATGTGGGATTGCAGGTCCCATCTATTAGGATTGAATCCTAATAGATGGGACCTGCAATTCCATATGTTAAAGGCTTTGAGTCCTAATAGATGGGACCTGCAATTCAATTTGTGGATGCAATTCAATTTGTGGAAGCCTACCATATGTGGGATTGCAAGTTCTATCAATTGGCCTTCAAAGCCATCAACATGTGGGATTGCAAGTCCCATCTATTAGGATCCAAAGCTTTCAACATGTGGGATTGCAAGTCCCATCGATTACGATTCAAATCCATCAACATGTGGGATTGCAAGTCCCATCTATTAGAATTCAAAGCCTTCAACATGTGGGATTCCAAGTCCCATCTATTACGATTCAAAACTATCAATATGTGGGATTGCAAGTCCCATTTATTAGGATCCAAAGCCTACGATATGTGGGATTGCAAGTCCCATCGATTAGGATTCAAAGCCTACAATATGTGGAATTGCAAGTCCCATCGATTAGGATCCAAAGCCATCAACATGAGGAATTGCAAGTCCCATCTATTAGGATTCAAAACTATCAATATGTGGGATTGCAAGTCCCATTTATTAGGATCCAAAGCCTTCAACATGTGGGATTGCAGGTCCCATCTATTAGGATTCAAAGTCATCAACATGTGGGATTGCAAGTCCCATCTATTAGGATTCAAAGCAAGCATGGGCCAACTTGGGAACTCCCTCCAGGAATTGTGGGAGTTGGAGTCCAAAACATCTGGAGGGAGTACCCAAGTTGGTCCATGCCTGCATTTAACTTATTGAAAAGCCATACAACATACAGGACTACAACTCCCATCTATCACGACTTCAAGCCATTGACAACTGGGACTCCAAGTCCCATCTTCTCCCCTCCAAAGGGTGGGGCATGATGGGCCTTCCAGCCCAACAGCAAAGCCTGGGAGTTCTATCCAAGCAGTTTGAAAACAACCTCAGAATCCCCCTCTGGAGTCAGTTCCCAGGCTGTTGTGGCCACTCTACCCCCCATCATCCCCCTTCAAAGTGCTCACCCTGGTGGGGGGCCCCACCTCAGGAGTCCCCAGCACAGCTTGGGGGGCAGGCGGAGGGTCTGCATGGTGATGGGATCTGTAGTTTCCAAAGGAAGCAAAGCCCTGCCTTCCTTCCTGGCTTCTTGACTCCTCTTCAGAGGCCCTCCCTCCCCACAAGGTCATGAGTTCAACAGAAAGGGGAGGGGGAAGGGGGAGGAGGGGCTGGTGACGCACTTCCTGCCGCGTGGCATGCTGGGAGTCGTAGTTTTTCTCCCCCATTTCCATTCTGCCATGTGGCTTAGGCGTGGGCAGCCTTCTGCTTTCAGCATCCTCTACCAAACTTTATTGGGACTCGGGGACTCCAACTCCCAGAATCCCCAACTATATAGACATTTCCATTTTGGGACTCCAACTCCCAGAATCCCCAGTTGTATAACAATTTCCTTTTTGGAGGGGACTCCAACTCCCAGAATCCCCAACTATATAGACATTTCCATTTTGGGACTCCAACTCCCAGAATCCCCAGTTGTATAACAATTTCCATTTTGGGACTCCAACTCCCAGAACCCCCAGTTATATAATTACCTTTTTTGGGACTCCAACTCCCAGAATCCCCAGTTGTATAGTAATTACCTTTTTGGGGACTCCAACTCCCAGAATCCCCAACTATATAGACATTTCCATTTTGGGACTCCAACTCCCAGAATCCCCAGTTGTATAACAATTTCCATTTTGGGACTCCAACTCCCAGAACCCCCAGTTATATAATTACCTTTTTTGGGACTCCAACTCCCAGAATCCCCAGTTGTATAGTAATTACCTTTTTGGGGACTCCAACTCCCAGAATCCCCAACTATATAGACATTTCCATTTTGGGACTCCAACTCCCAGAATCCCCAGTTGTATAACAATTTCCTTTTTGGAGGGGACTCCAACTCCCAGAATCCCCAACTATATAGACATTTCCATTTTGGGACTCCAACTCCCAGAATCCCCAGTTGTATAGTAATGCCCTTTTTGGGACTCCAACTCCCAGCATCCCCAACACATTTCCATTTGGGGACTCCAACTCCCAGAATCCTGTTGAATAACACTTTCCTTTTTTGAGACTCCAGCTCCCAGAATCCCCAGATGTATAACAATTTCCTTTTTTGGGGGGATTCTAACTCCCAGAATCCTCAGTTGAATAACTTTCCTTTTTGGGGGGACTCCAACTCCTAGAATTCCCAGCTGTATAGCACTTTCCTTTTTTGGGACTCCAACTCCCAGAATCCCCAGTTGTATAACAATTTCCTTTTTGGGACTCCAACTCCCAGAATCCCCAACACATTTCCATTTGGGGACTCCAACTCCCAGAATCCTCACTTGAATAACACTTTCCTTTTTGGGGGACTCTAAGTCCCAGAATCCTCAGTTGAATAGCACTTTCCTTTTTGGGGGGGACTCCAACTCCTAGAATTCCCAACTGTATAGAACTTTCCAGTTTTGGGACTCTCCAACTCCCAGAATCCCCAACTGTATAGAACTTTCCAATTTTTAGGGACTCCCAACTCCCAGAATCCCCAACTGTATAGAACTTTCCAATTTTTAGGGACTCCCAACTCCCAGAATCCCCAGCTGTATAGCACATTCCTTTTTGGGGCTGTAATTCCCAGACTCTCCAACTGTATAGCACTTTACTTTGAGGACTCCAGCTCCCATAATCCCAAGTAGTCACCTTGCCTTTTAAAACTCCAATTCCTAGAATCCCCTTCCAGCCCAGCATGCCAAGCTTGGCTTTTCCTTTGGCCTCCAACTCCCAGAATCCCTGGTTAGACAGAAAGAAAGAAAATAAAGGGATGGAGAAGCGGGAAGAAAAGAAAGGGTGGAAGATGTATGAGGGAAAGCAAGGAAAGAGGGAGGAAAGAAAGAAAGAAAGAAAGAAAGAAAGAAAGAAAGAAAGAAAGAAGAGGGATGAAGGAGGAGAGGGAAGAAATGAAAAGAAAGGGTGGAAGATGTATGAGGGAAAGCAAGGAAAGAGGGAGGAAAGAAAAGAAGAAAATAAAGAAAATAAAAGGGTGGAGGAGGAGAGGGAAGAAAAGAAAGGATGAAGGAGAAGAGGGAAGAAGAGAAAAGAAAGCGTGGAAGATGTATGAGGGAAAGCAAGGAAAGAGGTAGGAAAGGAAGAAAAAAGAGAGAAAGAAGAAAGAAAATAAAGGGATGAAGGAGGAGAGGGAAGAAAAGAAAAGGTGGAAGATATATGAGAGAAAGCAAGGAAAGAGGGAGTAAGTGAAGAAAGAAAGACAGGTATGGAGTAGAAGACGGAAGAAAAGAAAGACGTATGGAAGTACATGTATTAGGTGAAAGCCAGGCAAGTGGGAGGAAAGAAAGAAAGGAAGGAAGGAAATAAAGGAAAGAAGAAAAGAAAGAAAAAAGAAAAGGATTGAAGGAAGGAAGAAAATGAAGGTTGAGAATGTATGGTGAAAGCCAGACAAGACGAGAGGAAGGTAAAGAAAGCCATAAATAACGGGATTAAGGAGGAGAGGGGTGGAAAGACATAACGATATTGTGCAACTCTCTGCTGTCCAGCAAGGAAAGAAGGAGGAAAGCAAAGAAAGCAATCAAACAACTACCGGACTTGAGTAGTCGAGGGCATGAAGCGCAACATAAGGGTGTGAAGATTTCTGAGTGAAAGCAGGAAATAGGTCAGGAATTAAAAAACTCCATCAAGACACTCCAACATAAATGTATGGTCGTAGGTCTCTGGCCTCAGAGCACACAGAAAATGTTTTCAGATAGGCCTCTGTCAGGTTTCTGGATACTAGCTTTCACGGACGTATAGTACGGACTTAATGTGCATGGAAGGAAGGAAGGAAGGAAGGAAGGAAGGAAGGAGAAAGAAAGAAAAGAAAAAAGAAAGGAATGAAGGAGAGGGAAGAAAAAAGAAAAGGATGAAGAAGAGGGAAGAAGAGAAACAAAAGGGTGGAATATGTATGAGGGAAAGCAAGGGAAGAGGAAGGGAAGAAAAAGAAGGAAGGAAAAAAGAAAAGAAAGGGATGAAGGAGAAGGAAGAAAAGAAAAAGGAAGGAAGGAGAGGGGGAAAGGTGCAGGAGGGAAAGCAAGGTAAGAAGGAAAAACAGGATGAAAAAAAGAGGGAGCAGGTCATGAGGGAAAAGGAGAAAGAAAAATGGAATCTGGGCTTAGACCTGGGTCCCATTTCCAAGATACCATTTTGTCTTAACCTTCCTAATTCCACGACCCCTTAATCCAGTTCCTCATGTTGTGATGACCCCCAACCATCACATTATTTTCATTGCTACTTCCTGTCATTTTGCTACTGTTCTGAATCGTCATGTAAATATCTGATATGTCGGATGTATTGTCATTCACTGGACTACATTTGGCGCAAATACCTGATATGCCCAAATTTGAATACTGGTGGGGTTGGGAAGGGGGTTGATTTTGTCATTTGGGAGTTGTAGTTGTTGGGATTTATAGTTCACCTACAATCAAAGAGCATCCTGAACTCCACCAATGATGGAATTGAACCAAACTTGGCTCACGAAACTCCCATGGCCAACAGAAAATATTGGGTTTGGTGGGCATTGACCTTGAGTTCTGGAGTTGTAGTTCGCCAACATCCAGAGAGTACTGTGGACTCAAACAATGAAGGATCTGGACCAAACTTGGCATGCACACTCAATATGCCCAAATGTGAGCACTGGTGGAGTTTGGGGAAAATAGACCTTGACATTTGGGAGTTGTAGTTACTGGGATTTATAGTTTACTTACAATCAAAGAGCATTCTGAACTCCACCGACGATAGAATTGGGCCAGACTTCCCACACAGAATCCCCCAGGTTGAGAAACACTGGTTTACATGCAATACTCCATTGTTGGGTGTTGTAGTGCAACAAGTGCGCTACAATTCCCACCCAATGACCCCTGTCCAGGAAAGCTTCCTCCGCCAGCCCTTCTGCAATTTGCAATTCAGACACAAACAAACACTTTGTGGAGTTTTGTCAGTTTTTTATTATTCTTTTAATTGAATGCTTTTTTTTGTACACAAAAAAGGAGCTAAAAAATAAATATGTTATTACAAAATAGTTTTCTGCTACGGATCACACAAACACACACGCGTGCGTGCACAACGCAAACCCCTCTGGAGAAGAGGGAAGGACTAAATACTTTTTTTTTTGGGAGGGGGAAATGTAGCACCATGAAAGTAAGGAAAACAGACGTCGTACCTTTGGAATATATATCTATATCTATATAAGGCTGCAAAATGGGGGGTGCACCGTACCCCACTGTGTCTCGTCCCAAAAGGAAACTGGAGAAGAACGTCACTGCAGCTTTGAAAATCAGGAGCATGTAGAAACGTCAGAAATTTCGGTATAGGTCACAAAATATAGGTCCTACTCCCCATCTATATTGCATTATATGGTCAGTGTAGACCAGGCCTGGGCAAACTTCGGCCCTCCAGGTGTTTTGGACTCCCAACTCCCACCATTCCTAAAAGCCTCAGGCCCTTTCCTTCCCCCCCCCCCCGCCTCTGTTAGGAATGGTGGGAGTTGAAGTCCAAAGGAAAGGGTCTGAGGCTGTTAGGAATGGTGGGAGTTGAAGTCCAAAGGAAAGGGTCAGAGGCTGTTAGGAATGGTGGGAGTTGAAGTCCAAAGGAAAGGGTCTGAGGCTGTTAGGAATGGTGGGAGTTGAAGTCCAAAGGAAAGGGTCAGAGGCTGTTAGGAATGGTGGGAGTTGAAGTCCAAAGGAAAGGGTTTGAGGCTGTTAGGAATGGTGGGAACTGAAGTCCAAAGGAAAGTGTCTGAGGCTGTTAGGAATGGTGGGAACTGAAGTCCAAAGGAAAGGGCCTGAGGCTGTTAGGAATGGTGGGAGTTGAAGTCCAAAGGAAAGGGTCTGAGGCTGTTAGGAATGATGGGAACTGAGGTCCAAAGGAAAGGGCCTGAGGCTGTTAGGAATGGTGGGAACTGAAGTCTAAAGGAAAGGACCTGAGGCTGTTAGGAATGATGGGAACTGAAGTCCAAAGGAAAGGGCCTGAGGCTGTTAGGAATGATGGGAACTGAAGTCCAAAGGAAAGTGTCTGAGGCTGTTAGGAATGGTGGGAACTGAAGTCTAAAGGAAAGGACCTGAGGCTGTTAGGAATGATGGGAACTGAAGTCCAAAGGAAAGGGCCTGAGGCTGTTAGGAATGATGGTAACTGAAGTCCAAAGGAAAGGGCCTGAGGCTGTTAGGAATGATGGTAACTGAAGTCCAAAGGAAAGAGCCTGAGGCTGTTAGGAATGGTGGGAACTGAAGTCTAAAGGAAAGGGCCTGAGGCTGTTAGGAATGCTGGGAGTTGAAGTCCAAAAGAAAGGGTTTGAGGCTGTTAGGATTGATGGAAACTGAGGTCCAAAGGAAAGGGCCTGAGGCTGTTAGGAATGGTGGGAGTTGAAGTCCAAAGGAAAGGGCCTGAGGCTGTTAGGAATGGTGGGAGTTGAAGTCCAAAACACCTGGAGGGCCCAAGTTTTCCCATGCCTAGTGTTGACACATATAATGCATTTCAATGCAGTTAAATCACATTAAATACATCCACACTGACCATATAATGCAGTTTACCCCGACCTAAATATCAGGACTGGAAAATTCCTTTTCTAGCATGCCCTTCTGCTATTCAGTAAAAGATTCAGGAAAGCAATCTGTTTTTCGTGACATCAGAATTTACCTTCTGGCTTTTGCGTTACTTAAACATTGCAGGATTGCAAAAAAGAAGGGAATGCAAACGGAGGGCCCATCTACACCAGAATTGACGCAGTTTGCCTTCTCTGCTACAGAGCGCCAAACTACAACTCCCAGGATGCTACAGCACTGAGTGAAGGCCAAGAATGCTGGGGCCTCATCAAACTACAACTTCCATAATCCCCTAGCCTTGAGACATGGCAGTTAAAGTGGCGTCAAACCACACTGAATTTACAGCGCAGATGCACCAAACACCTCTCAAGATGCCATTCAAGGGTCCCTTTTCACATTCCGAGTTACCAGTTACACTCTCAAAAAGGAATGTTGTTCTTACTTAAGGCATGGGGAGGATAAGAGTTTTGTAAACAATTTTGGGGGGGGGGGGGGGGGTGTTGAAAGGATTGTCATTGACTCCTATACCAAGAGCCATTGCCTAAATCCAGCTTTCCTCAATGGGGTGCCTTTCAGAGGGGTTGGACTGCAATTCCCATAATCCCACTGCCAAAATGGTTGTGGGATATTGGGGGATTATTGTCCAATCCCTCCAAAAGGTCCCCCATTGAGGAAAGTTGGTCTAATTCCATCCTGACGTTATAATTTGACCTGACGTGACCCCCACTCTTAAAAATATTCAACAGGAGCAAGCTGCAAAGGGAAAAAAAAGGACTTTTGTGTTTCTGGGACGAGATACACAAGAAGGAAAGCAGCGCAATGCTTTGGAAAGCCAAAACGTTGGCTGCAAACCCTTCCCAACGCAAAGAGTCGTAGTGTTGGCAGAAACAAAACCCCTTCACCCACATAATCTCATCTCACATTGGTTACAATGGGATGTGTAGCGTTTCCGATGAGATCTAGAGGTTGGGACAGCAGGGCTAATTTTTAATACATATATATATATATATACACACACACAAACAAAAAGGAAGTTTATAAAAAGGACTAGGAACTTTAGAAAAAAAACCCTTCTAAAAAATTAAACAAAAAAAGAAAGAACCCCACAAAAATTATCACTTCATTGACACCGGTTTGGGCGAGTACCGTTGTAAAAGCCGCCTTTCCAAAGAGAAGAGGAAAGGTCTGAGGAGGTTAAGAGTCTCGTGAAGCCATGGAAAGGGCCCCCTCGTCCCCAAATTTCCACAAAAGGGACCCCTTCGTACCTTAAAAAATACCTGGTTATGGATATACAAGAGTCACGCCGGCTTCGACATGATTTTGGCGCAGGAATCCTCTTGCGAAGAAGATGGAGACATTCGAAACAAGGCTGGAGGAGGACTGGAGCTTCGGATGACCGGCTACATTGTGGTCGTCCTGAAAGTCAAGGCATCTATGTAACGGGGAAGGCAGAGGTCGCGTGATCCTAGAGACCTGAGTCGGGCGATTAACACAAAAAAGGTGGCCAAAAAAGGAGCCACGGCATCAAAAAGGACAAAACTCAAGAGACAGGCACCGCAAGGCAAACATGATGAAGGGGGGCTGGAGAAAAGATTTCAGTGTATTTTCGAAGGCTTTCATGGCCGGAATCACTGGGTTGTTGTAGGTTTTTTCGAGCTATATGGCCATGTTCTAGAGGCATTCTCTCCTGACGTTTCGCCTGCATCTATGGCAAGCAGGCTTTCGTTCAGGTCATGGCACAGAGACTGTCTTGGTAGCTATTACTGACGAAATCCGTCGTCAGTTAGACCGAGGCGGATCAGCGCTATTGGTACTCTTGGACCTCACAGCTGCATTCGACACCGTGGACCATGACTTGCTGCTTCATCGATTGGCTATGTCTGGTGTACGAGGAGGTTTAGCCCTGAAATGGTTCAATTCGTTCCTTCGGGGGCCGGAGACAGAGGGTGGAGTGGTTGGGCCAAAGCTCTGAGAGCTCCTGCCTTTGCTGTGGAGTGAGTTCCCCAGGGTGCTCTCCTCTCGCCCCTGTTATTTAACATCTACGTCCGGCCACTTGCTGGACTGGTGCGGAGCTTTGGCCTAGAGTGCTACCAGTATGCAGATGATACCCAGCTACTCTTGTGTCTCGAACCTGGGACAACCGCGATTCCTGAGAACTTTAAGCTGTGTTTGGAAGCAGTGATGAGTTGGCGAGCAAGCAGACTAAAAGTGAATCCTGCAAAAACTGAGATACTCTGGACCGGCCAGCCGCCAGAATTAACCCAGTCTCTGCCTGATTTCGACGGGGAAGTTCTGGTTCCATCTGCCACTGTTAAAAGCCTTGTGGTTGTGTTGGACTCATCGCTGAGGATGGAGGCCCAGATCACTGCCATAAGTAAACAGGCCTTTTTTCATCTTTGCCAGGCAAGGAAATTGGCATCCGATCTTTCGGTAGAAGCATTGGCAACGGTAATCCACACAACAGTCACCACGAGGTTGGACTCTTGCAGCGCCTTATATGTCGGCCTTCCGAAGTCAACGACCCAGAAGATTCGGATGGTCCAAAATGCAGCGGCCAGGCTGCTAGCGGGATCATCTCTAAGATCCCATATGACACCAATTCTGCAACAACTGCATTGGCTACCAATAGAACATCGGATCTCTTACAAGATACTGATCCTGACATTTAGAGCTCAAAATGGCCAAGGACTTTTATATCTTAGGGACCGCCTCATTCCTTTTCCCCATCAGTGGCTACCTCGATCCACCCAGGAAAATCTCCTCTACATACCGGGCCCTAGGGAGGTACCCGGACGTATGCTCCAATTCTGTGCCTCCATACATTAGAGCAGGGGTAGGGAACCTTTGGCCCTCCAGCTGTGGTGGACTTCAACTCCCACAATTCCTTGAGGCTCGGCATTGGGCCAAGGTAAGCCTTTGGGGCGAATGCCGAGCCTCAAGGAATTGTGGGAGTTGAAGTCCACCACAGCTGGAGGGCCAAAGGTTCCCTACCCCTGCATTAGAGCAATGTCGGAGTTGTGACCTTTTGTAAAGGCACTCAAGACTTGGCTGTTTGGTTGTGCATTTAAGTAATCAGATCTAATTTGCCAAATAGTCACTGTTGAATGTTTTTGTATTGTGAAATGCTATTTTAGATTGTAAGTCGCTCGGAGCACCTTGGTGGAGAGTGACTAATTAAGAAATAAAATTAAGTGAAGTGAAGTGAAGCATCCTCAGGATGCTTGCCATAGATGCAGGTGAAACGTCAGGAGAGAATGCCTCTAGAACATGGCCATATAGCCTGAAAAAACCTACAACAATCCAAAAGATGTCAGATCTGAAGCCACTGCCACATGAAGACAAGCGGCTCTGCGGGTGAATGATACGACGGCGGCAAGATTATCACCGGCCGTACAAGTCCTAAGGGAGATCACAAGAGTGTAACAGTCACAAGATTGTAAGGGATCCAAAGATCCCAGCTTTTGCCAAGTTGGGGAAACCATGGGAACTGGAGTCAAGCAAAACAGCAAGGTCCCAGATTGGTGAAAGCAAGGATGGGTCATAAACAGAAGCCATATTGCTTTTTTTTCTAAATAAGGACTGCCAGCTGCTTACGGTGCCGGCAAGATTATCGTGTACCATTTGAGTCCTAAGGCAAGTCATGAGACAGCAAGGGTCAAATGATCCCAGCCTTTGCCGAACTGAGGAAAACATAAAGAGTCGCAGTCCAGCAAAGAAGGGGACCAATTTGGTGAAGGCAGGGATGGATCATCAATGGAAGCTGTATTGCTTTTTTCCCCCTGAATCAGGACTGCAAGCTTGGTCTGGGAAACTAAGGAAGGGGGTGAGGCACGATGGATGCGGTTGCCGTGTGTGAACACTGGAAAGCAAGGGTTTTTTGGTCCATCTCACTCCTTTTGTGGACGGAGGCAGCAAAGTGCGGGAGGTCAGGCGGTTCTCGGAAGGCTGTGCGAAAATGAGGCCACTGCGGTGAGCAGGAGAGAGGGGGGGGACTCTTGGGTGGATCACATGACATCGACAAAGAACTCGCTGGGGTTGCCCATGGCCATGTGGAAGGACTGGCGGCTGGCCGTGAGCTCGGGAGGCACGGAGCCCAGGTCGCGCACCGGGGGCGCCCCTGGGGGCTGAATGGCCGCGGAGGCGGCGGCAGTGGCAGGAGGGGCGGGGGGAGGCACCATCATGACCACCATGGGGTTGTAGGCCAGGGGCATGCCTCCCGGAGCGGCATAGGCTGCATGCAGGGAGTGGTGGGAGCGGATGCTGCCGCCGCCTCCGAGGCTGTGCTGACTCCGCTGGGAGGCCCCCTCCCCGCCCGGCCCCATTGCCGGGCCTCCGATGCCGCGCTGGCTGCCGCTGCGGGCAGAATACTCGGACTCGCTGCCACTGCCCGACTTGGAGTCTGCCCCGGGCTTCTCCTCCTTCTGCTTGCCGGCACCACGGCCGCCTCCGCTCCCACCACCGCCCCCATCACTGCGGTTCGACCCACTGCTCCGGCTGCCTGCAAAACAAAGAAAAGCAAAGACACACATCAACCGTTGGGTGGGTGGTGGGCAGGCATTGCTCTCCCAGAGGCACACAGAACTCAATACTGGACTCCAGACAAGGCCCGTCTAGTACAGGACACCATGAGACTGCATTGGATAACCTTTGTCCTCCCTTCCAACTCTATGATGATTACTTCCCACATCTTGGAAAGCATGCTCTTCCTTGAAAATAGCAAAATCATGGAAAAATGATACTGAATTATCTAAAAAGGATTAGAGAGAAACGTTATTACGGAATCATAGAATCATAGAATCAAAGAGTTGGAAGAGACCTCATGGGCCAACCAGTCCACCCCCATTCTGCCAAGAAGCAGGAATATTGCATTCAAATCACCCCTGACAAATGGCCATCCAGCCTATATTAGACTATATTCAAATGGCCAAGCTGTCTAATGATATGTTGCTGGATGAATTGACAACAAATTTGGACACAATACCCCTATCAGGCCAACAAGTGTCCATCACTCATAAAAACACTGAAAAACACAGCGAAAGGGACTTAAAAAGCCAAAAAAGCAAAAAGACGCTACAGCGCATGCGCAAAACCACATAAATATACACAAACATACATATATACAAAAATATATGCACAAACATATAAACACATATACACACAAAACACATATACACAGACTGGGCCATAGCAGCGTGGCAGTGAACAGCTAGTAGATTTATATAGTTGGAAAGGGCCATCCAGTTCCACTACTTTCTGCTATGCAGGAAAACCCAACCAAAGCATTACCGGCAGATGGCCACCCAGTCTCTAATTAAAAACTCCCAGAGAAGGAGACTCCACAAGTCTCCCAGGCAGCAGATTTCACTGATGAACAGTTCTCACCATCAAGAATTATTTCTTAATGTTTAGGTGGGATCTCTTTTCCATTGCTCCTGTGCATTTGGTTTTGTCACCGATTTCCTGTGATTGCCAAGGCCTGGACCACGTCCCATTTATCATAGTGATGTCTTACCTTCGCTGTGCTGACTGCCAGCGCTCCCCATGCCGTAGCTGTAGGAGGAGAGCTCGTGATAGGGAGGGGGTTGGGTGCTGTATGGGTGTGGCGCCGGGTACTGATAGGAGAACGTGGGCATCAGGGGCCAAGGGGTGGCTCCCGGCAGGGGCAAAGGCGCCAGGGTGTCCTGGTCAGAAGCCCCGCTGGAGCCGTCGTTGTCGTTCAGCGAGAGGTTGGCCATGTCTGCGGGGAGGAAAGGGGAACTCTAAATGAAGGCATCCTGAAAAGAACTCTTAGGATCAAATTTTTACACACTTATGGCCCACTTTGGGATATTTTAGTGCTAGGAGAGACCTCCTTAACAACACGAAATGAACCAGAATTGAATTTGAAAACAAACCTCTCTTAAACAATGGGGGATGTGAGGGGGACGCGGAGAAAGTGCCTTAATTCATGCATGGGCAAATTTGGGCCCTCTTCCAGGTGTTTTGGACTTTAACTGCCACGATTCCTAACAGCCTGTTAGGAATTGTGGGAGTCGAAGTCCAAAACGCCTGGAAGAAGGCCCAAATTTGCCCATTCTTGCCTTAGTGGGTACTTGGGACTCAAAAAAAAAGGTGAAGACCTGGATGTTTGTGCAGGCGTTTGAGTAATTTAGTGCAATCTGGTAATGGAACATAGGAATGGAACAATGGACGACGAACCTGGACTACGCTTGGATGATGAGAAGATTGGGTACGGTTGTTTTTTGTAATAATTGTGCATTGTAATTGCTTATTGGTAATTTATGGATAATGTGTTAAGTCAATTGTTATATGTTGTATGGAACCACTGCTGTTTCTACTGTTTTTCCTGTTTGTGAACCGCTGTGAGTCGCCTTCGGGCTTGAGATACAGCGGTATATAAGCAAAGTAAATAAATAAATAAATAAATAAATAAATAAATAAATTGAAGCATTGGTTCAATAACAAACTCAAGATCGCCTCAGCTAGACTGGCTTTGATTGACAAACCAAGGATGTTTCAGAAGGCTCTTTTGGTTAGTATATTACATTTTCTAATTACTCAGACACTCTGCGAAGGAGCAAGAAGAAGGTTGTTCCAAATGAAACTCTTGGTAGATGTCATAGAGTGGAAAGGCATGTGGACAGAAGCTGAAATAAATGCAGGCAACCAAATGAAAACAGAGAACTCCTGGGATGAGTTTTCCCCAAATATTCAAACCTATTTCACATTCTTGTTCCATCCCCATCCCATGCGCCCACTTACAGTTCTCGCAGCCACTGAAGTCTCCAAAGATGTAGTAGCACTGCTCTGAGAAGGTAATCTTGTTGACTGTGTGCCGGATGAAGCCAGCCTTCAGGAGGTTGCTGGCGTATTTGCGGGCCTCTCGGCGATCCTGGAATCCCTCCACATGGTGGTAGAGCCAGTCCACCACGTCGGAGCCTGAGAGGGGGAGCAGGGAAGGGGGCCACATATTAAATTGCCAGTGTGGGTACAACAACTCAGGGCAGTCTTCCCCAAAATTGACATCCTCCAGAAGGAAAGGCTTGACCTGTGCTGAATAGTGACCTTTCAGAAAAAATATATGCTGTATATATTAGAGTATAAGACGAGTTTTCAGCCCTTATTTTAGGATGAAAAAGTTTCCTAGGCTTATACTCAAGTCAAAGTTATTTATTATTTTACTGGGTTATTGTTTTTTTATTACATTCATTATTTTACTCTATTTATTATTATTATTATTATTATTATTATTATTATTATTATTATTACGTATACATTACTTAATTATTGTTTTCATTTCATTTACTATTTCACTCTATTTACATATTATTATGATTACTCTGATCTATTTTTATTACATTTATTGTTTTAGTCTATTTATTATTATCACATTTACATTATTTTACTCTATTATTATTTTTATCACATTTACATTATTTTACTCTATACTGTATATCATTATTATCACATTTACATTACTTTAATCTATTATTATTATTATTATTATTATTATTATTATCATTACATTTATTACTTTACTCTGTTTATTACTTTAATTATTTCATTTATTCTTTTTCTCTATGTTATCATTATTACATTTATTATTTTACTCTATTTATTATTACTGTTAGGAGCCCCCGGTGGCAGCAGGACTGAAGACCGACAGGTCGCAGGTTCAAATCCGGAGAGAGCGCAGATGAGCTCCCTCTATCAGCTCCAGCTCCTCATGCGGGGACATGAGAGAAGCCTCCCACAAGGATGTTAAAACATCACAACATCCGGGCGTCCCCTGGGCAACGTCCTTCCAGACGGCCAATTCTCTCACACCAGAAGCGACTTGCAGTTTCTCAAGTCGCTCCTGACATGACCAAAAATATATATATTATTGTTACATTTATTATTCTACTCTATCATTGTTATTATTATTATAGAAACTTATTTACTTTATTGTTATTATTACACTTATTTTACTCTTTATTATTATTACATTTATTATTTTACTCTAATTATTATTGGAAGGATACGTAAGCAGCACATTTACATTGAAGAAGGTTAGGATAATGGTTTGATCAGAGTTGGACAGTCTTATCTTAAATTACAGTTTTATATAAATATTCAAAACCTACTGATGACTCAATAAATGTAATTTTATTGATATATATTTTAATTTTGAACTTGACGAGTAGCCACTGTCTTTCCCATCCTTGGCTTAATACTCGAGTCAATACGTTTCCCAGTTTATTGTGGGAAAAATAGGTGCCTCGGCTTATATTCGGGTAGGCTTATACTAGAGTATATAGGGTACTCTTCCAACTTCTAAGCTAATAGAAACATGTTAATATTAATAAACAAAGGTTTTGTTAGAAATATGGTCCATACTAAACAATTATTCTCAATTGTTCTGAGATTTAATTTTCAGAGTATCAAAATTGGGATAATTTGCATTTGTATCCATCTTGTATTGCAGGCATGGGCAAACTTTGGCACTCTGGGTATTTTGGACTTCGACTCCCACCATTCCTAACAGCCTCAGGCCCCTTCCTTTTCCCCCTCAGCCGCTTAAGCGGCTGAGGGGGAAAAGGAAAGGGCCTGAGACTGTTAGGAATGGTGGGAGTTGAAGTCCAAAACACCTGGACGAAGGGCCCAAGTTTGCCCAGGCTTGATCTAAACACTTTATTATAAATCTGATTGATTTTTTCCCCCAACCCATTTGGAGGTCTGCTCAGGGGAATTCTGCGGCCTGCTGACCACTCCTCTCTCCTGTTTTTGTCCCATACCAAGGAAGGCGTTGGGGATGGTGATCTTGAGCCACATGCGGTCTCGAACCTCCAGGCCGGACTCCGGAGAGGCCATTGCCTTGGTGACAGAAGCCATGTCTGTGTGGATGGAGAGGTTGAAGTCATCAAAGCCTGCCGAGAAAAGAAAGAGGGAGGTAGGTGGTGTGGAAAGATGGAGACCCAGCAGAGATGCAATGTGCTTGGTTTAGACTTAAAGGACTGAGCCAGTTCCCCAAAGGAACAGACTTCTGGTACGTTAGGAGATGTATTGCTTTCACATGTTCATACTACTGGACGACTTTAAAGATCTGGAAATCTTTGCACCACCTCACATGCCTCTTGGAAGACTTGGGAAAAGACCATGATCTACATCTTCCTGGACCCTGCTGCGTTCTGTCTTTTTCCCACAACAGTATACATATGCTGAATAACCCAAGACTTGGAATATCACTTTTATGATACTGATAACCATGACAGTTCATACTAAAAGAAAAATTGCTTAAAGATGGAGGAATTTACTGACTGTAAGAGGTGTTCAGCAGTGGAACTCTCTGCCTCAGAGTGCAGTGGAAGCTCCGTCCTTGGAGGATTATAACAGAGGCTGGATGGCCATCTGTCAGGGGTGTTTTGATTGTGCTTTTCTTGCATGGCGGGGGGTTGGACTAGATGACCCATATGATCTTTTCCAACTCTATGATTCTATGTCACTAGACCCCCCCCCCACATGTATCTTTCATTGGAATTCAACCCCATACTGCCCAAGTCTCAAGTCCTCAATGAGGAACTGTATGGGTAGATAAGAATAGGCTAGGGCTTCCCTCCCCCATGTCTCCTGTATGACAGTTGGGAATGTTCTCTTTCTCTTCTCTCTTCCTGCTCTCTTTCAGACTGGAACATTGCAGCGCACCCAAATACCTGGGAGTCATTCTGGACCGTGCTCTGACCTACAAGAATCAATGCCTGAATCTCAAGCAAAAAGTGGGTGCTAGAAACAATATCATACGAAAGCTGACTGGCACAACCTGGGGATCACAACCAGACACAGTGAAGACATCTGCCCTTGCACTATGCTACTCTGCTCCTGAGTATGCATGCCCAGTGTGGAACACATCTCACCACGCGAAAACAGTGGATGTGGCTCTCAATGAGACATAATGCATTATCACGGGGTGTCTGCGCCCTACACCACTAAGGAAATTATACTGTTTAGCAGGTATTGCACCACCTGATATCCATCTGGGAGTAGCAACCAATAGTGAAAGGACCAAGGCAGTGACATCTCCGGCCCATCCCTTGTTTGGGTATCAGCCAGCATGCCAACGACTTAAATCAAGAAATAGTTTTCTAAGATCTACAGAGACCCATGTTTTTAGCCAACTTGTGTTTTAAGCAATTTTAACTGTTGTTAATTTTACCCATCTGTGTGCCCAAGCAACTGGTTGTTCTTAATTCTCATTGCCTGCATACCTTGAGGCTGAAACATGTCGGCACTTCTTGTAGCTTTTTACCCTTGTTTTTAGCCAACACATATTTTAAGCAGCTTTTACTGTTTGCAAATTTATCTACTGAATCATAGAATCATAGAATCAAAGAGTTGGAAGAGACCTCCTGGGCCATCCAGTCCAACCCCATTCTGCCAAGAAGCAAGAATATTGCATTCAAATCACCCCTGACAGATGGCCATCCAGCCTCTGTTTAAAAGCTTCCAAAAAGGAGCCTCCACCACACTCCGGGGCAGAGAGTTCCACTGCTGAACGGCTCTCACAGTCAGGAAGTTCTTCCTCGTGTTCAGATGGAATCTCCTTGTAGTTTGAAACCATTGTTCTGGCCCTGTTAGTCATTCAGATGACACTGGATGTTCTTAATCTCATTACCTGTATAACTTGTATGCTACAGTGTAATAAGGGTCTCTGGACCACAATAAAATTTATCTATCTATCTACAGAGACACTCGCTGGAACACCTCAGCAAGCGAGAGTCCAAAAGTGGCAGGCTGAAACCCAGAACCACAATCAATGACTGATACCAAAAGAGAGGCTCCCTCCTGGGCGATTTAGAAGGCACTGAACAAACTGTGCTCTGGCACCACGTGATGCAGAGCCAACTTTAAGAAATGGTGCCACAAAGTGGAGTCCATGACATGTGAGTGCGGAGAAGAGCAAACCACTTACCACCTACTACAATGCAACCTGAGCCCTGCCACATGCACAATGGAGGACCTTCTTGCAGCAACACCAGAGGCACTCCAAGTGGCCAGCTTCTGGTCAAAGGACATTTGATAGAATGCCAAGTTTTTAAACTTTGTGTTTTCTTAAATGCATTGGTTTGCTCCTGATATGATAAATAAATTATACCTCAGGAAGCGAGAGTCCAAAAGTGGCAGGCTAAGCCAATAATACCTCAGCAAGTGAAAGCCCAAACATGGCAGGCTAAGACCCTTCCTATAGCAAGCGAGAGTCCAAAAGTGGCAGGCTAAGACACTAATACTTCAGCAAGCAAAAGTCCAAAACCTGAGCCCTGCCACATGCACAATGGGGGACCTTCTTATAGCAACACCAGAGGCACTCCAAGTGGCCAGCTGCTGGTCAAAGGACATTTAATAAAATGCCAAGTTTGCAAACTTTGTGTGTGTTTTTTTAAAAAATACAACACAACTGTTTGGTTCACTTCTGACATGATAAATAAATAACTGAATAACAATGGCTACTTCTTTGAAAACCATTGTGTATATGTGCATCCCAAAAACGAAACAGCGAAAATAAGTATAGATGAAGAAATCTGCAGAGAAGCTGGAGTGTGCCTTTCAAAACCAATGAGGAATCATAGCTAAGAACATCCGCAATGCAAGGATGTCTCCTTTCTGCATCAATCATTTTGCACAATGGCTGCCATTAATAATGTCACCTGAACTCCGCTCCCATTGCCCTTGCTAACAGCAATCCTGTCCTCCCACCAGCCAACCATGGACAAATATAATAAATCTGCCAGGTGAGCTAATGCTTCACACAGTAAATGAAGTGGACAAGACCTGGATTACATCAGTCTCAGTTTCTAAGTCCTTCAAGTGCCAAGAGTCTTGGTTTTTTTTGCTAAATAGCAGCCACCAAAGGGTGAAAAATCCTGGCAGCAGCAGAAAATCAGCAAGATGTTATGTAAAAAGAGAGACAAAAATACACTTCTTGAAAAGGCTTGGAAAAGCTGGCAGCACCTTCTGTCATCATTTCCCTGGACAGAAGTACAAAGATACTTTTTGACCATGACTCCCAAAAATCGCCCACTCATTCCTTTAGACCAGTGTTTCTCAACCTGGGGGTCTGGACCCTGGGGGGGGGGGAGGGGTCGCAAGAGGGGCTGCCAAAGATAATCAGAAAACACAGTATTTCCTGTTGGTTGTGGGGGTTCTGTGTGGGAAATTTGGCTCAATTCTATCATTGGTGGGGTTCAGAATACTCTTTGAACTATAAATCCCAGCAACTACAACTCCCAGGTGTCAGGGTCTTTGTTCCCCAAACTCCACCACTGTTCACATTTGGGCATATTTAGTCTTCGTGCCAAGTTTAGTCGATATCTATCATTATTTGAGTCCACAGTGCTCTCTGGATGCAGGTGAACTACAACTCCAAAACTCAAGGTCAGTGCCCACCAAACCCTTCCAGTGTTTTTTATTGGTCATGGGAGTTCTGTGTGCCATGTTTGGTTCAATTCCATCATTGGTGGAGTTCTGAATGCTCTTTATTGTAGGTGAACTATAAATCCCAACAACAGCAAAGTCCAAATGTCAAGGTCTATTTTCCCCGAACTCCACCAGTGTTCACATTTGGACATACTGAGGATACATTTGGGCCTATTGAGTATTTGGTGTCTTGTCCGTGGGTCCGTAGGTGGCTGTGGAGTCCTACCCTTGTGCCAAGTTTGGTCCAGACCTATCATTGTTTGAATCCACAGTGCTCTCTGGATGTAGGTGAACTACAACTCCCAAACCCAAGGTCAATGCCCACCAAACCTTTTCAGTATTTTCTGTTGGTCACTGGAGTTCTATGTGCCAAGTTTGGTTCAATTCCATAGTTGGTGGTGTTCAGAATGCTCTTTGATTGTAAGTGAACTATACATCCCAGCACCTACAACTCCCAAATGACAAAATCAACCCCCCCCCAACCCGCACTAGTATTAAAATATGGGTATATTGTGTATTTGTGCCCAATTTGGTCCAGTGAATGAAAATCCATCCTGCATATCTGATATTTACATTATGATTCATAATAGTAAAATGACACTTACGAAGTAGCAACGAAAATAATGTGATGGTTGGGAGTCACCACAACATGAGGAACTGTATTAAGGGGTCGTGACGTTAGGAAGGTTGAGAAACACTGCTTTAGACAAATGACAGGGACTCACGCTCTGTCTCTGTGACGGAAGTCCCCGAAGTGATGGTGCTCATGGAGCTGCTCCCAGGGTAGGCAGCAAAGGCCCCAGTCAGGGCAGCCGAGTGCGAGACCCAGGCTGCGGGGTCGATGGGCTGGATCGGCTCATCTGGACACAACAAGACAGAAACAGAAGTTAAGTACCAGGAACCTTTTTGGGAAAAAAAAAACACAAACTCTGGTTCCTAGCCTAATCCCCCAATATTTCACCACCATGGGATGCCTTTCAGATTCTTCTTCATGATGCATCCAACGTGTCCACTAAAACAGTGGATGTGGCTCTGAATGAGACATGCCGCATTATCACGGGGTGTCTGCGCCCTACACCACTGGAGAAATTACACTGCTTAGCTGGTATTGCACCACCTGACATCCGCCGGGAAGTAGCAGTCAATAGTGGAAGGACCAAGGCAGAGACATCTCCAGCTCACCAACGACTTAAATCTAGAAATAGTTTTCTAAGATCTACAGAGACACTCGCTGGAACACCTCAGCAAGCGAGAGTCCAAAAGTGGCAGGCTCAAACCCAGAACCTCAACCAATGGCTGATACCAAATGAGAGACTCCCCCCTGGCACACAGAGGACTGGGTGACTTGGAAGGCGCTGAACAGACTGCGCTCTGGCACAACAAGATGCAGAGCCAACCTTCAGAAATGGGGCTACAAAGTGGAGTCCACGACATGTGAGTGTGGAGAGGAGGAAACCACTGACCACCTGCTGCAATGCAACCTGAGCCCTGCCACGTGCACAATGGAGGACCTTCTTGCAGCAACACCAGAAGCACTCCAAGTGACCAGATAGTGGTCAAAGGACATTTAATCAACTACCAAACTCACAAATTGTGTATTTTGTCTGTTTGTTTGTTTGCTTTGTTCTGTTAGAAATGTAATATAATTTGACTGGTTGTCCTGACACGACAAATAAATATCCAATGTGTCTGGCTCAGGGATTATGGCAGATGTAGTTCAACATGATAAAAGCCAATGTGGTGAAACAATTTGAGTCTTGAACTAGGACTCTGACAGAATAGGGTTCGAATCCTCACTCAGCCCTGGAAACTGACCACTACGTAGTAACCCTCTCTCTAGGACAGGCATGGGCAAACTTCACTCCTCCGTGTGGTTTGGACTTCCACTCCCACAATTTTGTGAAAGTTGAAGTTCAAAACACCTAGAGGAGGGCTGAAGTTTGCCCATGCCTGCTCTAGGAAAAAGCCCATGCCAAATCACTTCCATAAACATTTGGCCAAGCAAACCCTATGATTGGGTTGCTGTGAGTTGAAGTCAACATGAAGGCATGCCTTTGATTGTGCCTACACCTCATTCATCTGGGGATTCTGGGCCTGTTAGTCATTTGGATGACACTGGGGATTCTGGGTCTGCAACTCGGCAGGAGAGCCAGCAAGAGATTTTGAGCCCTGAAAATGAGTAGTCTGTGTCTGAAGGCCACATTCCTGAAAGGCAGTTCATTAGGGAAGCAAGGTCAATAACAGATCAGAGCTCAGGGGATGAAACTGAAAGTCCAAGTGGACAGACTAATGAGCAGTTAGACAGGAAATTTAGGTTCCGTCAACATAGAGCTTCTCAGAAGGGTTTATGAAGGTCAAGAAGCCAAGAAGTCCTTATCAGTTTTTCAGGGGAAAAGGCATGATTTTCTCTCTATATTAGCTAGCCCAGAGATGGGTCCATCAGTCCAGACAGTGTTGGTATTTGAGTATAGTCAAGTCCAGGGATTTAGAGTTTCATGTTTCCTTTTGTTCATTTCTCATGATTCCAAACTTTGAGGACTGTTCCCGAATCTCATGTTTTTGGATTTATTCCGCCTTTGTTTTCCTGGTTTTTGATGCTACTCCTGTACTATGATTTCTGTGGATTATTATTGGTATTCAGACTTGGGTTGTATATATTTTTGCTGAATTGCTTTTCATAGATATTCTTCAATAAGATGCTTTGCTATTTTACCTTGGACCGGAGTGTGTGTTAAGTGCAGAGGTGGTTCCCAGCCTTGGAGTGCAATAATATTAATAATAATAATAATAATAATAATAATAATAATAATAATAATCCTTTATTTATACCCCGCTACCATCTCCCACAGGACTCGGTGCGACTTACAATAAAACACAACGACAACAATACAACAATAAATAACTCATAAACAAAACAAAACAATAACAATAATCACGACACATTTAAAACCTATGGTAGGGCCAGATGTAATGATTAATTTTTTTAAAAATGCTGGGCATGTCCAAGTGAAATAGGATGGATATTTTAGGGATAGGTGGGCGTGCAAACAATCCTAGATCTCTCATAAAGTGCATTTGGGACATATTGCTTGCAATTCCTTATTCTGGGAAGGCACACTGAAACATCCACGTTTTCAAGCATGTAATAACAGCATGTAATAACAAGTCCAATACAGCTGGAGGGAACTTCACTGAGGAAGGCCACCCCCCAAATCTAAAACCACCTTCCCCTGAAATTCAAATGGGTTGCCCCTTTAGGGCTAGAACCTGAAGTATCAGTCATAAATTCACAGAATGAGGCCTAGAGTGCCCTACCTATTTGGCCTCAAGCATTCTTAAGTTAATTAGGGATTCCAACCAAGTCCCACTGGGTCCAATCAAGTCAAATCAACAAGACTGCTTAATGGTGAGAGCAGGCCTGAGCCTAAGTAGAATCAAACACCCAAAGGCCTGAAAAAGATTGTGTCCACTTACTTCTTGGCAGGGTGAAATAACCTTGTGGGGAGGGATCCCAGCACTTGGCCACTGTCAACACAATTGGGCTGCAAAAGGAAGAAAGGCACCTTTGAGTCAACTGACACAACGAATGCAACACACACTGAGATAAGTCTCATCGACACAGGAAGCTGAGGGGTCGGAAGGACCAGGACCTACCCCGGTTTGTGAACAATCTCCCTCAAAACTCTCACAGCGTCGTCGTTGCTCATGTTCTCAAAATTGATGTCGTTGACCTGGGACAAAAAGAGGGTGTGCATTTTGAGGCCTGCTTCAAGATCTACTCCATATAGCCCCATAACATGAGACAGCTGTTCCCCTGAGACAGTCGTCACATCCCAAGGGGCAAGAGAACCCATATTCCAAGAAGCCGACTCACCTGAAGCAGCATGTCTCCGGGCTCGATTCTCCCATCGGCAGCAACTGCACCCCCTTTCATGATGGAGCCAATGTAGATGCCGCCGTCCCCTCGCTCGTTGCTTTGCCCCACAATAGAGATGCCCAGGAAGTTGTACTTTTCTGCTCAGGCAAGAAACAAACAAAACAAGGCTCTTGATGAACCAATCTGGACACAGCATATTATTGGCCCACACTAAAAACCACTATGTCAGACTACACAGGGAAGCCATTGAAATCCACAAGCATGCCAACAATTTCAACAGAAAGGAGGAAATCACTGAAATTTATTTATTTATTTATTTATTTATTTATTTGCATATTTGTATCCTCTCCTTACGGGGCAGGATTCAGGGCGACTTCACAAAAGGCATTCCTTTGATGCAACAACAATGATAAATAATAAGTTAAAAAAATCATTAACACATTAAACTATTAAAATTACTAAAACATTCATTTAAAATCATACAGGCTCAAAAATGAACCAAATCTGTCCTCCAGTATTTAAAAAAACTCTAAAATCAGGACAGCAAATAAAGAATAACACTTGGAAAACAGGGGAATTCCAGACCGGAAACAATCAGGCCAGCCAACACCTCCCAACAAAGGCAAAACACAGCCAGGCTTTGAAATTGCAAGGCTATTCAATGCTAATCAGGGTTGTCAATTGCAACATTCACTCTTGCCTCCAGCAGACAAGAGTTCTTTCTCCCACCCTGGACATTCCACAGATATATACATCCTGTTTCCCTAGTTTCCAACAGACCTATCAACCCCCTGAAGTTGCCTGCCATAGATGTGGGCGAAACATCAGGAGATAATGCTTCTGGAACATGGTCATAAAGCCCAGAAAACTCACAACCCAGTGATTCCAGCCATGAAAGCCTTTGACAACACATAAAACAAGGCTCGTCTACTGACTAGGCTACCGAGAGAGGATTCTCAAGGGGCTGACCCAAAGCATGCCTTGCAAATGATGTGAATATTCCTCAAAACAACCAAGAGAAAAGATAAATTTCCCCTCAGTTTTTTAATGACTTGTTTTAAAAATTAACCTTGGAACACACTCAGAATCCATTGCATTTATACCCATCTCCAGCTCAGACTTTCTCTAGTCTTGAACTCAGGAGAGTGGCAAGGCTTCTCAGAGGGCCAAGCATGTGAACTTCTCACCTGAAGAACAGGGGTAATCCAGGGTTTTTTCCCCATCTCCATCAGTTGCCATTAAGGTGCAATTCAGTAAAATATACTAGAATTGATATTCATGATGACAGCACCAGGATTGTGGCGCAGCTGGCTGAGTGTCAGCTGCATTAAGATAACTCTGACCAGAAGGTCATGAGTTCGAAGCCAGCCCGGGTCGGAGTGAGCTTCTGGCCAATTTTGTGTAGCTTGTTGTCGACCTTTGCAACCCGAAAGACAGTTGCATCGGTCAAATAGGAAAATTAGGTACCACCTATGTGTGGGGAGGCTAATTAACTAATTTATGAGGCCATAAAAAGACTCCAGCAAAAAGCACTCCAGCAAAGCATGCGAGGAATGTGGAAGTACTTCATCCGTGTCGCAGATGGACAATGAAAGCGACAGCTCCCCTGACGGCCAGAAAAAGTTAAATAGCCTCTGTGTATGTCTATATACATTGTATGTCTAATTGGCATTGAATGTTTGCCATATATGTATACATTGTAATTTGCCCTGAGTCCCCTGCGGGGTGAGAAGGGTGGAATAGAAATGCTGCAAATAAATAAATAAATAAACTTACAATCTGATGTTACTAATTGCTTTAGGGGGAAAAATGAAAAGACCAGGGGTTGTGACAAAAACAATCCTGTTTTTTTCTAAACCCTGTTATTATTTTGCAAAGAGATTGTGGATTTTTTAAAAAAGTTAGCCCTGCTTACCCATATTCAATGTAACTGTGATGATGTTGAGGGACATGGTGGAGTCTGTAACGCTGCTGAAGGAGGAAGTCTGAAATGACAACAAAACAGAGAGAGAGAGATTGGGGGAGATACAGGGAACAACAGGCTTCTCCAAGGTTGTTTCCCAATGCAAACACAACGGGACAGTCTCTGCCACAACATTCCGTCTGTTGCTGTCTGTTTTCAATTCCAACTAATGGTGACTCTCAGACAAGTCTGTCACAGCGAGGTTTATCCTGAGGTTTGCCATTCCATTTCCCTTAGACTGAGTCTGACTACTTAAGGGTCACCCAGCCAGTGGTTTTTTTGTGGCTGCGTGTAGATTCAAACACTGGCCTTCCGGGGTCTAATGTTCAGAGCACAATGCTACAGTGCTTCACCTAGGATTTTCTTGGCCAGATTTACTTAGAGTTTGCTATTGCCTTCCCCTCTAGACAGAAAAGGTAGAAATTGCTCATAGCTGCCCAAGAGATTCCCACGACTGAGCAGAGATTGGGAGTCCTACACCAGTGTTGACTCACATTCCGTACCAATTCTCTTTGCCCTGATTAAATCCCAAACTGCCCACCCTCCTGGGCTAGATTCAAACTGACCCGCTCCAGACGTGGTGGGCGCTGCTTCCGTCGCCTGCGGTGGCGCTTGAGGAGGCGGGAGGCGCTGCTTTGCTCGGTGGAGCTACTGAATCTGTCGCAGGAGGAGACACAAAGAAGTGGGGAGGGTGCCAAAGCCATTTTGAATTGGCCTCCCCCAACAATCTCTGCTTCCCCTCAGCCCAAAAACCAAACCACGAGAAAAGAACCGGATTCAAAATCACCTCTTCTTGAAGAAACATTAGTTAGAAGAGGAAGACACCATCCAAGCCCTCCTGGCAGATGGCCAGCCTGTTTAAAAAACCTCCAAAGGAGACTCCACCACACTTTCTACTGAATAGTGAATTACATTCGCGCAGGCATGGACAAACTTCAGCCCTCCAGGTGTTTTGGCCTTCAGCTCCCACAATTGAGCCTGCTGTTAGGAATTGTGGGAGCTGAAGTCCAAAATACCTGGAGAGCTGAAGTTTGCCCATGCCTGCATTAGAGCATCTCGTTGCAAGTTTCTGAGAGACTAAGAGCAGCTGAACAGACACTGAGATGATATCAGATTAGCTACTCAGTGGCCTAAGCCCACCTCAGAAAAGCCAACTGCCTGAATAGTAATAATAATAATAATAATAATAATAATAATAATAATTTACTTTATTTATTTATTTACAGCATTTATATGCCACCCTTCTCACCTCGAAGAGGACTCAGAGCATCTCACAAGATACACACACACACACAGAGTATATTATATTATTAGCACAGTACAATATCAGTATTAAATATTACTATATTGTACTATACCATTATATTGTGATATTATTATTAATATTACATGTAATATAAATATATAATTATAATATCATATTAGTAGTAGTATTACATTGTATTACACTGTAATATTATAAATATTATATGTATATACAATATATTACATTACATTATGTTATTAGCATAGCACAGGAGACAAGATGGGACTGTCCCCCGCCCCCCTCTCTCTTCACTCTGGCCCAGAGTGGCGGTTGGTGCTGCTGGGAGGGGTCCCCAGCTGATGACATATGCAGGAAACAAGTTGGAACTGTCCCCCGGTCCCCTCTCTCTTCACTATTTGTATTCTGCCTTTCTCTGCCCCAAAGGGGACTCAAGGCAGCTTTACATATGGCAACTATTCAATGCCTTTGGTCAACAAAGAGCCAGAGACATCTCCAGCTCATCCTGTTTGGGTTTTAGCCAGCACGTCAACGACTTAAATCTAGAAATAGTTTTCTAAGATCTACAGAGACACTCGCTGGAACACCCCAGCAAGCAAGAGTCCAAAAGTGACAGGCTCAAACCCAGAACCTCAACCAATGGCTGATACCAAATGAGAGACTCCCCCTGGGCACACAGAAGACTGGGTGACTTGGAAGGCGCTGAACAGACTGCGCTCTGGCACCACGAGATGCAGAGCCAACCTTCAGAAATGGGGCTACAAAGTGGAATCCACGACATGCAAGTGTGGAGAAGAGCCAACCACTGACCACCTGCTGCATGCAATGCACCCTGAGCCCTGCCACATGCACAGGGGAGGACCTCCTTGCAACACCAGAGGCACTCCAAGTGGCCAGATACTGGTCAAAGGACATTTAATCAACTACCAAACTTGCAAATTTTGTGTTTTGCCTGTTTGTTTGTTTTGTTCTGTTAGAAATGTAATACAATTGACTGGTTGCCCTGACACGACAAATAAATAACAAAGAGTAAGAATACACTTAAATGTAAAGATTAAAATTACATGCACATTAAAACATATAGAACATTGCATTCGCTATTAAAATCACGCCATCCTCAATCATAATCTGGGGCCATTCCAAAGATGAACTGCATGTATTTAGAGGCCATTTTTGCACTATAGATTAATCTCCAAAGGTTTGACCCCAGTGGAGTGAGAGCTGCCACTCCATCCCACCTTCCCCTCGTACCTGCTCATGGTATCGTCATCATCCGAGTCGCAGAGGCTGGTGGTCTCCAGTTCGCTGGTGAGCAGAGTGGAGGAGCTCTCATAGCCAGCCAGGTGCCGCTCCAAGCGGGACTGTCCGTTCAGCCGGTGCCCTCCTGGGCCAAAGGAACAGAGAAAGGGGGACATCAAGGAGGCACACCAAGTCTAACACATCCCCCTCCTGCCTGTCCCTGACAAAGGGAGAAAAGGTCCAGGGTCCTGGCTCTCAGGCAGCAACTCACCTCCGTGCTCCATGCTCTCCCTGCGCCGGGGCCGCTCCCGCCTCAGCGAAACTACTGATTCGGTCTCTGTTTCGTGGTCCAAGTTCTCGTGGCTGCCTGACACATTTGGGCTGCAAAAAGCAAGAAGTAGCCCCCCACAAGGTTCAATTTATTAAAAGACAGGGAGGGACACCCCACTGGCAAAAAGGAGCATGCCCCAAACCACTCTGCCCCAGAATCTCTCACTGCTGATAGTTTGGGCTCAATATTTATTTATTTACTTACAACATTTATATGCCGCCCTTCTCATCCCGAAGGGGACTCAGGGCGGCTTGCAAGATATATAATACATACAATATATTATATTATTAGCATAGTACAATACTTCTATTGTAGTTGGCCCTACAATATCCATGGCTTCAAAACATGCCAAAGAGAAAATGAAAATCTCCCAAAAAACCCTAGTCTTGATTTTACCGATTTCTATAAGGAATATCATTTTGCAACACCATTATATATATCAGTGGTTCCCAACCTGTGGTCCGTGGACCACCAGTGATCTGCAAGAACTAAAATATGGTCCACAGTCTCACTGCTACTACACCGTTGCAACCAATGGGGGGAGGGCATGGATAATGGGCGATATACATGGAATGTATAAAGTGTCATATAAAGTAAATTTACTTTTGGAATAATGTATACCGAGATGAGACTTGTAAGGAAAAAGTTTGTTAATTGACAGAACGTATCAACTAAAATAATAATAATAATAATCATCATCATCATCATCATCATCATCATCATCATCATCTACACCATTGCAATAAGAGCGATTGGAGCAGAATTCAAAATGATCTTGACAGATTAGAGAGATGGGCCAAAACTAATAAAATTAAGTTCGACAGTGACAAATGCAAGATACTCCACTTAGGCAGAAAAAATGAAATGCAAAGAGACAGAATGGGGGATGAGGACTGGCTCGAGAACAATACGTGTGAAAAAGATCTTGGGGTCCTTGTGGACAAGTTAAACATGAGCCAACAATATGATGCAGCGGCAAAAAAAGCCAATGGGATTTTGGCCTGCATCAATAGGAGTCAAGTGTCTAGATCAGTGGTTCTCAACCTGTGGGTCCTCAGGTGTTTTGGCCTACAACTCCCAGAAATCCCAGCCAATTTACCAGCTGTTAGGATTTCTGGGAATTGAAGGCCAAAACATCTGGGGACCCACAGGGTGAGAACCACTGGTCTAGATCCAGGGAAGTCATGCTCCGCATGCTCTATTCTGTTTTGATTAGACCACACCTGGAATATTGTGTCCAATTCTGGGCACCACAACTGAAGACAGATATTGACAAGCTGGAAAGTGTCCAGTAGAGGGCGAATAAAATGATCAAGGGTTTGGAGAACAAGCCCTATGAGGAGCAGCTTAAAGAGCTGGGCATGCTTAGCCTGAAGAAGAGAAGGCTGAGAGGAGATATGATAGCCATGTATAAATATGTGAGAGGAAGTCACAGGGAGGAGGGAGCAAGCTTGTTTTCTGCTGCCCTGGAGAAAGGAGATTCCATCTGAACATTACGAAGAACTTCCTGACTGTGAAAGCTGTTCAGCAGTGGAACTCTCTGCCCCGGAGTGTGGTGGATGCTTCTTCTTTGGAAGCTTTTAAACAGAGGCTGGATGGCCATCCGTCAGGGGTGCTTTGAATACAATATTCCTGCTTCTTGGCAGAATGGGGTTAGACTGGATGGCACATGAGGTCTCTTCCAACTCTTTGATTCTATGATTGGTCTCGTGAAACCTTCGTGTAGTGCTGAGTCTTATTAAATATTGTTTTCTGTGGGTGAGCAGATGGCCACTACTGGACGGCATATATTCTGAATGAGAAACTAGAGCTGATGTGATCTACCCAATGCAACTTTATGAATCAGCACCCCAAATAATCAAACCAAATCTAAAGTTGACAAAAACTTATTCATAGCCCTTTTGGTATTAATGTTGGAGAGTGGTCACTAGTCAAGTGGTCCCTGGTCAAAAAAAAAAAGGTTGAGAACCACTGGTATATATAAAGGGACTTGAGCATCCACAGATTTTTGGTATCCACAACAGTTCTGGTACCAAAACCCAGGAGACACTGAGAGCTCACTGTATCTGCTCCTTGTATACCTCCTTCCTATTTAATAGCAGCAGCAGCAACAACAGTAGTAATACATTTTACCTGTCTCCCCTCTCGGCTCAAGGCAGGGTACAACAAAGTCAAAACACATCAAGATATAATACGTATGTCAAAACACACTTAGTACATTCAGCTCTCGGTAGTTCTGCCTGACAATGCCATGATTATATATATTTTCCTTGGCAGATGTCTATCACCTGAAACCCACCCTCCCTCTCCCGCTACTTACTGGAAAGAAGGAGGGCGGGAGTCCCCGATGCCACTTGTCCGCTCCACAGGTAATGGCGGAAGTGGAGGCGGTGGGGGTGAAGGCTCTGGGCGCACCTCGACAGGAGGGGGAGGAGGGGGAGGCTCTGGCTGTGGGGTTTCCGAGGACACAAGCTGTGCAGCAGAAAAGCAGAAGACACTCTGACTATGGCATTCCATCCTCTGAGTGCTATAGAAACATTCACACAGTCCCTATGAAGTAGAGAAATCTCCTGCCCACCAAAAAAGCTAATTTTAGGACTGAAGGAGGATTCTGCAGGATGATTCCAAAGGTGCATGGCTTTGTTTTCTACAGTGTCCAGCTGAGAGATGCAATGAACAAAAATGGTAGAAACCTACTTTCTCCTCTTCTCTAAAACCATTTCCTCTCAGGAAAAAAAATTGAGGGAAAAAATAAATAGATTTTGGAATATTTTACTTCAGAATCATGAATAAAATTTAAGACATGTTGTGCATATATTTACTTTTCCTGAATTATTCCCATAAAGGAGGAAATCTTTTTTTTAAAGGCAATGTCCTGCCATTTCTAGTCTTTCCCCTTTTTATGGGAATGAGTTCATTATGTCTGTCTGATGCTTTGGGAGACTAGAGGAGACAAAATAATTTTCTCTCTTTTAACAACATTGACAATTGTATCTGTTTTTATAGGAGCCCCTCGTGGAGCATTGTGCCAGCAGGACTGCTGACTGAAAGTTCAGTGGTTTGAATCTGGGGAGTAAAGTCAGCTCCCGTTGTCAGCTCCAGCTTCTCATGCGGGGACATGAGAGAAGCCTCCCACAGGATGATAATACATCCAGGCGTCCCCTGGGCAATGTCCTTGCAAGAGGGCCAATTCTCTCACACCAGAAGCGACTTGCAGTTTCTCAAGTCGTTCCTGACATGAAAAAAAAATCTGTTTTTATGGGGCCATGTTGCTTTTTTCTAAACCCAAGAGATCCCTTGCAGTTCAGTTCTTTACCATGTAGCTCCATTTGTTGCACAAAAAATAAACAATTGAAAAGGAGAATTCAGTTTCTAGCTGTACATTTTCTGGCTGTATATTTAATATGTCAAACAAATCTGTATATCATGTTATGAAAATAAAAACTTATGTTTCTAAAGCAACAATGATTTTCAATATGTAAAGGATGATAAAACCATTTTTTCAATATATCTGGAAATGTGACGGAGCCCTACACCCCCCCCCCCCCCCCCCCCCCCCCCCCCCAACATCTTGCAAAAGTGCAAGCCTTTTTCCATGGCTTCGGAATTTTGGGAAGCTTTACATCTCTAAGTCAAACTGAAGTCTTAAGCACACAAAGCCCAAGGCCAACAGTTTCCTAGTCAGGACATAAATGCACTTTGAAGGCCGACAAAGTGACTAATGTCACACAAAGGTCACAAAATATAGGCAGAGCCCAGGGAAAAGCTCCAGCTTTTTGGGGCTACCTTTTCCAGCATCCCCAGGAGCCACAATGGCTAAGGGATTCTGGGAAACGTTGCACATGAATTTCCAAGCTCTGAAGAAAAGCAGCAGGGAGGAAAGACTGGACAAATGGAAGAGAAAAGACATGTCAACTTCATACCCAAGAAACGACTCTGCCATTGAAGCAAGGGAGCTTTGCGTTGTCGTCCGAGATTTCCTCCTTCACAACCCTTCAATAGAAAAGACAAACAAAATCAAAAGGCACAGCATCAAATGCCTCCTGAATGCCAAAAAAGTTAAGAGGGTCCCTTCTTAGGGGCTTGGGAGGGAGAAGTTTTCATCTTTTACGTCAGTGCTTTTCAAACATTTCATGTTTTTATCTTATGGGGTTGGACTGGGTGGCCCTTGGGGGTCTCTTCCAATTCTAGGATTCCTTCTCTGTCTCTCTATCCTATCTATTCTATTTAGGGCCTCTTCCAGTCTAACTTCCTTAAGGTCTATCTATCTTGTCTGTCTGTCTGGATGGCCCACAACTATATAATTCTACAATCTATCTACCCATCTAAGGGGGTGGAACTGGATGGATCTTGAGGGTCCCTTTCCAATGCTAGGATACTATACTATTATAAAAATAATAACAATAATAATGCTCAGAAGCTGGAGAACCATCCATCTGTCTATCTGTCTGTGTTTCTATCTTTCCATCTTAGGATGCTGGACTGCATGGCCCTATAGCAGGTATCCTCAAACTGCGGCCCTCCAGCTGGGTTGTTGTAGGTTTTTTCAGGTTTTTTATGGCCATGGTCTAGAGGCATTTTCTCCTGACGTTTCACCTGCATCTATGGCAAGCATCCTCAGAGGTAGTGAGGTCTGTTGGAACTAGGAAAAAGGGTTTATATATCTGTGGAATGACCAGGGTGGGACAAAGGACTTTTGTCTGCTGGAGCTAGGTGTGAATGTTTCAACTGACCACCTTGATTAGCATTTAATGGCTCGGAAGTGCCTGGGGGAATCTTTTGTTGAAGGTGATTTGATGTGCGTGATTGTTTACTCTCTGTTGTTTTGCTGTTGTAATTTTTGAATTTTTTAATACTGGTAGCCAGATTTTGTTCATTTTCATGGTTTCCTCCTTACTGTTGAAATTGTCCACATGCTTGTGGATTTCAATGGCTTCTCTGTGTAGTCTGGCATGATGGTTGTGAGAGTGGTCCACCATTTCTGTGTTCTCAAATAACATGCTGTGTCCAGGTTGGTTCATCAGGTGCTCTGCTATGGCTGCCTTCTCTGGTTAAAGCGGTCTGCGGTTGTTTGGGCCTCCAACTGTTTGGGCCTCCAACTCCCAGAAGCCCTAACAAGCTTATTCAATTGTCAGGAATTCTGGGAGTTGAGGGCCCAAACAGCTGGTGGGCCACAGTTTGAGGATGTCTGCCCTAAAGGGTCTCTTCCATTCCAACATTCTTAGGGTCTATCTATCTTGTATGTCTGTCTATCTATCTGTTCGGGGGTTAGATTGGATGGCCCTTCGGCCTTCACTATCTCAATGACTATATGCTTCTATCATCTATCAATCTATCCATCTAAGGGGGTTGCAATGGATGGATCTTGGGATCCCTTTCCAACTCCAGGATTCTATACTTCTACTACTACTAATTCTATACTTCTACTACTACTAATAACAATAACAACAATAAGCAGAAGCTGGAGGACCATCTTTCTGTCTATCTGTCTGTTTATCCATCCTATCTGTCCATCCATCCATCCAATCTTAGAGAGTTGGCCTGGATGGCCCTTGGATCTTCCCTAACTCAATAACTATATGCTTCTATCATCTATCTTTCTAATGGGGTTGCACTGGATGGATGTTGAGGTCCCTTTCCAATTCTAGGATTATATACTTCTACTACTACTAATAACAATAATAATAACAACAATAAGCAGAAGATGGAGGACCATCTATCTGTTTATATATCCATCCATCCTATCCATCCATCTGGCCTTTGGGGTCCCCTTCTAGGATTCTATACTATATTAACAGTAATAATCAGAGGCCGGTCATCTGTTGGGAGGGCTTGGGTAGGATATTCCAGCAGATGAGAATGGGGACTGTTTATCCATCCATCCTATCTATCCATCCAATCTTAGAGAGTTGGCCTGGATGGCCCTTGGATCTTCCCTAACTCAATAACTATATGCTTCTCTCTCTCCCCCATTGTGCTGCTCAGGCTTCCTCTTGGTCACTCTCAAGGCAGTTTTAAATCAAATATTATTAAGATTACCTTGCATTCATATATGGTTTTATTGTACGTGTGGGCAAGTGTGTATGTTTTGTATGTTCTATATGTTTTGATATGGTCAAAATTGACTAATCAATAAAGAATTGATTATTGTTTATATGCTTCTATCTATCTATCTAAGGGGGTTGCACTGGATGGATCTTGAGGTCCCTTTCCAATTCTAGGATTATATACTTCTACTACTAATAATAACAATAATAATAACAACAATAAGCAGAAGATGGAGGACCATCTATCTGTTTATATATCCATCCATCCTATCCATCCATCTGGCCTTTGGGGTCCCCTTCTGGGATTCTATACTTCTAATCACAATAATAATCAGAGGCTGGAGGGCCATCTGTTGGGAGGGCTTGGGTAGGATATTCCAGCAGATGAGAATGGGGTCGGACTGGGTGGCCTTTGGGGTCCCCTTCTGGGATTCTATACTTCTAATAACAATAATAATAATCAGAGGCTGGATGTTCAGAGTTGTTTTTAATTTTGTACTTATAATTTATTTTAATTTTTTTGTTTGGGGGGGGGGGGGCTTGGGTAGGATATTCCAGTAGATGAGAATGGGGTCAGACTGGGTGGCCTTTGGGTCCCCTTCTAGGATTCTATACTTCTAATAACAATAATAATAAGAGGCCAGAGGGCCATCTGTTGGGAGGGCTTGAGTAGAATATTCCTGCAGATGAGAATGGGGTCAGACTGGGTGGCCTTTGGGGTCCCCTTCTAGGATTCTATACTTCTAATAACCATAATAATCAGAGGCCGATCATCTGTTGGGAGGGCTTGGGTAGGATATTCCTGCAGATGAGAATGGGGTCGGACTGGGTGGCCTTTGGGGTCCCTGGAGGGCCATCTGTTGGGAGGGCTTGGGTAGAATATTCCAGCCCAGGGGACGCCTGGATGATTTTGATGTTTTTATCATCCTTGTGGGAGGCTTCTCTCATGTCCCCGCATGAGGAGCTGGAGCTGATAGAGAGAGCTCATCCGCCTCTCCCCGGATTCGAACCTGCGACCTCATCAGTGAGGCCGGCACAGGGGTTTAACCCACTGCGCCACCGGAGTAATAATAATAATAACAATAATAATAATAATCTCCCCAACAATCTCCCCAGGGGACTTGGGGCGGCTTACATGAGGCCAAGCCCAACAACACATCAGTAAACAACAAAGCAATAAGCAAATAAAACAATGTAATTAATATAACTCACATATAGACAATAAAATGCAATGGGATTGGACTGGGTGGCCTTTGGCGTCCCCTTCTGGGATTCTATACTTCTATTAACAATAATAACCAGAGGCCAGAGGGCCATCTTTTGAGAGGGCTTGGGTAGGATATTCCAGCAGATGGGAATGGGGTCAGACTGGGTGGGACTCCTTCTGGGATTCTATACTTCTAATAAGGGCCGGTCATCTGTTGAGAGGGCTTGGGTAGGATATTCCAGCAGATGAGAATGGGGTAAGACTGGGTGGCCTTTGGGGTCGCCTTCTAGCATTCTATACTTTTATTAATAAATAATAATAATCAGGTGCCGGAGGGCCATCTGTTGGGAGGGCTTGGGTAGGATATTCCAGCTGATGAGAATGGGGTCCCCTTCTAGGATTCTATACTTCTAATCACAATAATATTCAGAGGCTGGAGGGCCATCTGTTGGGAGGGCTTGGGTAGGATCTCCCTGTAAAGAATGGAGGAGTTGATGGGCAGGGCAGGGCCTCAGAAGAGGGCCCTCCCCAGACGCCAAATGCTCTTTCTTGGGGGCCCATGGGGAGGGCCCTCCTCCCTTCCCAGCCAAGGGATGTCTGTCTTCTCCCCCTTTGGGAGTCCTCACCCAAAGTCCTGGTCCATGCTCTTGAAGAAGTACTTGGCGCCAGGCCTGGCCAGGGCGGCCTTGACGTGGCCTAGAGTGAGGCGCTCGGCCGGGACCGGGATCTTGACCAGGTAAGGCGTCTCCTCTTCGTCCAGGTGGTAGATCACCTTCGTCTCCCCCGCGGGCTGCATGGAGGAGGAAGACGAGGAGGAAGAAGAAGCGGCGTTGAGTAGAGCAGGAGGAGGAGGATGAGGAGGCTGAGGCGGCGCACTAGGCCCGGAGCCCGCCATCGCCATGGCAACCAGCGGAAGGGCGGAAGCACGGGCGCCTCCTTCTTCTTCTTCTTCCTTTAGGCCGCGCCCACGTTACCGAAGAGAGCGGGGGGGGGGCGGATAAAGTAAATAGCGGGGGGAGGGGGTTAATAAAATAAAAAAAGGGAGGGGGAGAGGGGAAGAGCGGAGGGACGCAGCCGCCCTCTCTCTCTCTCTCTCTCGCTCCTCTCTCTTTCGTCGCGCAGGTTACGTCACCACGCACGCACTGCGCGCGCAGCTCCGCCCCTCGCTTGGGGAAAACAAGGCGTGAGGCGGAGTCACGTGACGAGGATCTCCTAGTCCTCTTCTTCTTCTTCTTCTTCTTCTTCTTCTTCTTGGGCCTGCCTTCCTTCTTAGGCCTGTCAACATCCTATGACACTGTGTCAATCATCGCCTCCTCTTGAGTGATTGTAAGAAATGCTGGACCACTCTCACAACCACCATGTCAGACTACACAGAGAAGCCATTGAAATCCACAAGCATGTGGACAATTTCAACAGAAAGGAGGAAACCATGAAAATGAACAAAATCTGGCTACCAGTATTAAAAAACTCAAAAATTACAACAGCAAAACAACAGAGGGGAAACAAACAGGCACATAATCACTCTCAACAAAAGATTCCCCCCAGGCACTTCCAAGCCATTGAATGCTAATCAAGGTGATCAGCTGAAACATTCACAGAAATCTGGCTACCAGTTTTAAAAACTCAAATATTACAACAGCATAACAACAGAGGGGAAACAAACAGGCACATGGAATCACTCTCAACAAAAGATTCCCCCCAGGCACTTCCAAGCCATTGAATGCTAATCAAGGTGATCAGCTGAAACATTCACAGAAATCTGGCTACCAGTTTTAAAAACTCAAATATTACAACAGCATAACAACAGAGGGGAAACAAACAGGCACATGGAATCACTCTCAACAAAAGATTCCCCCCAGGCACTTCCAAGCCATTGAATGCTAATCAAGGTGATCAGCTGAAACATTCACAGAAATCTGGCTACCAGTTTTAAAAACTCAAATATTACAACAGCATAACAACAGAGGGGAAACAAACAGGCACATGGAATCACTCTCAACAAAAGATTCCCCCCAGGCACTTCCAAGCCATTGAATGCAAATCAACTAATCAGCTGAAACATTCACAGCTAGCCCCAGCAGACAAAAGTCCTTTGTCTCACCCTGGTCATTCCACAGATATATAAACCCATTTTTCCCAGTTCCAACAGACCTCACTACCTCTGAGGATGCTTGCCATAGATGCAGGCAAAATGTCAGGAGAAAAATTGCCTCCAGAACATGGCCATATAGCCCGGAAAAACCTACAACAATCCATGGATTCCGGCCATGAAAGCCTTCGACAATACTTCCACTTTGTCTCTAGTCTCCTTCCCTCCAATAAGCTTTATTTCCTGAAGTATGGACTGGTTGGATCTTCTTGCAGTCCAAGGCACTCTCAGCACTTTCCTCCAACACCACAGCTCAAAAGCATCGATCTTCCTTCGCTCAGCCTTCCCTCAGGTCCAGCTCTCACATCCGTAGGTGACTACAGGGAAGACCATGGCTTGGACTAGGCAACGGATCTTGGTTGCCAGTCTGATGTCTCTACTCTTTACTATTTTATCGAGACTGGACATTGCTCTCCTCCCAAGAAGGAAGCGTCTTCTGATTTCCTGGCCACAGTCTGCATCTGCATATTATTTGAGAACACAGAAATGCTAGACCACTCTCACAACCACCATGTCAGACTACACAGAGAAGCCATTGAAATCCACAAGAAGCATGTGGACAATTTCAACAGAAAGGAGGAAACCATGAAAATGAACAAAATCTGGCTACCAGGATTAAAAAAAAACTCTAAAATTAAATCAGCAAAACAGCAGAGAGGAAACAAACAAGGACATCTAATCACCTCTCAACAAAAGACTGCTCCAGGCATTGCCAGGCAATCAAATGCTAATCAAGGTGGTCAGTTGAAACATTCACACTTAACTCCAGCAGACAAGAGTCCTTTGTCCTACCCTGGTCATTTCACAGATATATAAACCCATTTTCCTAGTTCCAACAGACCTCACTACCTATGAGGATGCTTGCCATAGATGCAGGTGAAACGTCAGGAGAGAATGCCTCTAGACATGGCCATATAGCCCGAAAAAACATACAACAACCCATTCTATGCAGAACACATCACACAATGTGCGGGACTTGACGAATGCAAGGCTGGAATTAAAATGGCTGAAAGAAACATTAACATATGCAGATGACACCACCTTGATGGTCAAAAGCGAGGAGGAGCTGAGGAGCCTTCTAATCAAGGTGAACGAAGAAAGGGCAAAAGCCGGGTTGCAGCTCAACATCAAAAAAACCAAGATTATGACAACAAGAATGATTGACAACTGGGAAATAGAGGGAGAAAACGTGGAGGCTGTGACAGGGTTTGTATTTCTCGGGAAGATGAGTGTAGACGCAAACTGCAGCCAGGAAATCAGGAGATGCTTCCTTCTTGGGAGGAGAGCAAGGTCCAATCTCAATAAAATAGTGAAGAGTAGAGACATCACACTGGCAACCAAGATCTGCATAGTTAAAGCAATGGTATTCCCCATAGTCACCTACGGATGTGAGAACTGGACCAGCAGGAAAGCTGAGCGAAGGAAAAGAGGCACTTTGGAACTGTGATGTTGGAGGAGAGTTCTGAGAGTGCCTTGGACTGCGAGAAGATCCAACCAGTCCATACTTCAGGAAATGAAGCCCGACTGCTCACTGGAGGGAAGGATACTAGAGGCCAAGATGAAGTCCTTTGGCCACATCACGAGAAGAAAGGAAAGCTTGGAGAAGACAATGATGCTGGGGGAAATGGAAGGCAAAAGCAAGAGGGGCCGACCAAGGGCAAGATGGATGGATGGCATCCTTGAAGTGACTGGATTGACCTTGAAGGAGCTGGGGTGGTGACGGCCGACAGGGAGCTCTGGCGTGGACTGGTCCTTGAAGTCACGAAGAGTTGGAATCGACTGAATGAACAACAAAAATTCACTTTCCCACATAATCACCAGACAATTGGATATATTTCTGTCAACGATTAACAAGTTTTCTGAAGCTGTCACGGAAGAAGTCGACCCTCTGTTTTCGCAACCAGCGTCTCACAGTTCTTTCAAGGTCTTCACCAGAAGCATCATGATGTCTCCACAAATCTTCTTTCATTATCGGGAGCAAATGGAAGTCAGATGATGCTAAATCTAGACTGTATGGAGGATGTCGTACAGTGGGTGAGATCCAGTTATTGTCATCGCCAGCCCATCCTTCTTTTTGGATATCAGCCAGCACACCGATACCTTAAATCAAGAAATAGCTTTCTAAGGTCTACAGAGAGACTTGCAGGAACACCTCAGCAAGCAAGAGTCCAAAAGTGGCAGGCCAAAACCCAGAACCTCAATCAGTGGCTGGAACCAGATGAGAAACTCTCTCCTGGGCACACAGAAGGCTGGGCAACTCAGAAGGCGCTGAACAGACTGCATTCTGGCACCACGAGATGCAGAGTTAACCTTAAGAAATGGGGCCACAAAGTGGAGTCCACGACATGTGAGTGTGGAGAAGAGCAAGCCACTGACCACCTGCTGCAATGCAACCTGAGCCCTGCCACATGCACAATGGAGAGCCTTCTTATAGAAACACCAGAGGCACTCCAAGTGGACAGCTACTGCTCAAAGGACATTTGATAGAATGCCAAGTTTTTAAACTCTGCGGTTTCTCAAATATATTGCTTTGTTCCTGATATGATAAATAATACCTCAGCAAGCGAAAATCCAAAAGTGGCAGGCTAAGCCACTAACACCTCAGCAAGCGAGAGTCCAAAAGTGGCAGGCWAAGACCCTTCCTWTAGCAAGCGAGAGTTCAAAAGTGGCAGGCTAAGACTCTTCTTATTGCAAGCGAGAGTCCAAAAGTGYCAGGCTAAGCCACTAARACCTCAGCAAGCGAGAGTCCAAAAGTGGCAGGCTAAGACCCTTCCTATAGCAAGCGAGAGTCCAAAAGTGACAGGCTAAGCCACTAACACCTCAGCAAGCGAGAGTCCAAAAGTGGCAGGCTAAGACCCTTCTTATTGCAAGCGAGAGTCCAAAAGTGACAGGCTAAGCCACTAACACTTCAGCAAGCAAGTCCAAAAGTGGCAGGCTAAGACCCTTCTTATTGCAAGCGAGAGTCCAAAAGTGGCAGGCTAAGACACTAACACCTCAGCAAGCGAGAGTCCAAAAGTGGCAGGCTAAGACACTTCCTATAGCAAGCGAGAATCCAAAAGTGACAAAGCCACTAATACCTCAGCAAGCGAGAGTCCAAAAGTGGCAGGCTAAGCCCCTTCCTATAGCAAGCGAGAGTCCAAAAGTGGCAGGCTAAGACCCCACCTATAGCAAGTGAGAGTCCAAAAGTGGCAGGCTAAGATCTTACCTATAGCAAACAAGAGTCCAAAAGTGGCAGACTAAGCCATGAATACCTCAGCAAGCGGGAGTCCAAAAGTGGCAGGCTAAACCACTAATACCTCAGCAAGCGAGAGTCCAAGAATGGCAGGCTAAGACCCTTTTATTGCAAGCAAGAGTCCAAAAGTGGCAGGCTAAGTCCCTTCCTATAGCAAGCGAGAGTCCAAAAGTGGCAGGCTAAGACACTTCCTATAGAAACACCAGAGGCACTCCAAGTGGCCAGCTCATGCTCAAAGGACATTTAATAAAATGCCAAATTTGCAAACTTTGTGTGTGTGTGTGTTTTTTTTACGCATTATATCTGTATTCTCAATTTGAGTCCTGACACCATAAATAAAGTAAATAACCCGGCCAGGATGTGACGTCAAAGAAGACACACATTTTCCTCCTCCTTCTCTTCCCCTCCTTTGTCCTTCTGCAGCTTGAGGGTCACGTGAGGAGGCGAAACCACGCCCACAGTGCGTGCTTTAACGCGCAGGCGCTTCTCCTTAAGGGAGGAGGGAAAGAGGGCGGGGCCTGACTCGTCGCCCCGCCCTCTGACGTCAGCGCACTGAAGGCAAGACCATTTTGGGTCGCCTGGGCGCACTCTGCACATGCCCAGAGGACCAATTGTTCCTAATCGGGATACTCTCGAGTTTTTTTTTAAGGAACTGGGAAAAGGAAAGAAACAAATCATAATATGATACCACAAAGAATGTGAATGTATACTATTGCTGTTTTAAATTGTTATTTTATGATATTTTGTACTATATATATTATATTTTATGTATTTGGATTGTTTACCTGATTTTAATACGTTGTTAGTCGCTTTGGGTCCTGCGAGGGAGAAAAGTGGGATATAAATAAAGATATATTATTATAATATTATATATATGTATGTATGCATTATTATTATTATTATTAGGAAGAGTTGTCACTGTGGCCACTTATTTCGACATTGAAAAGGTAAAGGTTTCCCCTTGACATGAAGTCTACTCAAGTCCAACTCTGGGACTCTGGTGCTCATCTCCATTTCTAAGCCTAAGAGCCGGCGTTGTCCATAGACACCTCCGAGGTACTGCAGAAGCAGTACCTATTTACTCACATTTGCATGTTTTCGAACTGCTAGGCTGGCAGGAGCTGGAGCTAGCAATGGGAGCTCACCCCCGTCCCAAGGATTCATAGAATCAAAGAGTTGGAAGAGACCTCATGGGCCATTGATCGACTCACATTTGCATGTTTTCAAACTGCTAGGCTGGCAGGAGCTGGAGCTAGCAATGGGAGCTCACCCCCATCCCAAGGATTCATAGAATCAAAGAGTTAGAAGACCTCCTGGGCCATCCAGTCCAACCCCATTCTGCCAAGAAGCAGGGATATTGCATTCAAAGCACCCCTGACAGATAGCCATCCAGCCTCTGTTTAAAAGCCTCCAAAGAAGGAGCCTCCACCACACTCTGTTGCAGAGAGTTCCACTGCTGAACAGCTCTCACAGTCAGGAAGTTCTTCCTCTTGTTCAGATGGAATCTCCTCTCTTGTCGTTTGAAGCCATTGTTCCTTGTCCTAGTCTCCAGGGAAGCAGCAAACAAGCTTGCTCCCTCCTCCTCCCTGTGGCTTCCTCTCACATATTTATACATGGCTATCATATCTCCTCTCAGCCTTCTCTTCTTCAGGCAAAACATGCCCAGCTCCTTAAGCCGCTCCTCATAGGGCTTGTTTTCCAGACCCTTGATCATTTTAGTCGCCCTCCTCTGGACACATTCCAGCTTGTTGAACCGCCGTCCTTCCTGTCAGCAAGTTCAGCAGCTCAGCGGTTAAACCCGCTGCATTATCCCCGCTTGCAGGTTGATGGGAAGTGTAATCCAATATATATCTTAGCCCTTAGACCAGTGATTCCTACCCTCTCTAATGCCGTGACCCATTAATACAATTCCTCATGTTGTGTTGACCCCCAACCATAACATTATTCTCATTGCTACTTCATAACTGTAAGTTTGCTACTGTTACGAATTGCCATGTAAATATCTGATATGCAGGATGTATTTTCATTCACTGGACCAAATTTGGCACAAATACCCAATACGCCCAAATTTGAATACTGGTGGGGTTGGGGGGATTGATTGATTTTATCATTTGGGAGTTGTAGTTGCTGGGATTTATAGTTCATCTGAACCAAACATGGCACGAAAACTCAATAGGCCCAAATGTGAACACTGGTGGTGGAGAAAATAGATCTTGACATTTGGGAGTTGTATAGTTCACCTACAATTAAAGAGCGTTCTGAACTCCACCAACAATGGAATTGAACCAAACATGGCATACAGGACTCCCACAACCAACAGAGAATACTGGAAGGGTTTGGTGGGCATTGATCTTGAGTTTTGGAGTTGTAGTTTACCTGCATCCAGAGAGCACTGTGGACTCAAACAATGATGGATCTGAATCAAGCTTGCCACAAATACTTTGTGGTCAGAAGGACAGCCTTGGCCTACCTTGCAAGGGTTTGGTGGGCACTGACCACGGGTTTTGGAGTTGTAACTCACCTACATCCAGATTGCACTGTGGACTCAAACAATGATGGATCTGGACCAAACTTGGCACGGATACTCAATATGCCCAAATGTGAACACTGGGGGAGTTTGGGGAAAATATACTTCAACATTTGGGAGTTGTAGTTGCTGGGATTTATAGTTCACCTACAATCAAAGAGCATTCTGAATCCCGCTAATGAGAGAATTCGGCCAAACTTCCCACGCAGAACCCCCATGACCAACAGAAAATACTGTGTTTTCTGATGGTCTTTGGTGACTCCTGTGACACCCCCCTTGCAACCCCCCCCCCTCCAGGTTCTGACCCCCAGGTTGGGAAACACGTAGCCATGTCTGGACACGGGGCTCTCATTTCAAGTAAAGTAGTCTGGCCAAAGTAGAGCAGGTGTTTTTGACTTCAACTTACAGAGTCAGGAAGCCTTAACCCTTAAAATCCTAGGATAATAAGAGTTAGAAGACCCCTAAAGGTCATCAAGTCCAACCCTTCTGCCACTACACAGGAAAAGCACAATCAAATCCCTCCCGTTAAATGGTCATACAGCCTCCAAAGAAAGTGATTCTCTTGGACTCAGTGTCCCACTGTTCTCGCATTGTTGTCCACAAAAAGTGTGAGCCAAGAACTGAAAGAGTAGGCCGAAGCCTGTTAAGAGTCAGTAGGCCAAAGCTAGCATCGTCCTGGGGAGAGTGAGTAGGCCGAAGCCTGTCAAAGAGTCAGTGGGCCAAAGCTAGTGTTGTCCCTAGGAAAGTGGATAGGCCGAAGCCTGTTAGTTAGTGGGCCAAAGATAGTGTCCTCCTGAGGAGAGTGAGTAGGCCGAAGCCAGTTAGAGTCAGTGGGCCATAGCTAGTGTTGTCCTGCAGAGCATGTGTAGGCTGAAGCCTGTTAAGAGTCAGTGGGCCAATGCTAGTGTTGTCCAGAGGAGAGTGAGTAGGCCGAAGCCTGTTACTGGGCCAAAGCTAGTGTCATCCTGACTAGAGTAAATTTAAGCCTGTTAGAGCTAGTGTTGTCTTGAGAGTAAGCCGAAGCCTGTTAAGAGTCAGTGGCCTGAAGCTAGAGTCATCCCGAGTAGAGTGAGTAGGCCAAAGCCTGTCAAGGGTCAGTGGGCCAAAGCTAGTGTTGTCCTGAGAGTGAGTAGGCCAAAATCTGTTAAGAAGCTAGTGTCGTCCTGGGGAGAGTAGGCTGAAGCCTGTCAAAGAGTCAATGGGCCAAAGCTAGTGTTGTTCTGAGGAGAGTGGATAGACCGAAGTCTGTTAGTTAGTTGGCCAAAGATAGTTTCCTCCTGAGGAGAGTGAGTAGGCCGAAGCCTGTTAAGAGTCAGTGGGCCAAAGCTAGTGTCGTCCTGAGGAGAGTGAGTAGGCCAAAGCCTGTTAAGAGTCAGTGGGCCAAAGCTAGTGTCGTCCTGAGGAGAGTGAGCAGGCCGAAGCCTGTCAGAGTCAGTGGGCCAAAGCTAGTGTCGTCCTGAGGAGAGTGAGCAGGCCGAAGCCTGTCAAAGAGTCAGTGGGCCAAAGCTAGTGTTGTCCTGAGGAGAGTGAGTAGGCCGAAGCCTGTCAAAGTCAGTGGGCCAAAGCTAGTGTTGTCCTGAGAGTGAGTAGGCCAAAATCTTTTAAGAAGCTGGTGCCATCCTGGGGAGAGTGAGTAGGCCGAAGCCTGTCAGGAGTCAGTGGGCCAAAGCTAGTGTTGTCCAGAGGAGAGTGAGTAGGCCGAAGCGTGTTAGTGGGCCAAAGATAGTGTCCTCCTGAGGAGAGTGAGTAGGCCGAAGCCTGTTAAAGTCAGCGGGCCAAAACTAGTTTCATCGTGAGAGTGAGTAGGCTAAAGTCTGTTACGAGTCAGTGGCCTGAAGCTGGTGTTGTCCTGGGGAGAGTGAGTAGGCTGAAGCCTATTAGTTAGTGGGCCAAAGCTAGCGTCATCCTGAGTAGAGTGAGTAGGCCAAAGACTTTCAATAGTCAGTGGGCCAAATCTAGTGTTGTCCTGAGAGTGAGTAGGCCGAAATCTATTAAGAAGCTAGTGTAGTCCTGGGGAGAGTGGATAGGCCGAAGCCTGTTAAGTTAGTGGGCCAAAACTACTGTCATCCTGAGGAGTGTGAGGTAAACCTCTGTGTGAGGGAAGCCTTGTGTGAGAAAACTCCAGCGTGAGAACAGCTGTGTGCAAAGCTACTATGTATTTGTTTATTTGTGTTACGAAAACCTTGTTCTTGTAAATAGTGTAACCGTATTATTTTTGCTACGATGTTTGTTCTATCCCTTTGAGTGACTGGTGCTGGGTCACCCTCCTGCTGAGAAGCGATTCTGCTGTGCATTTATGGGGAGGGTCTTCTGTTAATAAGCCCACTTGCCCACCCACCCACCCCCCACGACCCCAGTGGGACTCCCCTCCCTCCCTCCCCTTTGAACATGAACGAAGATCGCAGCCTTCTGTACAAACGCCAAAAGGGTCCACATCTTTTATTTACATTCAAAAAACCTCTGTCATGTACACAGTTGTAAATATTAAAACAAAAAAAGGTGGGAGAGGGTTACAGGGAGGGGGGTATCCCTCCCCCCCCTGAAAAAACCAAGGAGGAACCCCATTTATTCCGCCTCTCTCCGAAACAGAACTAACTTCAAACAGGGAGCAGATTCAAGTGGGATTTGCACCCGAATTTAAGTCTGGAGAGAGAGGTGGGAACCCGTTCTGGGACTCGGGTTAGTTTCCTGCAAGTTTCAAAGTGGAACTTTGTGCAGCCCCATCATAGCTGAAAACCGATGTCTCCATCCCCTTTTTGGAAAAAAAATTGCTAATACGTTGTCCCTTTTTCAAATAATAATAATAATAATGAAATCAAAATGGTTTTTTTTCCCTGACTAGTTTCATCACATCCAAACATCTCTTTGGGGCACTGGATGGGGAAGAAGTGTTGTTAGTACTTACGGAGGAGCCAAACCTTTCCCTTTTGCCTTCCTCGCCAGAAAGGTTATAGATATATATATTTATATTTAGTGACTGTAGTGGCGCGGTGGGAAAATCAACTCCCCTCCACCTCCAAAACCCCAAAGTTTAAGAAAAAAAAGTAAATTTGCATCTATTTCTTGGGCAGGAACCTAACATTGTTGCAGGAGATCTGCTGCCAAAAGGAGAACATCCCTGTGAGCCAGAACACAGGTTATAATAATCTTTAATAATAATAATAGAAAAAGAAAATATTTCCAAATCTTGGGGAGGGAAACAAACCGAGGGGGCAAAATGCCCCAAACCTTTGTTTGCTGTCTATTTACAGGTGATTTTCACTGAGACAAGAATAGGATGGGATCTGGGGAAGAGCCAGAATTAAACTGGGGACCCTTCCGTCCCATTCCTTTGTCACTATCTGAACTTCCTGCCCCCCCTTTCCGGCAAAAAATGGACCCGTCTTTTAGGGTTAATTTCAAAGCCAAAGGGTCCATTTCAATCTCCGCCGGAGCTGCTCTCCTAGAATTTACTCCGCAAAGAACAGGGGAGGGTGGGTGGGTTTGTGTGCCTGAGTCCCCAGCGCCTTCCTCTCTTCCCACCTCCAAGCCACCCAAGTCCCGTCTTTGGATACCAATCCAGAGCGGCCCCACTTGACTCCGGCCAGTCTTTCACTGCTGGGGTGGGCGCCCCGCATGGATCCGGCCCCGTCCCTCCCTCCGGCCTCCACTGCCACCGCCTCCTGCGCTAGGGCTCCCCACTCCCCCTAGAGGTGATGGTGGTGGCAGCAGCGGCGCCGGAGACCATGGGCAGCAAAAGGTGTTTCCGGGAGCCTTCTTTACACTTCTGACAGTAGAAGATGTCGGGGACGTTGGTCTTCTTGATCTTGGCGCAGGAGAGGTGGATCCAGGTGCCGCACTGGTTGCACTCGATCATGGGCCGCCCGGCAAATGGCTTCTGGCAGTAACACGTGATGAGGTCCCAAGAGTCGTCCCCTGGACAGGAAGAGGGGGAGGAAAGAGAGAGTATTATTATTATTATTAAAAATATTTAAACACTACCCAGCACACCCTAGTTCCTTCCTAAACTTTCAATGGTTGGCAATCTGCTGTGGAAACAAAAATAGGACATGGATCAGTGGGTTCTCAGATTTTATTTATTTATGGTATTTATATGACACCCTTCTCAACCCAATGGGGACCCAGAGCGGCTTAGAAGATATATATACATACGATATATTGTATTATTAGCATAGCACAATATCAGTATTATATATTACTATATTGTCCTATACCATTATATTGTATTATTATTAGTAAAATTACATATAACATAAAATATATAATTAAAAAAGATATATTGTATTATTAGCATAGCACAATATCAGTATTATATATTACTATATTGTCCTATACCATTGTATTCTATTATTAGTAGTAATATTACATGTAATATAAAATATATAATTATAATATTGTATTATTATTAGTTTTATATTGCATTACATTATAATATTATATGTATATACAATATATTATATTATATTATATTATCATAGCACAGGAGACATGGTGGAACTGTCTTCCTGGTCCCCTCTCTCTTTAGATTTTGGTCCTTCAGCAGTCTTGAACTTCCACTCCTGGACATCTTTCTGTGGATGTTTTTAAACCAGGCATGGGCCAACTTGGCCCCTCCAAGTGTTTTGGACTTCAACTCTCACAATTCCTAACAGCCGATAGGCTGTTAGGAATTGTGGGAGTTGAAGTCCAAAACACTTGGAGGGCCCATGCTTGTCTTAAGACAATAGATAATGCAGTTCAAAACACTGTGGTTACTTCTGATTTTTCACAATTAGTAGCATGTCATCAACATACTGTGATTAAATAGTTTTATATCATCAACGTATTGTGATAGACAAACCCCAGTAACTTCTGAGCTTTCCCAAATACTGTTAGGAATTGTGGGAGTTGAAGTCCAAAACACCTGGAGGGCCCAAGCTGACTCATGCTTGTCTTGGACGATAGATAATGCAGTTTAAAATGCTGTGGTTACTTCTGACTTTTCACTAGTGGCATGTCATCAACATACTGTAATTAAAAACAAGGTTCATATCAACGTATTGTGATAGACAAACTCCAGTAACTTCTGAACTTTCCCAAATACTGTTAGGAATTGTGGGAGTTGAAGTCCAAAACACCTGGAGGGCCCAAGCTGACTCATGCTTGTCTTGGACGATAGATAATGCAATTTAAAAAGCTGCAGTTACACCTGATCTTTCACAACTAGTGGCATGTCATCAACGTATTGTGATTTTAAAAAAGTTTCTTCGCATCTTTCACAACTACTACCATATTGTCAATTCCAGTAACTTCTGAGCTTTCATAAATAGTAGGCTGTTAGGAATTGTGGTAGTTGAAGTCCAATACATCTGGGGGGCCAAAGTTTGCTTATGCGTACACTAAACATAGGCTGGATAGCCATCTGTTGGGAGTGCTTTGTGTTCCTGGCCAAGCAGATTTGTCCTTGGGATGCCTTCCAACTCTGATTCAAAGACAACAGGTAGCGTGGCTAATAGGAATTATTGAAGTCAAAAATATTAGTTAGATCAAAGTTTGGGAAACACCAATATAGAAGAAGTGGGCTGTGTCCAGAAAAAGGCAATCAAAGATCTGGAAATGGCTTAAGAAGCTGCCTAGGGAGGCCATGAATTTGTTTTCTGTAGTTCCAGGGACTTGGAGGGAGAAACAGGCCAATTTATGGAGACCTGGCTGAAGAGATCTGGGCAATTACTTAAAATCCAACAGGACACTGGCATTGTTTAGGAAGCAAAAAGATCTGGACACAGACAAGCCTTTAGTGAGTTATGGTTTTCTCCTGGGACAGCTCCAACTACCCATTGATCCTGGCAAAGATAATGCACTCATTAAGACATATTCAGGGCAGAAGGAAAGGGAATAAATGCCATTACAAAAACAAAAGTCTCGACAGAATAGACTTTGCTAACGAAAATACGCATTATTATTGCAACTGTTCCTTTATGGAGGGAGAGGAGATGCTTTTAGATGAAGTACACAACTGGAGGAAGGAGGTCTCAAAAGACGGTTGAAGGGCCAGGTTTAATATTGGAAAGGATGTCCCATTAAGGGGGGTGTAAACAGAACTCAGGGAGTGCCTGTAGCTTAGGCATCGGCCAACTTTGGCCCTCCAGGTGTTTTGGACTTCAACTCCCACCGTTCCTAACAGCCTCAGGCCCTTTCCTTTTCCCCCTCAACTGCTTAAACCTTTGTTTACATTCAGAAGGATAAAACGAGGGATTTCTTTTCTGAATCCTGGATGAGGCCCCATTATTTGCTTAAGTGACTGAGGGGGAAAAGGAAGGGGCCTGAGGCTGTAAGGAAATGTGGGTGTTGAAGTCCAAAACACCTGGAGGGAGGGCCCAAGTCGAGGCTCTCTGAGAGTCTCCAACCACCTTGGATGGGTGGGTTCCAAAGACCTCCCCTCACCTGATTCCACCATGATGTCCTCGTCCATCACCCGCATCTCGCCTTCGCTGGAGCTGCCTTCCCCGTCTTGGCTGGTCTCCGTACTGATGCCCTCCTTCCCTTCCGTGTCCTCCAGCTTCAGGGGGAAACTGGCAGCCAAGAGCTCAGGGGGAGCCTGGACCGAGACCAAGGTGGCCGCCGATGCCAAGGCCCCTTCCTCCCCCCCTCCCTGCCGCAGGGGTATCGGCCCCCCCATCACCGCCACTGAGGCCAGGGCCCCTTCCTCCTCCTCCGAGTCCGTCTCGCTCAAGGAAGCCTTGTGCTTCTTCTCGCCCCGCTCGGCCTTTTTCAACTTCCGCTTCTTGCTCTTTTTGATGCGCGAGCGCTTCTCCCCGTCGGGGACGCCGCTGCCCCGGTTCCGCTTGGCGCCGGCGCCCCCGGCCTCCAAGGCGGCCTTCCGGTTGCGCTTGTCCTTCTTCTTGTCCGGGCCGGCCCCCTTGTTGGGCCCCGCCAGCGGCGGCGGGAGCGGATGCTTGCTCACAGGGTCCAAGTCAAAAAGGGAGTCCTTGAGTTTCATCTTCTCCAGCAGCGAGCTGTCGGACTTGAGGCGGCGGAAGGCCGCTTTTTTCTTAGAGGACTTGGCCTTCTTCACGAAGGTCTCGATGGTGTGCAGGTCCGAGTGGGTGGACTCCCAGCCGTCGCTGTCCACCACGCTCTCCGGGCGGATGGGGGAGTTGGAGCCGGACGGCGTCCAGTCATTCTCCTGGTTGACCAGAGGGAGAGAAGGAGAAGGGGTTAAACTCTGAAGGAGGAGACACGAGAAACAAATACATGTACAAATAAGTCACAGCATCATAAGATAGTAGAGTTGGACGAATCCACATGGGCCATCCAGCCTCTGAAATAACAGTAATAGAATCCTAGAGTTGGAAGAGACCACATGGGCCATCTAGTCCAACCCCCTGTCCTGCTGTAAAAGCACAAAGCACCCCCAACAGATGGCCATCCAGCCTCTGCAATAATAATAATAATAATAATAATAATAGAATCCTAGAGTTGGAGGAGACCACATGGGTCATCTAGTTCAACTCCCTTCTGCTATTATTTAGGGAAAGCACAATCAAAGCACCCCTGATAGATGACCATCCAGCCTCTGAAATAATAATAATAATAATAATAATAATACTTTATTTATACCCCGCTACCATTTCCCCATGGGACTCGGCGCGGCTTACATGAGGCCGAGCCCAAATACAACAATACAAGCAATTAAAATCAAACATATCTGGCTTTGTTTCCTCAAGTCTGGTTTTGATTGCTTTCATGTAGTCCTTGATGTACTTCTTATAATACTCTTTAGTGAAACTTGTCTCTTGAAGGTGAAGGTTCATTACAATAACGTAAGCATTAACAATAAGACAACACACTATTAAAAACTATAATAATATTAATAATAATAATAATAATAATAATAATAATAATAATAGAATCCTAGAGTTGGAAGAGACCACATGGGCCCTGACAGATGACCATCCAACCTCTGAAATAATAATAGAATCCTAGAGTTGGAAGAGACCACATGGGCCAACTTGTCCAACTCCCTTCTGCTATTATGCAGGAAAAGCATAATCAAAGCACGCCTGACAGATGATAATCCAGGCTCTGAAATAAAATAATAATAGAATCCTAGAGTTGGAAGAGACCACATGGGCCATTTTGTCCAACTCTCTTCTGCTATTATTTAGGGAAAGCACAATCAAAACACCCCCGACAGATGGCCAGACAGCCTCTGTTAAAAAGCCTCCAAAGAAGGAGTCTCCATTGGACTCCCAGGCAGAGATAATGCAGAGCAGCTCTTAAAGTCAGGAAGTTCTTCCTAATGTTCAGGTGGAATCTCCTCTCCTGTAATTTGAACCCACTGCTCCATCACGCGTTCATTTTAATTTTATTGAAATAGTCAAACCTTGCTCCCTCCTCATCATCATCCTGTTCTTTCCTCATTACTATCAGTGGCAATAGATTGTAAACAAGCCTGAGGAAGGTTGTTTTCAGGCTGCAAAGATGGCTCCCTAACAAGAAATCCCTACCATAAACGAAATGCTTTCATATGCATCTACTCCCAATACACTTTGCCTAAGCTATTTGGAACTAAAACCTGTTATAAAGAATGGAAGGAAATGGGAGTTCAAAGCGGCCTGATTGCCAAATGATGCCACCTTTTGAATGACAAAAGACAGCCATAAAGAGCACACTCCATTCAAATGCAAAATATAATGAAGCTCTCCCCCCAAATATTTTCAGAGAAAAAATTGGTTTAGATACAAATATTTTCTCAAACAATAGCATAATTTAAAGGGGGACATCTGGAACTTAAAAAACAAATGGCCAAAAATGACATAATAATAATAATAATAATAATAATAATAATAATAATAATAATGCTTTATGTATACCCCACTACCATCTCCCCAAGAGATTCGGTGCAGCTTACATGAGGCCTAGCCCACAATACAACAGTAAAACAATAACAACAGTAATACAAGCAACACCAGAGGCACTCCAAGTGACCATACTGGTCAAAGGACATTTAACCAACTACCAAACTCACAAATATTGTATTTTGTCTGTTTGTTTGCTTTGTTCTGGTAGAAATGTAATATAACTGACTGGTTGCCCTGACACAACAAATAATACAGTAATATTTATTTATTTATTTACTACGCTTATATACCGCAATTCTCAGCCTACTGGCGACTCAATACAAAACAATAAATAAAACTCATAAGCAGAAAATAAGCAATAAACTATTAAATAACACAAAGACGCTTAAAAACCTATGGCTGGGCCAAATGTAATAATTAAATTTTTAAAAATAATGCTGAGCGTGACCAGGTGAAATATAACTAGGATAGAATTTTCGGAGAGGGATCGGGCGTGCGGACACTCTCGACATCCTCGAGAGTAGGATCCAATTCAGCTCAAGAAAGCACCAAAATACGGAACAAGGAGGGAAAACTGCATTTCCCGGCATGCCTTTCAGCAGCGCTCCCGTATTGTATCACATAATGAGTCAGGAGATGTCTGCCCCCTGGCTTCCATAACATTGCCTACACTTCCCAGCATGCATGTTGCTGCAAGCCTCTCAGCAAAATGGCCACTCCTCAAAGCAGGGCGGGACTTGTAGTTTACCCGGCCATTAGCTGCGGAAAGCCGCTTTGAGCTGTCCGGATAAGCAGAGCTTTTGGGAAACAAAGCCGAAAAGGGGGAACTCTAATCCCAGGGAGACAAGCTTAACGGGAGGAGAGCACAACAAATTAAGATATGTATTGTCGAAGGCTTTCATGGCTGGAATCACTAGGTTCTTGTGGGTTTTTTCGGGCTATAGAGCCATGTTCTAGAGGCATTTCTCCTGACGTTTCGCCTGCATCTATGGCAAGCATCCTCAGAGGTTGAGAAAGTCTCAACCTCTGAGGATGCTTGCCATAGATGCAGGCGAAACGTCAGGAGAAATGCCTCTAGAACATGGCTCTATAGCCCGAAAAAACCCACAAGAACCTAGTAAATTAAGATATATTTACACAAAGGTGGAGGTGCCAAATGGGTCACTAGTCATCAACAAATCATTCCGAGAAATCAGAATAGGATGGCGCCTCCCTCCCCAAATCTCAGCAAGGAAGGAACAAAAGACTTCTTTGAAAATTAAAGAGTATATACATTGGGTTGTTGTAGGTTTTTTCGGGCTATATGGCCATGTTCTAGAGGCATTCTCTCCTGACGTTTCGCCTGCATCTATGGCAAGCATCCTCAGAGGTAGTGAGGTTTGTTGGAAGTAGGAAAAAGGGTTTATATATCTGTAGAATGACCAGGGTGAGACAAAGGACTCTTGTCTGCTGGAGCTAGGTGTGAATGCTTCAACTGTATTGCTTGTATTGTTGTATTCGGCCTCGGCCTCATGTAAGCTGCACCGAGTCCCTTGGGGAGATGGTAGCGGGGTACAAATAAAGTATTACTATTATTATTATTATTATTATTATTATTATTATTATTATTATTATTGACCACCTTGATTAGCATTTGATTGCATGGCAGTGCCTGGAGCAATCTTTTGTTGAGAGGTGATTAGATGCCCTTGTTTGTTTCCTCTCTGTTGTTGTGCTGTTCTAATTTTAGAGTTTTTTTTACATTCCACAGATATATAAACCCTTTTTCCTAGTTCCAACAGACCTCACTACCTCTGAGGATGCTTGCCATACATGCAGGCGAAACGTCAGGAGAGAATGCCTCTAGACCATGGCCATATAGCCCGAAAAAAACCTAGTGATTCCGGCCATGAAAGCCTTCGACAAATTTATTTATTTATTTATTTACGACATTTATATGCCGCCCTTCCCACCCCGAAGGGGACTCAGAGCGGCTTACAAGGTATATATACATACAATATATTATATTATTAGCATAGTACAATATCAGTATTAAATATTACTATATTATACTATACCAATTATATTGTAATATTATTAGTAATATTACATGTAGTATAAATATATAATTATAATATCATATTATTATTATTGTATTATTCAACAATACAATAATAATAATAATAATAATAATAATAATAATAATAATAACTTTATTTATACCCCGCGCCACCATCTCCCCCAACGGGGACTCGGAGCGGCTTACATGAGGCCAAGCCCGAACAACAAATTAAAATACAAAAATACAAATTGCAATAAAATAAAGAACATAACAATAAGGTATAAAACATCACTAGCCATCAACAAATTACCCCATGAAGTCAGAATAGGATAACTCCTCCCTCCTTTCCCCAAATCTCAGTAAGGAAGGAAGAAAAGACACACTTCCTTGGAAATTAAAGAATATATACATTGATACACAACTAAAAAAAGAAGGGAAGAGGTTGGGTGAAAGAGGAGGGGATCTCTTCGGTTGAGGAAAGCCCCCACTCACCTCCTTGGTCGATGGGATGTATCCGGCGTAGGCCAAGACGAAGCTGCAAAACTTGTTGAAATCCTCAATCGTTCGGCGACGTTTTTCTGGAGGCTTTGTGGAGAAAAAGGCGAGGAAGGAAGGGGTTAACAAAGGGAGAGGAAGGGGTTAACAGGCAGGGAAAAAGCGCCTCCCACCCACAATTTTCAGGTTTGGCTAAAAAAAAAAAATCCTCTTGTAAAGGGGAAGAGTTTGGGGAGGGAGGGAGAGATTTGGAGACAGATCCAGCAATCTCTGTTGAATTCAGACAGGCTCCGACCTCCCTCTCAACCGCAAAAAATTACAAAATTTAATTGGTTTATTGCAAAAGATCTGTAAGAAGGAGGGGAATCCCATATTTTTCGGTCCGCAGGGTGGGGCGGGAAGCTGGCTGGCATTTTATTTCCCTCTCGCCAAGCGGCAGCCATGCATTTGCCGGCGATGTTGCAACCCAAGGGCCATTTTGCTGCCGGTTTGCCAATGGAGGAGGAAGAAGATATGGACTTTCCCCCATAAGGAACCTCCCTCTCTCCCATAGACTCAAAAATATACAGGTTTTCCACAAAACATGCAAAATAAGTCTTTTTTTTTACCTGAGTCTCCGGCTTGAGGTTCGGAGGTAGATCTAGGAAGCGAATGGAGAGAAAAACAAAAGGAGAATGGGTCATTTTAAGGAAGGTGGGGGGGATGATGATGCAGGGAGCGATCTTCAAAGAAGTGCCCTCCCACCACAGCAGTGAACCAGAGCATGGACGAAGCGCATAAAACAGAAGGCGGCTGCCATCATGGTATAGGAAAGAAATCCAAACTTGATTCTGCCAGGCAGGAAAAACACAATCAAAGCCTTCCAGACAGACAGCCACCTAGCCTCTGCTTATAAACCTTCAGAGAAGGAGACATATCCCAAACAGCTTTAAGAAGTTCCTTCTTTCCTGCAGTTTGAATCCATTTCTCTAATGGAGGAGCAGGAAACAAGCTTCCCCCTCCCCTCCATGCGCCTTCCTTTCAAATATTCAAACATGGCTGTTCAGCCTTCTTTTCTCCAAGCTGAATATGCCAAATTCCCTGAGCCACTCCTCAGTGGGATCCAGGGCTCCCAGACCTTTGAACCTTTGGGTGGCTTTTCTCTGCTCTGGACGCCTTCTATCTGGTCAATATCCTCCTGGAATAGCATTGTTTGTTAGGAATAGCATTATTATTGCCGCTGAGGTCTGGGAATGGAGTGGGACTCTCATCTACAGCCCCTTCCCTCCATAACAATTACAATAATAATATAATAATAAAAATAAAAATATTATTATTCACCTATACATCACACAGCCCTAAACACTTGGGAAGTGTCCAATATAGCCAGCAGAATGATCTTGTCTGCTGTGGGCTCATTTTGCTGTGTTTCAAATAATAATAATAATAATAATAATAATAATAATAATCACCAATATATCACACAGCCCTAGACACTTGGGAAGTGTCCGACATGTGATCCAATACAGCCAGCAGAATGATCTTGTTTGCTGTGTACTAATCTTGCTGTGTTTCAAATAATAAAATAATAATAATAATAATAATAATAATAATAATAATATTCACCGATACATCACACAGTCCTAGACACTTGGGAAGTATCTGACATGTGACCCAATACAGCCAGCAGAATTATCTTGTTTGTTGTGTACTAATCTTGCTGTGTTTCAAATAATAATAATAATAATAAATATTATTATTCACCAATATATCACACAGCCCTAGACACTTGGGAAGTGTCCGACATGTGATCCAATACAGCCAGCAGAATGATCTTGTTTGCTGTGTACTAATCTTGCTGTGTTTCAAATAATAAAAATAATAATAATGCTTTATTTATATTCTGTCCTATTTCCCTGGTTCTCAGGGCAGATTCCATACATTAAAAAGAAAACATTCCATGCCCGAACACAACAATACACCTATAATAACGAAAATTGACAACCCAACATATAAAAAATATACCCATAACAACGAAAATTGACAACCCAACATATAAGAACAAAAATTAAATAATAAAAAATGCAACCTGTTCTATCAGAGACAAGACAAAACATCTATCTCGATGTCCGCCCCCCTCTTTCTCCACTGCTCCCCTTTACTGATATCGGGGGTCCCTATGTCCTAGTTTTGGGGTGCCCCTTCTCCCACATTAAGCCCCTCCCCAGTTCAAAGCAACCACAACACAATAAGGCCCATATACA